AGCAGTGGGTTTGGATCATCAACTGCAAGCCTGTCTCCAACCGAGTCAGACTCCAGATCCTTTGTCACGCTATTTCGCTCATCCTTTGCCTTTTTTCTTTCCTCTTCTTGTCTTCCTTAAGACGTTTTGGCGCTTTTGACGCTGATCCGTCCACAGCGGTGGAGTTGAGTGACACCCTGACATGGCCTCTTTCATGGCTGGAAATGCTTGATGGAGCAATGTCCCTGGCTCGTTTTCTGTGGACCCTTGAAATGCTAGGGTCATGCCAGTTGCGCTACGCTCATGTACGCTGATCAGGGGGTTGCTGCGTTCTATAGGACGTTTGCGGTACCTGTCCTGCAATAGCACATTGGCAATTGAGCCGTTTCGCAACCAGGTAGTCTTACGCGTTCGGTTACCTCATATACTATTAGAGGTAACATTTTCTTTTGATCGTCTCTTTTGCCTTTTGACTTTTGCCTTGCCTCGTCTTTTGTTTTTGCAAAACCCGGCCCGCCACGACAGCCTTTCGAACAAGTCCCTCCTTACGCTTGTCTCGATCGATCTTTGTTTATTGTCTCAGTTTCTTCCATTTCAGGAATTTTACTGTCCCTCGCTTTATCTTGGAACAAGACTCATTCGTCCCTTGCATTGAGTCTCTCTTCGATGGTTTTGCATTCATCGTAACCAAGATTTTCTCTTTCTTACTCAGTCACTCGCTCGACTTTGCGTTATAGCGCCACATCGCAATCGTTTACACCAGAATAATTCCACACCTCGAAATAGGTGTCGTAGGACCAACACACAATCGCTGTCACAATGGGCGCAATAATGCCATCAGGTGTTGCGCTTAACCGGGTGCTGGCCCTCGGTTTGACGCTGGTCGTCATCTTGGGCATCGCCATCAATCAGCTACAGCTCAGCGACGATCCCTACCGTTGCAAGGCATTGCTTAATGACGGCAACTGGCTTGATACACCTGCAGAGAATGGAAGCAGGGCGCCTTTTAACAACTGGCAGCCATCGGGATGCATGCTTCACAAGTACAAGAAGGAGGAGATCGAGCAGTGCATGGAGGGGCGACACATGCTGTTTGCTGGTGACTCTACAACTCGACAGGTCTTTTACGGCATGGCCCGTCTGGTAAGTCTATGGCAATTTTATTACACCAATTTGACATCGAAATGTGTCGCTCGATAGCATAAAGTATAGTATAGCAAGACCATGTTGGCTAACTCGATTGCAGCTCGACGCAGAAAAGGCCGACGCTGTCCGAGCCAAGAGCAAGAAGCACGAAAGTCACGACGAAGAATTTGCAGGCATCCGACTGAAGAATATCTGGGATCCTTTTGGCAACGACAGCGATATTGTCCGAGACGAACTTTCCCTCTACCACCAAGAGAAGCTTGACCGCGTCCCCGTCGAAGAGCAGAAGGGCCCCGCTGTCGCCTTTGTTGGTATGGGAGTTTGGTTCGCCGCCCGCTTCGAGAAGGACGAGTCTCTTTCCAAGTTCCAGTCTGCCTTTGCCAACATCTCTGAGCTCGTCTCTCACAAGGACTTTGCACCTTTCGGCAACCGACCCATTGATCCCCGCGATGGAATTGGCAACGAGATGTTCTTGGCTCCAATCGCCCCTCCCTTCTACGATGAGCTCCCCGAATACCGCAAGACTGGTGTCGCTTCGCAGCCTGGCGAGGTCGAGGCCATTGATGAGTTCCTCCAGAGCCAGGAGCAAGAGTCTGGTATCCCTATGCTGTGGTCTTACCCCGCTCTTTCGTATGAACAGAAGGATGCCATCGGCGACCACGAGAACGGCTTCCATGTCACCGACCAGGTTGCTGAGATGAAGGCCCAGATCCTACTCAACCTTCGATGCAACGCCAAGCTCGACATGCAGAAATCTTACCCCTACGACCGCACTTGCTGCACTAACTACGGCCAGAAGTCATTTGTCCAGATCATTCTCGTCACCCTCGGCATGTTGTACGTCGGTGGTGCTGCTGTCACCGAGATCCTCGCCCTCCGATCTGGCGAGGCTCCCAAGTGGGCTTTCTTCAACCTCGACATCGCTACCTTTGTCACCGGCCTTCTCGCCTGCTATTGGGCCGACCGAACACAGTCTTTCGCTAAGGGCTCCAAGGAGTACAGCATGTTCGACTTCAACCTCATGTCTGCTCTTTGCTTCATTGTCGGCTTGGCTCTCATGACAAAGTCCAAGCCCCCACCTCCCCGACCTGGTGCCCAGGCTGCCGCTGCCGCTGCCCCCGCCACCCTTGACGATGCGAAGCCTTTGTCGCGCGACCAGACTGATGAGTGGAAGGGTTGGATGCAGGCTCTCATCCTCGTCTATCACTGGACCGGTGCCTCCAGAGACCTGAACATCTACGTTGGTATCCGTCTCTTGGTCGCTGCTTATCTCTTCCAAACTGGTTTCGGCCATGGTGTTTTCTTTAGCTCCAAGAAGGACTTCTCCTTCAAGCGTGTCGTTGCTGTTCTTCTGCGTCTTAACCTGCTGAGCTGCGCCCTGCCTTTCTTCATGAACACTGACTACATGTTCTACTACTTCGCCCCCCTCGTCAGCTTCTGGTTCCTCATCATCTACGCCCTCTTCGCCATCTGCCCCAAGTACAACGATAACACCTGGGCCCTCATGGGTAAGATCGCCATTTCGGCTGCCATCTGCCCTGGTGCTATGCTGTGGACGCCTGTCCTCCAATGGGTCTTTGACGCTTTGAACATCGTTTTCCGAATTGAGTGGGATCTTCACGAGTGGCAGTTCCGTCTTGGCCTCGATGGTCTTATCGTCTATGTTGGTATCATCATGGGTGTCGCTTCGGTTCGAACCAAGCTTTACAACAAGATCCTCACTCAGTCCTACGGCCTGGCTGGTATCGCCGGTATCCTCTCCATCCCTCTGTACTGGTGGGTCGCCGTTAGCAAGGCCGAGAAGAAGCAGGACTACACTGCCCTGCATCCCATCTTCTCCTTCATTCCCATCATGGGCTTCATCGCCGCCCGTAACATGTTCCCCGCCGCTCGTACCTGGTACTCTCGATCCTTCGCCTGGATTGGTCGCTGCTCTCTGGAGACCTTCACCCTTCAATTCCACATCCTTCTCGCCGCCGACACCAAGGGTCTTTTGCTTCTCGACATCTTCAAGGGCGACGGTAGCCTTCTCTGCGACCGCTGGAGGTCCCTCGTTATCATCATCCCCGTCTTCTTGTGGATCAGCTCCCGTGTCGCCGATGCCACTGGTGGCATGGTCAAGCTGCTGACTATCGACTGGGCTTCTGAGGAGCAAGATGAGTACGACATTGAGGCCAAGGGTGATGCTGAGCCTTTAATGGGCGGTAACATCCTTTCGCCCTTCACGCGACACATGCCTTCCAAGTCATCGTGGGCCAACAACCTCAAGCTCCGTATGCTTGGTCTTCTTGTCCTCCTCTGGGCATTGAACTTGGTAAGTCGCTCTGCATAAGTGTTCACCTTCAAATTACTAACATCAATCAGTTCTACTAGATTTATTCATCGCATGGTATCCACCGGTGTCAAAACGAGGCGTTTGGAGTAGCGATTTTGTATAAGCAGGCCATACAGTCAGCAAGGTTCTGGCGAAGAGGCATCATTCATTATTACGCGTAATCTGCGTGTTGGCATTTCTTTTATTTTTCTCGGGGGCACATTTACCCGCTCTGTATATCACGACACCATACACATTCTCATGGCTTCACACTAAGCCCCATATGACATGACATAGATTTTATATCGTAATGATAGATATTAAAAATGATTGATTCAATAGTACTAGTTACCTTTCACAACCCGTATCATGATTGAACGTTCCATCGCGCGCTTTGACCTCTTCACACACTGTCGAGCCTCACGTTTCACGTCTCGTCTACAGCGCATAAAACAAGGCGAGGTCTCGTGCGACGGTGGCGCAGACGGTGCTTGTGCGGGAGATGTCAGAGCTTTGTCGCGTCTGTATTGTTTGTTGTTTCATTTAGTAAGCTTGTGCCAGATGATCTCATGGGAAGGTGCACGGATTCAGTGTCAATGGTTGTTTGAGATTCAGCCTCATCCCCAAGCTCAGTCCCCTGAGCGCCTTATTTTTTTTCTACTTTATTAAGAGCCTGCCAAATCAGCAAGAGTTTATATCTATTGCCGCCAAATATTCTAGCCCTGGCCAGTCAATAATAAGCTGGTTTCTCAGGTGGCTTGGCTCCACAGGCGCTATGGGCCGGATCTCATGAGTTGATGCGCATCAGGGTACCAGAAAAGTTAGCTGCCAGAAGCATTAGAGACTAAATTAGTAAGCCACTTTATGCTATTTAGACTATACTTGTTAGGCTATTTGTTTTTGTAGCCTAAAGCTTGAGAGGTTAATTCTTCTGCTACCCACTATCTAGATGCGGTACACACTCATCATCTTGTTGAGAACCGCATGACGTTCCAGCTATCGCATCCGATCCGCAACGAGCTCTATGTCGCGTTACACGCTCATGTAGTGTTCCTGGTTTTGTTTGTGTCTTAGTCGACCAGTTCGAAGCTGTAGAAGAGCGCTGAGACCTCCGTGGCAGTCAGCGAGCCCATATCAAGACCATCATCCCACTTGCATGCTCCGCCGCATTAGCAGAGATACCAGAACAAGTGGGTGGTTGTGCCTTCCTCGTCTGGCGCCTGCCTCATGAGTTGAGGGCCCCCTTCCGACATAGTAGATGCTAATCCAACCCAATTCGAATTCTTTTCTTGTCCTCTATGCTTCAATTTTATGTCTTTTGTTGATGCTGTTGTCGTTTCTCTCCCGTGGTCTCCCTGCTCGTTTCTGCTCTCGCCGTTTGTGCGTGTTTCGATCGACCAGCCGACCCTCGCGGCGCGGTTCCTTACTGTTGTCCCTGGACGGTAGTTCTTTTTTGGCTCGTCTTTCACCAATTATCGATATGTCTCATATCACCTTTAATATTACCACCTTGATCTGCACCTTCGAGATCCGCCGATCAGCTTAGGAGGCTGCCTCAAGCATGTCGAAACTTGCCAGTCCAGCCAGCATCTGTCTCAACGATCCTTCCAGTCAAACACAAAACGATCAACGCCAATTCATTGAGAACGCAGCTGAAGACTGTCTGGATGTGCAGATAGAGCTGTTTGATCATGTGGAGAAGCACTTAAAAAGATTGTGAGTTATTCCCTTCCAATTCGGCGAAATTCTCACTAACAGATATGGTAGACCATGGGCTAGCTTACCTGATGAGATCCAAAATGTCTTGAGTACCAAGATTGTTTCGCCAAAACATCGCTTTGTCGTTGACAAGTCTCGAATCGAGGGTTTCCATGAAGCCCCAGGTCCCTCTCTTCACTCCGCCCAATTCTTTCTTTACCCAAGGAGCCTAACAGACACCAGCAAGCAACAGACAGTACCATTTATAACTGCCAGTTGCTCATTATTTCAGGCTTCGAATAAAATGGTTTCCTTGCTGACAACCAACCAAAGCTCTACCAAGGGCAAGGCTTCAAGCTTCCTGTCGTCTGATGCTGCCAATAACACGCCCTGCATTGATCGGGAACGTGATCTTTGAAATAGGAGATACTCAATGAGACCCAGGAACAAGGTCTATTTTGCTTTCGATCATGAAGACGAGGGCAGTGATAATAGAGACGCCCAGTAGCTCTCCGTCTTCAAGCCAATGAATATGCGCAAGCCCCAGCCGATGTGTTACCATCAAACATCGCACGCCGAAGCACTCGTCTTGCCAATACTACTTCCGACAAAGCAACTGCCAAGAGAAAGGCAGTCGTCCCTCCTTCCCCAGGCCTCCCTGAGATATCCAAGAAGCTGCGCTTAAGTCAAGCAGAGTCTGATGATGGGTCCGTTTACGATGCCATTGACGATGAACCAGCGGTCCTCGATGATACTGAGCTACTGGACCCCGTCGATGATGAATAACCGAAGGCTATTACTGGCAGAGCCATCTTCCAAGTTGCGTACTGCGTACCGATAATAGGTGGGTTTTAATCAACACTGATGCTTGCCGCTTTTAAAACGACACACAGGCTCTTAAGACCATATTACTCAGACGACGCCACGATTTTCTCGAAGGGAAAAGTTCCTATGGCACTGATAAGACCATGTTTGATACAAGACTTTCTCAACAATAGATCGTAGCTTTCCGACAGGGAAACGGTTTTGCCGACAGTCTGAACGAGAGATCGCCCGAGTTTTACTTTTTTGAGAAGTTCTTTTCGTATATAACGTAAATTGTTTCAAAGCAACTACAGTTGAAGCGTTCTTGTGTATTAATTGATGACGTGACTCATTGGTTGAAGACTCCTTTCTCTACAGACCAGTTTCCAGGAATTGGATGAGGTCCTCCTTCTGATCGCTTTGTAGGTCATTGATCTTCTCGCCATTCTTGTACATTTGGAAAGTGGCAGGCTTTGAGACTCCAAGCTCCTCCGCTAGACCCTTGAGATCATCAATGTCGACCTTGAGGAATCGAAAGTCTTTGAACTTGTCCAACTCGTTTGCACTGGTAATAATTAGTAACAAAGATAAACGCTGAAGGAAGTGACAAGAGAACTTACTGGGCAAATGTGGGAGCAATGTTCTTTGACTCAGCGGCATGAGTAGAGTAGAAATCGACAACGACGACCGAGTAGTTCTTGAGTGTGTCTTGGAACTCGTCCTTACTATCTTCGCGTTAAAATCGGGATGGTGACCTGGGTCATCACGAGGAAACTTACGTTCGGATGTTGTGCACCATCTTGTCTGAATCGGGGAGTGATGTGTCGGTGATTGTGTCTGTACCGAGTTAGCGGGAAGTTGGTGTGCAGGATGATCTGTTCTTGTACCTACAGTGGTTTTGTATATGTAGTTTTTGTTTATGGTTGAAAGTAGAAGCTTGGAATAAGTGTTGATGTTGTGTTGACAAAGGAACTTTATGGTGACGTTGTTGATTGTTTAGTTGTTTCTGGCTGACATCATCATTCCGTCATGGGTCTAGAGCACTGAATCTCAACAAACTCTCTCCGCATTTGCGCAACGCCGAAGTCACCGAATAACCACAAGCCGATAGTAATCCGTTGTCTCAAAGCTTGAATTGTACAAACGCCTTTAGATATTACACTTCATACATCAAGCGCAAGGCGGCCCGCAGTTAGCTCTCCTCCTCCAATTGGCTCTAAATAATCACCACGGCCCAACTCAAATGAAGCGACAACAACAGGTCATACAGCCCTTTTAACTTACAAGAAGGCTTTAATTGACAAATATTTAGAATTAAGACTCGCAGTGTGTGTTTGTATTGATAATTGATATCAAGAGTCTCATCTGTATCTCATCGTCGATCTTTGTCTTGTGAGTTTGGCCTGACAACTTCCCAATCCAAGATAATTGTACAGCCTTCATATATTCAGGGTCTATGTGAGCTGTTTGGCACTTGCATATATCCTGATTATTACTTATTTCACCTCATGTTTCTTTGGTTAATGATTCTCATCTGAGGTCGGTTTGCCATTGACACTAAACTACCTGTGATTAACTCCCTGAGTTGGTACGATGGCGCGCTTGTGTGATTCAGTTACATTATCAAGTGGCACATCTCCAAGTTGTCTCTGAATCAGAAATGGCATCCTCGATTGAACGTGGCTGTCGTGACTGTTTTACCGCTTATCGGTGAGATGAGTTGGCTTTTTGGGATGATACACTGCCAACCAAGCTGCCAGTCTTGTACACAGTAGCACAACAGCCAATCGCCTTGACCGATAGGCATGTCGAAGCCAGTTATATCAACATATGGCCGCATTAGCAATATAGATCGCCCATCTGTTTCAACCTCCTTCTCATTGTCCTCTGGATTTCAACACCAAGAATGTGAATATGCAAGCTGAGTAATCACTGAAGACCCTGCTCAATCGCAACACGTCAATTAGTTCCGTTGATCCGCTCGCATCATTGATACCAAGGTGGGGATGCACTCTCACCCCCGCTCGGTATATAAAGCTGGTTACCCCTCTTAGCTACCGATGGTGTTGCTCAGCATTACAGTACACACTCAAATCTCATTTCTATCTCATATCTCATCGTCAAAATGGCTCAAGTCCTGGTTGTCTACCCTTCTGGTCCTTCGTTTGACATGGACTACTACCTGAAGACACACATGCCTCTTGTCGCATCGTAAGTCGCAACCAATCTACCAAATGTCCAACCTAGCACAATGGCTAAAATACTCTACAGCAAGTGGGGTCCTTTGGGCCTCAAGAACTACAAGATCCTGAACTTCGTGGAGGGTGCTCCTTACCAAGTTCAAGCTACACTTGAATGGGAGAGTGTCGAGGTCTTTGACAAGGCTGCTGCGAACGAGGTTGCCAAGGAGATCTTTGGGGACATCAAGAACTTTTACCAGGGAGAGCCATTGCTTCTCAAGGGTCCTGTTGTTGCTCATGAAAGCGTTTCGTCTTCGTAAGAACATACACTAATCATGTGGTGAAATTAATACATCGAATCTGACTCATGATAGCCATTCAAAACTTTGAGGCTTGTCTGGTGATTTATTTCATCTGCACGAATGCGGCGGGCATCTTTGTGTTGGTCCCTATAGATACCAGTTCCTGATCGCTTTCGTATCGGAGCTCTGTAACAAAATAAAAACGTAGATTTACTCACCTTTCATGAAAACTCATGCGCCCAATATGTTGTGCTTCTTGACGCATGCGGCCATCCGGTGTCAGCAGCACCATTGTACAACCTAAACAAGCGCTTCTGAGACAGCAAACCCCTCAGTGAGAGTTGGATATCGTGATTGTGGCATTCTCATACGTCCCACTAGATGGCAAAGTGATACGACATATCAGCGATACGTGGAGAGTCGCCCGATATGACTGGAAAGAATATCGTATCTAAATGGCCTGGATTTTGACGTGAAAGAAGAAAAGCTAAGATCATGATATGATGTCAATGAGGAGACTTCATCGTTATCACGCCTTATCGTCTCTTATCGGGCCGTTGACAGTCAGAATCTAAACCATATTCGGTAAAGTAGGTCTTGTCACCAAACCCGATTGCGTCAATTTGTGTGACGCAACAACTTTGTTGGTGGATAACAAAACGACGACTTTCATCTTCCAACCTGGTAGTTTCAACATCAAAAATATCACACGACAAGAATGGCTTCAGCGACAAAAGCTCCAGAGCTCGAGCTCACTCAATTCCTCAAGACTGTGCTCCCACAAGACGACAGATCTTCACTGCGCGAGTCGGTCATTCCACAGCTACTTGACGCTGTTTCCACCATTGGCGACGAACTCAGAAGATCATATGATGTCTCCATTGTGGGCACCGAAAATGCCTTTGGGGATGAGCAGTTGAACGTTGATGTTTTGGCGGAGAACATTATTCGGGATAGGTGTGCTAAGTCCCCTGCTATTAAAACTGCCAGCAGTGAGGAGGATCCTGTTGAGAAACCGGCTCGTGAAGGAGAAACGGTGCAGCCCATCAGCGACGGCGAACAATACACTATAGGGTTCGACCCTCTGGATGGTAGCTCGATTATTGGCCCGAACTGGTCTGTTGGTAGCATCATTGGAATCTGGGACGGAGTCACTGCTATTGAGCAACCAACAGAGAAGCAAATCGCATCTATTCTGGGAGTCTTTGGCCCACGAACCCTGGCAATCGTCGCCTTACGAGTCCCTGGATCAGAACCTGTGTGCTTCGAAGTCAGCCTCAACAACTCCCATAAGTTCACCGTGGCCCGTCCTGAGCTTCGCTTTGCCGAACCTCCATTTAAAACACGTTACTTTGCCCCCGCCAATCTGCGAGCTGCCGCAGAGAACGACAAGTACATGAGCCTGGTCACCAAGTTCATCAACGACAAGTATACACTACGATACTCTGGTGGTCTTATACCTGACGTCTACCACGCCCTTGTCAAAGGTCACGGCGTGTACGTCTCACCCGTGACGTCCGTGAGCAAGGCCAAGCTGCGGAAGTACTACGAGTTGTTACCTGTGGCGCTCGTTATTGAGTGTGCTGGAGGTCAAGCTATCGACCCTGCGACTGGATCAAGAATATTCGATATCACTCTGAAGGGTTGTGATGACAGGGCTGGTCTGGTGTGTGGAACTTCAGAGGAGGTTGAGGTAGTTAAGAAGGCATTGTTGGATTAGAGTAGAAAATAAGACAAAAAGCGAATCATTTCAGTGTGATCCTAAGTAAAAAACAATACGTTGTCATGAATACCGCCCGCACTCTTTGTGAACTGTGACTTGTGGTTACTCACGCCTTCCCACCTGCAAGATGTGGGAAGTTCGGGCATGCCACCTTGACGCCATTCACATCTTCCTCCATCGGCTGCCAAATAGCATGATAAGCACTAGTCCTATCCATCAGAACTTCTGCTTCCAGTGCATCCGGGAAGACATCCGCCAATGACTTCTTCGAAGCCACAACCGCAATTGCCTTGAGAAGATCATCATCGTCAGACCCTTCTGGCCCAGGAAATGACATTTGAACGCCAATCATCTTATCTTCCGGTCGATGCAGTAGCCAGAATGACCCAGCTCCTCTCTTCTCAGCTGCATCTCTCAGAACAGGATACAGCTGCGTCATAATATTTCCCACGCCTACATGGTGGTACGTCCAGCGCTGCCAGCGGCCGATGTGATGTTCATCAACAGGAGTGAAGTTGTGAGCACCAATGACTTTCCAAGTCCAGGCTTCGACTGATTTGAACAGGGGCTGTTTCCAATACGGGGTCTGCGGCTCACCAACTTTAAACTCGTTGGTGGTCCAATCTTCAAACCTCTTTGCGTTATCCAAGGTGTCAAAGAGGTATGCTCCTCCGGTGAGCATGTTGCCATTGATCGGATGGTATTTTGTGGGCAAATATTTGATATACATGCCTGGACGCTTGCCCATGACCTGAGAGCCGGCATACTGGCTGTGCCAAACGTCATGAAGCCCGACACGTTCGGTTATCAGGATCTCAGCAGTGAAGGCCGCCTCGGCTTCAATCTCACCGTCCTCGTAGTTCAGAACTTGGTTATTGGCTGCCTCCCCTGTCCGCGTTAGCTAGTAGATCAGATGAGGGGTAAACGCTAACTCACCCATGGTGATTTCTGCGTGAAGCACAAGTCTTACTTCTGCTCTGTTATCTTGGTTTGAAGTTAAGAGAAAGAAAATTCCAGTATTTTCAGCTCTTATGCTGATTCAGTGATGCTCAAGGTAGGTCCACTTGTCAGATCACCGTGACGTGGCCGTGCTTATGAGAATGAGGAGAAATTGTTCAGCTGATGGCTCTTACATAAGGCTGCTACAAGTGCTGAGTGGCATTAACCTCCGTTCACTGACGGCAATTTATTATAAGCCTTCCTCAATTAGGATGAAGCCACTCTGACACGGCAATTTACAATCAACTTAAAGATTCTGAGCTTTCTATATGTTCGGGACTGAGCCGCTGTACTCATTCATACATACGCTCAATCGACGATTCGTCATGATGAGCCACAAAAAACGGTAAAGGTATGAGAGAGAAATAAGATCGCTACCACTGAATGATTATGTCTCATCTCCATTTAAAGCATCTCGTCGCGAGCGTAAAGCTTCGACCATCACGTAAACTCAGTATACCAAGCAACAGTGATAATGTGCTTAGCTATTCCTATTAAAGACATCACTTCTGTCAAGTCTTGAACATGTTACCTATATATCTTGCACTAAGCTACCAGATTCCTTACCTGGAAAGATTACAGTTCTCGAAGCTACGTGGAATATTTACGACGATCCAGTTGTCAAAATGTCTGAACCCGTAACGCACCAACATCACATACCTCTCCGCCATATCACAGATCCAGCTAAGGTTCAAGAGGTGCTCGAGAAGATTTATGGAGCTGGTAATTTTGAGGCTACTTGGAGTGAAGGGGCTATAGATGTTATGGCAGAGCAGGAGAAGCCCCAGAATCTCCTAGGAAAGCTTCAAGAGGAAGGATGTTGAAGGCAAAGCCGTCCTACAGCGAGACCTGCTGTAGTATCAAATTGTTTGCCGATGATTTTATAGATCTGGAAAAGTTCTGGGGAATACGAGAATAGTCAGTCAGGCTCCTAGGCTACTCCTGAGCTAACAGCCTCACCGCTTCGGCGTATTGTCGCCCGAAAGGTTGAATTAAGCAAGCCTGAAATTTAAAGTATCCCTTCATGAAACAGGATCCCCCAATCATTAATTATGCCCCCACAGATATTTCGGACGCTACATGATCCCCGGAGACACCACCACCTGAAAAGGATGGATCATTCTGGCCTGATTGGTGGAAACATCGTATTTATACGGAATGTAACCTCCTCGTCCGATTTTGTAAATTAGATACATACCTCGTGAATTCATTATAAGAGATGTCACAGCTCCCGTGTGATTGATAGCTCATCCAAGCAATAGCTATTCTGTAAATATGGTGCTAATCAAACTCACTCCGGCTATCCTTCTGGCTTTCCTGGCTGGCGCCAATGCCAAAGATATCTTTGTGTCTCCAACAGGAAGCGGCTCTGGCACCCTTGCGTCGCCATACGGATCTATCCAGTCTGCTATTGATGCTGCCAAAGCTGGTGACATCATTTACCTTCGTCAAGGTACCTATGCGCCATCTAAGAACATTCAGGTCAAGACGAGCGGTGCCAAGGGTAGCCCCATCGTCGTGAAGCCTTACCAGAATGAAAAAGTCATCGTTGATGGAGAGAACATGCCTGGGTAAGTTACCTCGACGCAAAGAGACTCATGTCTAACAGATCACAGCACACCAAAGGCCCTCGATGAGTCGCTCCCCAATGCTGAACGAGGCGTGTTCCACATTCAGAACGCCGAATGGTGGTCTTTCTACAACCTAGAGTATGTCTCTCTACTGGAGAACTCTGAAGAATCATTCACTTACATATGGCAGAATTATCAACGGCCCCTACGGCATATATGCTCGCGATGCTTCAAACAACTACTACGAAGGTCTCTCTACCCATGACAATTACGAGACTGGCTTCCAGCTGGAAGGTGCATCGTCCAACAACGTAGTTGTCAACCTGGACTCTTACCGTAACCGCGATCCGCGAAAGAACGGTGAGAGCGCAGATGGCTTCGCCTGCAAGGAGGGCAAAGGCGAAGGTAACGTTCTCCGAAATGCGCGTCTCTGGGACAACGTCGACGACGGTTTAGATCTGTACATGTTCGGATCTCCTATTACTCTGGACGAGGTGTACGCTTGGGGTAACGGCTTCAATCGCTGGGGCTTTAGCAGCTTTGAAGGTGATGGAAATGGATTCAAGCTGGGCATCACAAACAACCCTCCTGCCAACCACATCGTCAAGAACTGCATTGCCTTCCAGAATGCCCAGAAGGGATTCATCGACAACGGCAACCCGGGTTCTTTGACCTTTGAGCGCAACACTGCATGGAAGAACGGAAACACCGGCTTCCATCTCCGCAGCTCTTCGTCCAAGGCGACCAAGAATATCGCCGTTAACAACACGGGCAAACAGGTTGACCTCAACAGCAAGGTCTCTGCATCAGGAAACTCGTGGGATTCGAGTGACACCTGGAACGACGCTGCTTTCAAGAGCACGGATGCGTCTACGCTGAAGGGAGCTCGTGGGTCTGATGGACGTGTGAAGCCTAGTGATTTCTTGGTTCCTGCTTCTGGTGCTGCCATTGGTGCCACCACCAAGGCAAAGGTCCAAAAGATTCGAAGGTTCGCATACTAAGTTCGGTCTGTGGATTAAAACACTTCATAAAGGTTATTGCGTCCTGTCATTTTCTCATTGCACGCTCATTCAATATATGCACATACAATCGCAGCTAAAACAATGAATTGACTCCTTCATATGCTTTACAAAAACTAACCGCATCCGTCGTACTCATTCCATCGTGTTATAACTTTATATAATCCCTTGGGTTCTGTTTTGCAGTACCGTTTAGGTCCATTACCATCCGCATGAGTTGGGTTTATTCTTCTTGGTTACGTCCACTAGATCGCGCACATGTTAGCGAACTCTTTCGAGCTCAATGGAAAAACACTCACAGGATCTCGTCAAAGTAGGGGTGGTTCAAAGCTGCCTTGGCTGAAATACGAGTAACGGGGTCGCAGATGAGCAAGTAGTCGAGCAGCTCAAGGCCTTGCTCGTTCAAGTTGGGGCACAGAGGGGTGGAAAAGTCACGCTGCCACTTGGGGAAAGAGGGCTTGAAGTCGGGATAGGCAGTGACACCGGGCCATGCGTCTTCGTCGGGTGTTCCGAGGGTTCTAGTGAAATTAGTATCCGCGGTGGTGGATCATAGGAACATGAGCTTACCGGAAGATTTTGAAAATCTCGTCAATCTCAGAATCGCCAGGGAACAGAGGTTTTCGGGAGCACATTTCAGCGAAAATGGTACCAACAGACCACATATCAACACCGGTGGAATACTGTCGTCCACCAAGCAAAACCTCGGGAGCTCGGTACCACAGAGTGACAACCTCGTGAGTATAGCTTCTCAAGGGAACACCGAAAGCTCTGGCCAGACCAAAATCAGCCAACTTGAGGTTTCCATCCTTGTCAATAAGCAAGTTCTGGGGCTTCAAGTCGCGATGCAATATCCGACGCGAGTGGCAATACTTAATACCCTGGCACAGATCAAGCATGAATTTTTCGACAACCTTATCGCTCATTCCTAGGTTGCGAATGGTGGTGGCGGTTCCAGTGGGCAGGGGCTTCCCGCGACCTCCGTCGGTGACAGGCAGGGAGTCCATGTACTTTTTGAGATCCAGGTCGAGAAATTCCATAACGAGGTAAAGCTTGTGTCCGTCTGCATGGACGATGTTAAGGAGACTGACGACATTTGCATGGTTAAGCTCCCTCAGGACGGAAATTTCGCGGATGGCGGTGCTAGGGACACCCTCGTCTTCGGTCTCGAGACGGATCTTTTTGAGGGCGACGATGCGACCGCTGTGACCCAAGTCACGGGCTTTATAGACAACACCATAAGTACCTGGCAATTGAGTTAGTGGGTGATGGTGAATGAGATGAGTTGAGACAAACCCTCTCCGACTTTTTCTATTCTCTGATAGTTATCCATGTTGGGTGGAGACGGTTAAGATGAGGCGAGGCGGAGTGAATGAGGATGAAACGAAACGTTATCGGAGAGGCATAAAGTTTGGGGTAGATGTTCTAAGCAAATGATATGATGATACTGAGTGTTGTTTTGGATAGATGTCGGTCGGTAAGGCTGGTTGTTGTTGTCTGTCGTCTTTGTTTGTTCTGTTTGTTTCGTGGCCCGTTGCATGAAAATGAAAAATCGAGATGCATTGACGGATCATTTCTCTCCCGGCACGCGTCGCGCTTTCCAGTAACCTTTTCAGTTGCGGGGACAACCCAGCCACTAAAACAGGCCCTGTCGCGACACTGCACAGCGCTGTAATGCATGCTATAAAGTATGACTTTACTGCGTGATCTATAGTGTATTAAGAAATATATTACTTATTTCCTGTCTTTCCTTAATGCGGAAACAATATTGAATGGATAGATGACTGTCTGTTTATTTATTAGTCTGTTATTGTTTTGATGACCCAACCCAAGCTAACTCATGCTTGGCCCATGCTCTTGCTGACTTGTCCTTTTATGAGTGGCGATGAGTGAAATCTCACTCACTCTCATCTCATCTCATCTCATCTCATTCAGCTTCATTCGCAACAACAGATATTCTGCACTTATTTAATCGTAAAATATACAAAGTATGCTTCACCTTAATTATTCTCAGTATGTTTCGTTTGAGCTCACTTTATATTACTTTCTCTTCATATAAAAGCTATATAATGCTCATAGATGACCTGATTGTCTCATTCCTTATTGCTTACTCAGGTGGTATACCAGTGACGGTTATCATTGCCCAAGTTCATCACGTCTCCTAAAGTCTATAATCTCGCCCAAATCTCTCGCCTTATTCTGTAGGTTCTCAATAAATATCATACCACTATAAAGACCACCTCTAACACAAAAGTACCTATAAGCTAACTCTACGATTCTTAATGGATGTAGGCAGCGCTTCTTCGCACAATAGTTTTGCTCCATATCCAAATAGGGATCACAAGCAAATAATCCAGCCAAAGAAGGCCAGACATAATAGAAAACTGTTTAAACACACCCATAGACTGCATCCAGGGAACTGAAGCATATGAAACAGCAAACGCCAGGCAGTTCTTCATAACATTGACCAGAACTCCGATATCTCCAGCTCGTGACGGCATACTGTGCACGGAGTAGACAGAAGCGAAAAATAAGATCTCCAGGAAATAAGGCAAAGCATGCTTACATTCAAAGTTGCGCCAATGATCGCAGACTCAGCAGCTTGGGCCACGTCACCGTCCTTGAGAACAATGGAACAGTTTTTCCCACCTAGCTCTAGCAGCACTGGCTTCAGAGCCTGGTCAGCTTGTTGAGCAATAGCACGCCCAACTTGAGTTGAGCCTGTAAAGTTAACTTTTCGAACAGCAGGATCTTGGATAAGGCATCCGACAATATTAGGGGCATCTTCTGGTCGGTGGAGGACCAAGTTAACAACTCCCCGAGGGAAGCCAGCCTGTCCAAACAACTCGGCGATAAAGTAGTGAGTGCGAGGACTCAACTCAGAACCCTTTCATCACATTTGTTTAGCTTGAGAACTAAAATGGCAATTGAGGCAGGGAATGGAGGGCTTACTTTGAGAATAACCGTGTTTCCCATAGCCAATGGTGCGATTACTGCTCGAAACCCGAGGAACAGAGGAGCATTCCATGGAGCAATACCCAAGACGACGCCGAGAGGGCGAGTGAAGACTAAACCGTAAGATCCTTTCGCCTTGGTGGAGGGGATTGTGCCACTCAAGGCCCTTGAAGTCACTAGATAGGCACACTCTTCAATATGTCTGATACTGTCTGCGATGTTAATCGAGGCCCATTCATCTGCGCAGTGAATTTCTGCCTTAATGATGCCCCTGACTTCGTCTTGACGATCACGCAGCTTCTGTGGTTTCTAAGTTAGCTGAAAACTACCTCGAAGTAATCTTTTAACATTTACCTCTGCCAGCCGGAGGAGCAGATCGCGCCTGTAAGTTACTGGCGTTTCTGACCATTCGAGGAAGCTTCTGCTACAGCTCGCCACAGCCTCTTCGCAGTCAGGAATACCTGCTCCTTGAAAGTAACCGTTTTCGATAGGCTGATGCTTCTGGGTGTCGTATGTCCTTAGGACCGGAGTACCGTCAATGAATAGCGGGACATGCGTATGTATCTGCCCATTCTGTCCATTGGGGTCGGATGGCACGTTCGTCATCGTAGTTCTTCTGGGGAGTGAACTTGTGGGAACAAAGCAAAATTTTAGAGCGATTGACTTGTTCGATCAAATCGAGTGTCAATTCGTCAAGCTAGTTTATTTAAAAAAAAGTGCTGTTGCAATACGAGTTTGAAGTTCTGTCGAGTTGACATCAAATTAGAATGATACGGCTTTAGGGGAAGCGTCGGGATTTCCGCCAGCTTCCCTGTACCATCGATTCTAGCACCCGAGTCAGAAAAAGGCGGGGCGAGGAAGTGACCCAGGCGTCCATTCGGCAGCGCGTTGGCTTTAAGTGACGACAGGCTCTTATGCAGAAGACTTGGTTGATAGTACAAATCACGTCAGGAGATTGGAAAGATGTCAGTTGGAAGCAAAGTAACCTTCAGTTTAACCAGATATCATAAAAATCGCAGTCGATTCGAAAACTTCCGCCCTTGACACAAGGTTCTGTTTTTGAACATTATCTGAATACGAAGAATAAATGCAAACGGTCTGGTTAAGCGGAGCTCAGAACGCTCGGCCGTTATTCTACGAGACACTACTAGAACAATCTGTCATATGTTTGTTTTATTGGTAGTAAGCAGTTAAGCCCAGTCTCGGCAGCATGTAACTCATCGACGTACGCGGTTTGACGTCGTCCTCACTCCGATACATAAGTCTCAACGTTAACTCCGTCCACCCTGTAAAAGCCCAAAGCCCTAAGCATAGGCTTATCGTCAAATCTGTACAGATATACCTTACTCTCTGTTCCTGCATAGTGTTGATACTTGTGCCAAGTCGGAATGCAAAACGTATCACCCTGCTTCCACTTCAGGATAGAGTCTCCAACCTTGGTAGAGCCAGAACCCTCGATAACGTGATAGACTGCAGAGCTAGTCTCTTGGATCTCGGGGGAGCTTGCGCCAGGCAACAACCTCTCAGCAGAGGCTCCGATAATTCTACCAACTAGAGGAGTACTATCAGTAAGCTAAATTCTTTCCGGCATGGAATAAACCTACTCTCAGCTCCATCTTTCTTGAGGTATGGTCTGGAAACCCAATCATCGGAACTGGCATCCAATGCAGACTGCATTCTGTCCCATGGGTAGACGATTTCTGATTCTTCAAAGCCCTCGGCTGGGTATCGTGGAGAAGCATAGTGCTCCACAAAGTGTACAGGAAAGTGGATGAAGCTGGGAAGGTCAAGCCCATCTAGCCAGATGACGGGTTGATCATCTCCGCCTTCCTCATCAGAACCTTTCTTGCCGTGGTCATGCCAGTTCCATGTAGGAGTGACAATGACGTCGCGAGGCCGCATCGGAACTCTCTTTCCGTGGACTGCAGTAAAGCCACCAGTTCCTTCAATAATAAACCTACAGGCGAAAGCTGTGTGTCTGTGAGCGGGTGCCGTTTCTTTGGACTGCACTAGCTGAAGACCAGCGTACAGGGTGTCCGTGGTATAAGGCGCCTCTGAGACTACATGTTAGCAACGCCAGTCACGAAACAGAGAGAGGAAGCACGGTACCTCTAGCGGGATTACCCAGCATAAGAACACGACGCTCGGCTTGTTTCTCTGTGATCAGCTGTCCTGCTTTAACGAGGAAAGGCCTGATGTTATCATAAGACCAAACATGAGGGATAGTCTGTGGATTGGGTGCAGGTGGGTTCAGTCTCTGCATCTGGGCCCAAAGAGGAGTTGTATGGGTAGCCCGAAGGGCTGCAACAAGCTCGTCAGAGTTCTGAATCGCTTTAGCTACAGAATCATCATATTCGACTGAGGAACTTTCGCTTGAGATAGTACTGGCAGAAAACATTTTGTATATAGTCAAAAGCGATCTCGGATAAGTTTGGGTTGTTGTTGCTCTACTTCGGCTTAGGTTTTCCATCTCTACCAGAGTCGATCGAAAAAGCGCTAAGAGTTTTGTTATTTAAAACAAAACTTCATTGTGCTTCGGGTGTGGACTGGATGGCCCGGGGCAGTGTCGGGAAGCATTCCCGATGCCATCAAGTACTTGCTTAATAAAGATCATATGGCGGCAAATGTGAAACTGACCGATAAAATGCAATTGGCAATTGAACCGTATTGAGGTACGCAACACAGTCACACACAATGAGATTGATAAGTGGAGTCAACAAAACTCAGCCGGTACTTCGCTCATCAAAATACACTTTGCCAGTCCGCAACTGATGTTGTTCATAGACTGCCGGCTATCCGTCACGTTCCATAGCTCTTCTCGAGAAGCTGCATCAATCAGATCAACATGTAGATGAGGAACAACGAAGCCAGAAGGCTCAAACTAAACTCCGCATCTTGGTAGTTGGTGCAGGTCTTGGAGGCTTAGCCACAGCGGTCGCCCTCGCCCGTCAAGGCAACGAGGTCGTTGTTTTAGAGCAAGCATCAGTGCTGGGAGAGGTGTGTTTCATTCTTGGCGTTTGCTTCTAAGAGCAATAAACTAACGGGCCTCTGTTCAGGTTGGTGCCGGCATACAGATCCCTCCAAACTCAGCCCGACTGCTTCTGAGATGGGGCATTGGTCCTTACCTCGACGAATACGCCATCAAGCCGGAGAGTATGACCTTTCGGAGATGGGAGAATGGCGAAGCTATTGGATACACGAAACTGGGTGCCGATTTTGAAAAGACATATGGATCATCTTACTTCGTCATTCATCGCGCTGACTTACACCGTGCTCTTCACCGCATGGCCATTGATCTTGGAATCACCGTTGTTACTGGGAGTAAAGTCACCGAATACAACGAGGCAGTGCCATCAGCCACAACGTTTGATGGACGCGAATACACCGCTGATCTCATCGTCGCGGCGGATGGTGTTAAGTCCTGTGCGCGTGCAGTTGTACTTGGTGGTCAGGACCTACCACCCCAAAAGACTGGCTTCGCTGCCTATCGTGCTACTGTCGACACTGAGGTCATGAAGGCTGACAAGGATACATCGTGGCTACTGAGGAGACCAGGTATCAATATCTGGTATGTGATCAATGAGTGCACCTTTGCCCTGACGATGTGACTAATTTACGTCATCACTCTCAGGATTGGAGAAGACCGTCACGTCATGACTTACAGTATTGCCGGTGGTAACTCATTTAACATGGTTCTCTCCCACGTTGACCATTCGTCACCAAGTACATGGAACGCCGAAAACGCCCTGCAAGACATGCGAGACTCATTCCACAACTGGGATCCCAAGTCAGTTATCTCTTCTCCAGTTCATTAACGCTAACTAATAGTTGTTACAGATTAGTAAAGTGATCAACATGATTGAGCACACTATCAAATGGCCTCTGATGAGCGGTCCTCGACTACAGACCTGGGTATCGAAGAGTCAAAAGCTCTTAATTCTTGGTGATGCTGCTCATGCAATGGTTCCTTACATGTCCCAGGGAGCTGCAATGGCTGTTGAAGATGGTGCGGCTCTAGCTGCTGCAATTTCAAAGGTCAAGCATATCGAAGAGATCCCAGATGCATTGCGTGTGTTCCAAGATGAGAGAATGGGGCGAAGCTATGGCATGCAAGCTGCCAGCCTGGTCAATGGTAGATTATGGCACTTCCCAGATGGCCCACTCCAACAGGCTAGGGACCAGGGAATGAGGGCTGAAGTAGAGGGAAAGCCTTTCGTCGAGAGTACAAACCAGTGGAGTGACCCGATCACTCAGCTTTGGGCATATGGGTATGATGCAGAGAAGGCTATCGGGGAACGTTTGAGGACCGAAAAGGCTTACTTGTAACGGACTAAACAGCCGCACTTTACTTTATTGTATTTGTTACATCATACTCCAATTCTATATTAGTAACCATTATCGCGTCGAGAAAAAGACCAACCAAAACCTAACAATAATGAATGCGTTGGTATACCAAGTATTGACATGACTCAAATGAACGACTTTTGGATACCATGTGCAGTCTAATTCGTTCAACGCCTCAAATTGGACCTTCTAGCTGTAGGAAGCAAGCCTTATCAGCAACATAGCAATTTCAAACATCATGTCTATTTTCAGCATTCGTTCGCGTAGATTTAGTAACAATGGGAAATCTAGTAGATATGTTATGACAGGAGCGCTTTATATTCTTTGACAATAATAAGCCCGCTTCTCATAAACCAGTCTAAAGGCTCCTTTCCCTATCTACTCAAACTCTACACCATTCTTCAAAGTTCCAATCTCAGTAATCTTGACTTTCATATCTGTTCCTGGAATGAGATACTTAGGAGGCTTCAATCCAGCACCGACTCCTATAGTTTTCACGTCAGATGCCTCACAATTTAACAGTAATTACAGGGAGACTCACCTCCTGGAGTTCCCGTCATGATCACACTTCCTTTCTGGAGGGTAGTACCGGAGGATAGATGTGCAATCAGATAGGGAACGGAAAATACCAAATCATCAAGCCCTGCGTCCTGTCGGAGTTCTTTGTCGATGACTGTCTTCAGATTGAGCTTCTCTGGAGAGGGAATTAAATTGCTCGACACAAGTGCTGGACCCAGTGGAGCGAATGTATCAAATCCTTTGGAGAAACCCCATTGTGGGACGCCACCGGCAAGATTTGGGTCTCTCTGCCATTTGCGAGACGAAATATCATTTCCTGCTGTGTAAGCTGCAACGTAGTTGAGAGCTTCGCTCTCTTTGACGTTCTTGGCATCCTTTCCAATGATCACAACCTAAGCGTATTAGTGAGATGGCAAAAACATAATTTCTAGTTTGTCGCAGTTCAACATACCAATTCACCCTCGTAGTCTGCTTGGTCGTCTTGGGCGAGTTTCGGTATAACTACGTTGGTACCGTGGTCGGCTATCGTTGTCGATGGCTTGAAGAAGATGGATGGAAATGGCGGAATCTTGCGCTGAGCCTCGAGGACTAATTGAGCAATTTCTGGTCAGTGCATCTTGAACGGCTATTGTTGTTTCAGGGAACAGATCAAAGTAAGACCTACTATGGGTTGCATAATTAAGCCCGACGCATCTTATGATGGGTACGTCGGTAAATTCCAAGGGTCCAAGAAGAGTCTTGACGGTCACAACCTCGTCGGTGACGCGTGTAGCTCCTGTTATATCGTAGATGTCGTCACCTTCAATCACTCGAGCTTTGAGGCCATCCTTTTCCGTCGTATCACCAAGGTCGAAATCTGGGGCAGGGAGGATGGGCTCACCCCGTAAATTGCGTCCATCGGTAGAGACGAAACGAACCAATCGCTGCCAGGCCACCTTCATTGTGATTCCGTATCGTTTGTGTGCGTAACTTCTACGAAGCTCACACGCTCAGCGGGCGGCTTGACTAAGGATTTATTAAACATGCTGTATGGCTTCATCCAGTGGCTGCCGCTTTCCCATGGTTTCTTTCCCGATGGTTCCCCGGGCTGGCCAACTAGAATGACCCTGGCAAAGTTAAAAGAATACGCTGTGCATCTGGTTGGTGGGCTGAACCATTGGTGACACGCTTGACCAGGCCTTTTGCGGAACAGTGGATGAGTAACCCTGGTCTCGGCAGTGAAGGTGGGGAACGTCCAAGAGGACTTGAATGCGTACAAGAACCGGCTCTTCCAACGTTGCCCCGACTAATTGTCAACCCATACTCAACACAACACAACACATTTGCCATGGAATCTGGTCAAGAGTCCCCACCCAGATCTAGCAAGGACAATGTCAATCAGCCTGTACCTAAGAGGCGTCGAATCGCGTTGGCGTGTTCGGCATGCAGAATCCGCAAATCAAGGGTACGTACACGCTCCGACTCGGTTGACTTGGTTGCAGTTGTGAGTAACAGGAAAACCACAGTGCAATGGAGGGCGCCCAAAATGCGACGCATGCGACAAACTTGGATTTGAATGTACGTACGAGCAGCAGGAGACGTCTGCCAACCTTCTAATACCCAAGGAGTAAGATACTTCCAGACTCCCAGTTTACCTACCCTAAACCGCAGGAAACTTGGGATATTAGCCTACCTACTGATCGCCGTCTTTTCTTAGTTTATTCGCTACATTAGAGCATAAGGTGAAAATGCTGGAGGCCAGTTTAGAAACCCACAATAACAGACTCAATCACCTAGAAAAGGCACAACCAAAGCCCTTGGCCTTGTACGACAAACCTCTAGCTGCTGACTCACTTCAACCAGAAAATGGAGTATCGGATGATGGTATAACTATTGATGACGATGTTGTTATAAATATTGAGGGCATCAAAGAAAGCTCCACCGGTCAAAGCATGACGGATGGCATGGCAGTGTCATTCGTTGATGAGCAAGATTGTGGCTTTTTCGGTAAGTACATCGAAAATCCGATTGCATGTTGACACGGCACAGCGGTATCTAATTCTTTATTGTGCTTCCATAGGCCCATCATCAAACATTGCTTTTATGCGGCATATTTTACGAGCAGTAGACAAAAGAAAGCAGTTGATCAATGACCAATCACCCGTTACCTCAGTATCAGAGCACAGTACCTATGAGGGTGGTCTTGTGAGCAGCTAGAACAAGCAGAACACAGCTCCGCTGGGAGGCTCAGACGACATTTCCAAGGCAGATGCCAACCGTCTGCCCCCTGACCACGAAATGCAGAGGCTCATCAATGCATATTTTACAAACACGGGGATTCTGTTCCCGTACATCCATGAGCAAGAGTTTCTCGATACATACCATCAGTTTCGAGCAAGTAGCTTCCGAAGTAATGTTAGTCGGACCTGGTTAGGCTTACTCAACATGATTTTGGCCATGGCTACTTGCACATCGTGTTGGGAGGATACCGGAAGCGAATCTCATTTCGAGCAATCTGATGTCTTTTATCGCCGAGCTCAAGAGTTGTGCCAGGCGCAAATGCTTAGAGGTACCACGCTTGAGATAGGTGGGTTCTTGTCTTGGATTGTTGAGATATCTTGAGCACCGCATGGCTAATTAGAGCCAGTCCAATATCTTCTTTTGACGAGTCAGTATCTGCAGGGAACGCATAGATCTGTCCAAACTTGGACTATACACGGTCTCGCTGTCAAAGCTGCCATGTCCATTGGGCTTCATTCGCGGGACATCGTATCAAAATTTAACCCAGTTCAGCAGGAGATCAGGAAGCGGACATGGTTTGGGTGTATCTTACTTGATAGGTTTGTATAATTGCCAAAGTACTTACCAGTCCGATTGGTTCATAGCCTGGGATTGGCAAGGTAGACATGCTGTCGAGCCGAAGCTAATGAATCTCGTTAGGAGCCTAAGCTTGACTTTTGGACGTCCATGTGCCATCCCAGAAGACTATATCCGTCTAGACCTACCCCACCATCTCCTTCTGTACACTTCGGTCTCTGAACAAGTTCAATACCTCAGCACTGAGTTTTACAATGCTTCAATGTAATATCTATCATGGCCATGGATGTTTTCAAGTACTGACCATTGCAGATTGCTCTATAGGATTATAGGGAAGGTTATAACAGCTCTTTATGGAAACAATCTTGGGTGTGACGAACAAGCATCAGACACTATTACTATGACGGCTATCATCCAGTTTGAGCAGGAGCTGTCAGACTGGCAGGATAAGTTACCCCAGCAACTACGCCCCTGTAGTGCCGACGAGCTGGCACATCGTACGGATACAGAGGCACAAGATACTACGGTCGAACGCTTTCGGGTCATCTTGACACTGAGATATCTCAATACCCAGCTTCTCCTTCACCGTCCAACATTCATTCGATCGCTGAGTGCCTTTCATAAAGGATCAAAGATACCAAACCGCAACTCAGGGTCTGTAAACAGCATGCAAGCTAGCTTTGACAGAGCTTTTATCCAGGTCGCAAAAAATATCCTAGATATCATACACACCGCATTGATGAGACCAGATCATGGGCGCCATCTTATTGGCGCTTGGTGGTTTACTCTTTACTACAGTTAGTTGCCTTTGTTTCTTCCACAATAGTCGATGGGATCACTTGACAGATTATAGCATTCAGTGCGGCTCTGGCAGTGTTCGGAGGTTTGCTGGTTAACCAGGACCTTGTAGACGAGTCAGACGTCGAGAATCGACATGACCGGGCTAAGAGGTCTTTGAACCAGGGATACGAGTCGCTGTTACAGCTCAGCAACCATAACCCGATCGTCTTGCGTTGTGTAAGATTCTTACAACAGCTTGTTAGAATAGTCAACACTTGGGGTACGTCTCGTCCTTTTCGTTATATGGCCAACGATCTCAATCTCTATGAAACAGAACCGAAGCCTTCCCACAGCCTCAGGCCTCAGAGTCAATATTTGGAGCCACACTCTGCTGAAAACATTGACTGTTTTGATCTTGATACAGACCTGATCTCTACTATGCCCTCATGGGATACTTCTGATCTTGGGTTTAGAGACGAACTTGAGTTAGGTCAGTTCTTCGCCAGTGACATTCAGAAATGGTTTGAACGGGTTCAATAGGTTTCAACCGCTATAAATAACCCAAGAGCTAGCCTAGAAAACAATGGCATGTTAGATTCTGGATATACAGGCAGTACAGGCTCATAAGATGTGTCTGCTTGGGCCGAGTCATGAAAGACTACACCAGCATCGGGTTTAGTTGTCTCGACACGGGGGAGTAGATTTTCCTACTACTGCAATCTTCTATTCTCCTGGAACAATCCGCGCAGAACAGGAATAGAACTTCTATGGACGCGGTTTATGTTAATTTATTGAGCCTTCCATGTTTACTATGGTATTTTCAATCACTTCCTTATAGTTTGTTCATCAAAGTCAAGAACATGCCTCCTATCTACAGTCCATACCGTCGTCTTGTGTGGCGTCTTAGCGCTTTCGCCACATGTGCATCATGACGACCAAGACCTTTATCTCGCTCCATGCCGACACAGCTTCGGATTTGATATCCGTCCTCTTGATCAGCATATCTTAACGACTCTTATTAGGAGTCATGCGGCAGTATGCAATAGTCTTCTGTGTGGTTAGACCAGTGTCAACCAAGTTCTGCAGTGGAGGTTGGTGAGTGTAAGGCGACAACCGTTCAAGTTCTTTGAGCTCCTTGTCTGATGTAATCGACAGCGCAATGTACTTTATTAGCAGGAGTCGGTGCCGCTTATGAAGATTTGTTGAGGCCCGATGTAAAATCTGCACAACAAGCTTCAGGGTCTCCTTGTTCCTTTACAGACTGTTGTTCTCTAAGGTCCTGATGTAGGCTATCCGCATTACAAAATTTTCGCGGAAGGTCTGTGATAAAGGCAAAACTGGCAGGGTTGCGGCGTCTGATGTGAGGATAGCGTGAGCCAGGTGCTGTCGTAGTTTGGCCAATGACTCTTGGATCGAGACTTCGGGGCGGCGATATCCTGTACAAAGAAAGATGATAAATAAACCACAGTCATGCCTGTTTAACTGCTGATGACACTTATAATGATTAGTCTGATGTCACAACTCGGATACTGATGCACTACAGGGACAACAACAACCTGAGGCATGAGAGCCTGGTTTTTCGGGGCACTGAGGACCTTCGGGAGACCCGTTGGAACCGCTTATGCCATGGTATGAACACTGCTGCGAAGCGGGTCATACACCCCGAGAGCGTTCTTAGATGAAAAGTAGACACTGTTCTCTGAATCGCGTCCAATTAATGAACTACTTGACTTTCTATCAACTTAGACTTTGTCAACAGTGGATGTGCTTTGTCAGCGGAACTTGGCCTAATAGACGAAAACCCGAGTCTCACCACAAATTGTCTAAAGAGGCGGGGGAACATCGGGACCATAGCCGATCTTTCAGTGGTCTGATTGAGATTCTAATACTTAACTAGGCTAAGCTCATCCAATTGCCCATACCTATGAAACGACATCTACCACCAAGACTCATATCATCCCCAAGCGCTAAACTCAACATGGCTGGCCACTACCGCGGTATCTCTACCAACCCGAGCAATGTGTTCTCCAATGACCCTCAATTTTCGGGTTTCATGAAGCCTTGTCGCTTCGAAGGAGAAATCAACTTCCTAGAAGTCGAAGGTAACATACCTGAAGAGCTCGATGGGACCTTTTATAGGGTAATGCCTGATCCGCAGTTTCCCCCTTTCGTCGACAACGATCCTGTAAGAATATTCGTTGGACAATTGCATGATATAGACTAGACTTAATATATGCTTAGTGGTTCAATGGTGATGGCAATATCAGCGCTTTCCGGTTTACCAATGGGAACGTTCACTTCCAGCAACGATATGTTCGTACTGAAAAGTTCCTACGAGAAAGGGAGGCAAAACGAGCTCTCGGTGGTACGTCTGCGAGCTGAGATTGACAGGAGTAATTTGCGATACTAACTTTAACTTGACGAATAGGCAAGTATCGAAATAAATACACCGACGCAGTCGAATTCAAGGTCCGTACTACAGCAAACACCAACATCTTCTACTTCAACAAAGTTCTTTTGGCCATGAAAGAGGATGCGCCACCATTCGCAATGGATCCTATCACACTAGAGACGTTTGGGTTGCATGACTTTAATGGGCAATTGCCTAGTCTTACCTTTACTGCTCATCCGAAACTTGATCCTAAAACTGGAGAGCTAGTTTGCTTCGGCTACGAAGCCAAGGGTGATGGCACACCAGACATTTGTTACTATTCTATCGACCCTGACGGCACTTTCAACCAGACTGTGTGGCTGGTTTCACCTGTTGTCGGAATGATTCACGATTTCGCTGTCACGGAGAATTGGGTAAGTCATCACATGCAAAGCTACATGCCTTTCCGTGACTAACAACCATAGGTACTCTTTCCGATAATTCCTCAGATCTGTGATATCGATCGACTTAAGGAAGGTGGAGAACATTGGCAATGGGATCCGAATTGCCCTTTTTATATAGGGCTCTTGCCAAGACGAGGGGCAAAGGGGTCAGATGTCAAGGTAAGTAAATGTTTCTCCTTGGTCGACCATCACCTCACATGCAGGCCGTTGGTGTCTAGAATTGCTTCAGTGCTGATGCGTTCTTTTTACAGTGGTTCAAGGCACCGAATGCTTTTCCTGGTCATACAACGAATGCGTACGAACTCCCTGACGGCGATATCGTATTTGATCTTCCTCTCACCGATAAAAATGTTTTCTTCTGGTGGCCCGATCGGGATGGAAACGCCCCCGAGCCTCATGACATCCATGCCAAATACGTGCGATTCACTTTGGACCCCACCACATCAGACCTTGATCTCCCAGCTCACGAGATTATCTCCGAATGCGACATGGAATTCCCGAGGATAGACGACCGAGTCTCCATGCGGCCTCATGGCCACAGTTTCTTTGACATGATGGATCCCAAGCTTGGAACGGACTTTGCTATTATTGCTCCCGTGTTAGGCGGTGGTCACCCTTTGTATAACTCCCTGGGTCATCTCAATCACCAAACTGGAAAGTTGGAAGTGTACTTTCCAGGTAAAACACATATGGTACAAGAACCTATCTTTGTACCTCGATCAGACGATGCGCCTGAGGGTGATGGCTTCGTTATTGTTTTGATTAACAACTACTTTACCATGTCAAGCGAGCTGCACATAGTTGACACTTGTGACTTTTCCACTGTACGGGTAGTAGTTAAACTGAATATTAGGCTGAGGGCAGGACTCCATGGGAACTGGGTAGATGGAAAAGAGTTGTCTAGATGATTTAAGATATTAAAATAATAAAATGATAAAATGTCTAGAGACATCGAAGGAAGATCAATATGACATCTTAGGCAGACAACAATTTGATAGGTATCTGGAGCTGACAGCTTTCTCAGATCCGGATCTCAAGTGGTGTACCTCCAGTGAGGATGGTCGTCGCCCAAGTTCATAGCATCTGGACCCTGAAGTCTATGATCCCTCTCGCCCCGATCTCTCTTCTTATTTTCCCTGATAGCAAGGAAATAGAAGAGAGTACAGCTGATCCCGCATACCCATACCATAGCAAGGCTAACGCCCAAGCCAGTCCAGTACTGTGGAGCTTCCTGGGTCAAAAATACATTTGAGGCCACAATGCCTCCAATATTACCAAATCCGATTTGTACAGCGGATGAAATCGATCGCTTGTAGTGGCCGCTCATGGTATTAGATAGCCAGCCGAGAAGGACGGGCTGCGTGATGTAGCCTCCAGTAACAAGCAAAAACAAGGAGAAGTACCGAGCAACAGTAGGCACGTTTTGCTGCTGAAGAAGGAGAATGTAACCAACGGTAGTCACCAAAACTCCAATCATGGTAAAGCTATATCGGTGACGGAGTTTATCGGCAAGGAATGCTGCAGTCAAGCATCCAATTGCTGCGACAAGGTAGACCGGAATTGTCAGAAGTTGAGCGCGCTCGGCAACGTATCCCATCTCTCTGAGGATAGTCGGGATAAAGAACTAAAAGAATCAAGCGTAAGCTATTGCTCCATTATCATGTCAGGCGAATGTGGCTTTGCTTACCGATCCAACATAGCCGTTGTTGACAATACCAAAGTATGCGAGTGTACCAAGGTAAATCTTCCAATCAGACAGTATTCTCTTCCAGGCTGCTTTGTTTAGATGGTCCATCTTAGCATCACCAGAGTCCACAACTAATCGTACGACAAGTCTGCCTCTTTCTTCCTCGTTAAGAAAGCTGGCTGTTTCAGGCCAGTCAGGGATCCACCATTTCGCAACAACACCAACGACGATAGTGAGGAGACCCTCAAGGATGAAGATCCTGTTCTCAACGTATTAGTAGATATAAATGTGCTTACGTGCGTTCGTGACATACCATCGCCAGGTCTCAAGTCCTCCAACATCGTGCATCTTGGCAATGGCAAATGCCAAAAGGCCAGAGAAAGCACCTGCTAGAATACTGGCACTAAAGAAGATGGACATTCGCCACTGAACCTCATAGCGCTTATAGTACATGCTGATCAAGTAAATGCAGCCTTATCAAGGTATTAACTGACTGTCACTGTCTATAGACTGGGTTCAGAGAAGACATACCTGGAACGATACCGGCTTCGAAGAACCCCAGCAAAACTCTACAAGCGATGAGCCCCTCCACATTATGGACGAGACCCATACCGACAGTTGAGATTCCCCAAAGCGTTGTAATAGAAGCAAGCCAAAGGGATGGAGAAATCTTTTTGATGATGATATTGGATGGGACCTCGAAAATAATGTACTGGTGGCGAACAGCGTCAGTTAAGCTTCTCTCGTGGTACTCCCATAACATTTTCATACCGGAATAAAGAAGACAAACAGAGCCATGTTGTAATCATTTCCAGTCATGTTGAGGGTCTCGGTCATTCCCTGGATCTTTGCATTGCCTGGTAATATGAGCCGCTCTGTCAACCCATTTGTTCTTATCAAAGGCATCTCCAAGAGTCTACATACCAATATTGGTCCTGTCCATAAAAGAGAGGAAGTAAATGACCATGAGAGGAGGAAGCAAATGAAGGTCCAATTTCCGCAGTAGCTGTTTGGTAGCCACAGAGTCCTCGGTGGGTTGCTCGATGGCAGACTCAGCGCCCTTCAATGAGGCATGCTCGGTTGTGGTCTTCTCGGTGAGATCAGCCATGATTGATGAAAGAGTAAAAGATTAGCTGATTTTGATCTTCCTCGTAGCCACGGAATGATCTCGAGAAAAAGGTAGTGGGAGCTGGCTACTTATGTTGAAAACCGCCTTGGCAACTAGTTGCACATTGGCAACCTGTTTAGTTTCTTTTCCATGTTGTGGGCACGTTTGTTTGTGGCTGAACGAAAGGAGTCCAGCCCATCTGTAGCCATAATGACACACTTTTTTTTTTCAGTGCATTGTGTCCCGGAAAGGGCCCGGGCAACAAAATAGCACATAGCTGTGCAGATACTTAGTGGTGCTCATTGTATGCCCGAACTCATTCCAAGAGGATGTGATACATCTACGAAAAAACACCACGGAACTCACCCGATAAACGATACACATACTATTAGGGTAGGATATTCACTGAATCGATATGACTTCCATGCTCGCTATACCGCTTTGAAGCACTTGGTACATGTCTCCGCACTGAAGCCGGGCTTCTTTACCTTGAGAGACCTGGAAATAGTGTCGCCCCCAGATTCAATTTGCGGGGTGTGGAGAAATAGTTCCGGGGAAGAGGGTCATTGAGCCATCTCACCTGTCCAAAGTGAGGAGAGAGGGGAATAGGCCGCAAGCGTTACGGTGGCTTAGAAGGCAAAATGCTCACGACTACTTGTTAGACACGTGCAGGTTGCCACGGGGCCTTCGAGATGAGAATGATATACAACTCTGGCTGGATCAATGATCCAATAAGAGTAGATATGTATAAACAAGCCATTGTCGCTCAAGGAGCCCTACCTACCTATGATATATAAGAGCTTATTTATAATACGATGGTTGTTTCACATTGTTTATCATAATGAGTTCATTCTAATTTTCCATTGTATTGTGTCTGATAAATCAATTAATCTACATATATCTCGAGCTAGAGCCAGAGGCAGCTCATTCTTCTTTGCAACAAAAGGTTAAAGGTATGAGCATTGGTAATCTTGTCTCATCCTAGTGGAGGTGATCCATTGCTTTATTTGCCGACTTAGTTGCCAGGGCCATTTCCCCGCCGTCGGGTAGTAGCCGCGACAAGGGTTATTCCGTCTCGGATACGTTCCGTGACAATCCAACGGTAAGAAGTCGCGGAAGAATAACAATGTTGAGACAATTAACAGCCAACATAAATTCACTGTAATTTTGCTGTATTATGATTACTCCTTAGAAATAGACACACAGAGAACCCATTCTAACAAAGGTCCATCATGTATGTGTGTCAAGCACTCCAACTCAGAGTTAACTGCTAACGTCGACTGCCAGGTACACCACGTCTTTCGCCTTCTTCGAGGCCCTGGTTGAGGCCGGGGTCAAGAATTGCTTCGTTAACTTGGGTTCGGACCACCCTAGTATCTTGGAGGCCATGGTCAAGGGCCAGAAGGAAATGCCGGATACCTTCCCCAAGATCATCACATGTCCGAACGAGATGGTGGCTCTGTCCATGGCTGATGGATATGCAAGACTGAGCGGAGAGGCCCAATGTGTCATTGTGCATGTGGATGTCGGCACGTCAGCTCTAGCGGCTGCTATTCATAATGCAGCGATGGGGCGCGCCCCTGTTCTTATTTTTGCTGGTCTTTCACCCTACACCATTGAGGGAGAGGTTATCGGGTCAAGAACGGAGTTCATGTAAGTGGCACATACGTTGAGTCTTGGTTCACTCTAACATTTCTACTCTCAGACACTGGATCCAGGATGTGCCTGATCAGAAGCAAATCGTTTCTCAGTACTGCCGGTACACTGGAGAGATCAAAACTGGCAAGAATGTCAAACAGATGGTTCGACGTGCTATCCAACTAGCTACCAGTCACCCACAGGGCCCTTCCTATTTGATGGGCGCCCGCGAGGTGATGGAGGAGACCATCGAGCCGTATTCCATCAACCCGGCTTATTGGAAACCCGTTGCTCCATCTGCTCTTCCACAGGACGCTGTCCGAGAGATCGCCGGCGCCCTGGTCAACGCCTCAGATCCACTTGTTATCGTAGGCTTCACCGGTCGCAATCATGCGGCGGTCGAGCCCCTTGTGTCACTAGCCAATACTGTCAAGGGTCTTCGCGTCCTTGATACAGGTTGCTCGGATATGTGTTTCCCAGCGGATCATCCAGGCTGGTTAGGTATGAAGTATGGAGTTGATTCTGCCATTGAGAATGCAGACGTCTTTCTCATCCTTGACTGCGATGTTCCATGGATCAACAAGCTCTGCAAGCCTAAAAGCTCAGCAAGAATCTTCCACCTCGATGTAGATCCTCTCAAAGAGTCGATGTTGGTTTTCTACATCGATGCTGAACAGAGGTACCGTGTGGATGCCGAGGTGGCCCTGAAGCAAATCACCGAGTATCTGCAAAGCAACCTCGCAGAGAAGCTGTCGAGCGTCGAGTTTGACCGCCGTGCCCATGCCCTATCAAACTCTTACAGAGAGCGCATTCATACCCTCGATGAGCGATCTAGGCCCCTAGACTCAGGTAAACTTACGACCGACTATGTTTGCGCCACGCTGCGCCAAAGACTGCCCCAAGACACAATCTGGGCTGTGGAGGCGATTACAAATGCCATCTTCGTCGCGGATCAGATCCGAGCGACCATTCCAGGACAGTGGATTCACTGTGGAGGCGGAGGTCTCGGTTGGAGCGGTGGTGGTGCGTTGGGGATCAAACTTGCCGCAGACGCCGCTGATGCCCTGGTTCCTGGCAAGCGTAAGCGATACGTAGTGCAGATTGTTGGTGATGGATCATATATGTTTAGCGTCCCATCAAGCGTCTACTGGATCTCCGCACGCTACGGAATCCCAATCCTGACCATCGTTCTCAACAACCTTGGCTGGAACGCGCCACGGAGGTCAATGCTTCTTGTACACCCCGATGGGCCTGCTTCACGAGCGACAAAGGAGGAGCTCAATATCTCGTTTGCGCCGAGTCCAGACTATGCTGGCATTGCCAAGGCCTCCAGTAATGGGCTAATATTCGGTGCTCGAGCAGCCAATTCAGCCGAGTTCTTGGAGGCCCTTGAGGGGGCTGTCGAGAGTCTCGACCGGGGCGTTTCAGCGGTATTAGATGTTGCTATATAGATGTAAACATAGAAATTGAGGATATTTAGTTATAAATTACATTGAGACACAGAATATTTCTTGCTGTTACCCTTGCCAGTGATCTGGGAGAATAGTTCATGTCTACGGATGACATTGTTGATACAAAGTCTTTGAGAATCTTAGTACTTCCTTGAGACCCAACAGTATATTAAGACTAAGAGAATACATCAGACACAAATAAATAATGATTAATTCTACGCTAATGCTACTAGGAGTTTCACTGAACCATGAAGGAAGCCGCTAGCATGGCTTTTGAACTCAAGTTTTTTCTGGTTATGTTGCTGTTCACTTCCGATCAAAGATCTTTCCAGGGTTCATCAACCAATGCGGGTCTAAACTCGTTTTGATTGCCCTCATCACCTGAATGGGTGCTTCACCAACCTCCTCTCTCAGGAAGTCTTTCTTCCCTAGACCGATACCATGCTCGCCCTTCTAATGTTAGAACCAGAAGCTGAATCATTGTAGATAAGGTTAAACCTACTGTGCATGTTCCATCCATTTCCAGAGCGCGAAAAACCATCTTATCGACGCACCTCTCGACTTCGTCGCGTTGCTTGTCTTCGAAAAGAATTGTCTCGTGAAAATTACCATCACCAATGTGACCCAAAATGCTTCCAAATAGGCCAAGCTCGACAAGGTCTTTCTTGGATATGTCTACAACGGTGGTTAGTAAAGAGTGCTTCGTAGTCGCAATGTAGATAACAATATACCTATTAGCTCCGACACTCGAGACAAGGGCACCGCCACATCCGTAGACCATACATGTCCATCTGTCTCTCTTAGTGCCATCATACTCCATAGGGCTTCTTTGCGAGCTGACCACAAAGCTTTCTGCTTATCCAGATCGCTTTCAAAAAGAAAGCTTTTCACCTGGTGATTCTTCGATATACCTTGCACACGAGCGATACTGTCCTTGACAACAGCATCACTGCCACTGAACTTAAAGAACAATGTAGGAACTTCACTCCAATTTCTAGAAGTGGCACCCATTTTGTTGATCACGCTCATAAGAACCTCATCAAGAATCTCAACAGCACTGATGGGTACGCCTCGACGGATGACTTCAATTGCCATACTCGCAGCAGCCTTGACGGTAGGAAAGGTAACGACCGCAATGCCAGTAGTTTCTGGGATCGGGGCGAGTTTGAGAGTAGACTCGGTTACGAACCCCAAGGTCCCTTCAGACCCAACGAAGATTGAATTGAGATTGTAACCAGCTGACGACTTTCGCGGTCTTCTGCGAGTTTTTAGAATAGTGCCATCGCTCAGGACTACTGTGAGGTTCACCACCCAATCTTTCATTGTGCCATATTTAACAGCGTTGGTGCCACTAGAACGTTTTAATTGCATGAGACAAGATGAATAATTGTTGAAGAGGACTCCTTACCTGCAGTTGGTACCGATCATACCACCAATTTGTGCCTGATTTGGTGAATCAGATTTTCTGTTTGAGCAGTGAACTCACTAGGGAAAACACTTACCGATGGACCCGGATCAATTGGGAAGAAAAGACCAGTATCTTTGATCTTCTCATTTAGATCCATCCACGGCACAGATGGCTGGACAACAACGTTGAGGCTGAGATAAGTCTTAGCATGTCTAAACTACCATTCTGAGTTTTGCAATGGACTTACTCGTCTGCATGGACCTGCAGAATCTGGTTCATATTCATAAAATCAACGCTCACACCACCGAATGGAGCTGAGAAATGGCCTTCAACACTTGAGCCACCCGAGTATGGGACTTATTCTGTATCAGCTCAGTTCTCGCCATTAAGTTTCGAATACTCACTCATAGGAACGCGTCGTTTATGACAGATTCTGGCAATAATTGCGACCTCTTCTGTTGACGAGGGGAATGTGACTGCAACAGGTAATCTATCAATATTAATGGTAGACCAGTCAGAATAGCCATGAGAATGTAGAATTTCGTCCTCAATGCTAACGGCATCTTCTCCGAGTGCCTGTCTGATTTCTTCGACCGCCTACAGATGTTAGCGAATCACAGGAGGTGGTCAATTCAAGGTCAGTTGCGCTCACCAATTCCATCTGTTCTCGGGTTGCATATGTCGAGTCAGTCTCACCTCCCTTGCTGCCATAACCCAGAATCGACAGTAGAAAGCCTCCTGCAACGGTAGTCACTGTTGCTGACAGTGTGGAAGCCAGCATGATGGGTTTTCTCGATTGACGTCCATGATTATTATGACTTTCGGATTCTTTCTGTTGCCTACTCCCACTGCTATGGAAGGCATTGATTGACCGTGCTGGCAGGCGAGAGATCGTTGAGGTGATTGGCCTTCTAGCTTGCCGTGACAGAGGGCGGATCGAAGACTTCAGCATGGTGGCAACTGGTGGGGAAGAATTGTATTGTGCTGTAAAGTGAAGAATTAAACAACAAAATAAACATCGGCTGGATAGATAGCAGGTCAATTCCGCAGTAATTATTGGGCCTGGACTACTGAAGGATAACCATACAGCAAGATTGGGACTGTACCGGATGAGGCAAGGGATGGAAACTGACACGGATGGTTCCCGGATGGTCGAAAGCCGAAAGCCGATAGAACTAGTGGCTGGGTTCGGGTACAGCCCGTGAAAAGATCAATCTCCCCCTCCACCCTCTCGCCCAAATAATCTCTGTTCTCCGGGTGTTGTTCAGTCAACGCAATGCCGTCTGATACGATAGACGTTACCACGGATCCTGAATTGTCGATGCAAGATGCCGACAACACAATTTCGGTCTCGGGTTCAAGTCGCCCCACGAAGCGGAAAAGAGTTGCATTAGCATGCGACAATTGTCGGGAGCGAAAGGTCAAGTGCGATGGCTCCAAACCCATCTGTAGCCCCTGCAGCAAACGTGGAGAGCCTCCTACTCGGTGTATGTACACTGTTATTGCAGGAACAGCCAAGCACCTGAGCGAACAGGAGTAGGTCATTGCCATATTCGAATCAATTGAGTAAAAGTGGTAACCCTTCTTAGATACATCGTGTCGCTGCAGAAGCAAGTTACAGATATGCAAGAAGTTATAGATCAGCTTCGACAAGAAGCAGAAGTCAATACTATCGCCGCCGCCAACTTCAGGGAGTCAAGGAGCCCCAGAGACAGGCCACGAACAGCTTCAGGTGCAACAGGAATGGTCTCGGGTACCACCCGTGCCGCTGCTGGTACAAGTGCAGGGGTCTCTATCAGAGTCCCCGAGGCAGGTGGACCCAGTCCCGTGAGTGCTATGGGGGCTACGACTCTAACCCAGAGTGGCCAGGAGGATGAATTCTTTGGTCAATCATCGGTTCATTCGTTGCTACGTGAGGTTTCCCACCCTCAATCTCGAAACTCAGCTCCGATTGGCGATAGAACCCAGACATCTACCTCGGTATCCGTGTCGGGTCTCTCTACGGCGGCATTGTATTCGCCTGACTTTGCCCTTCCTCCACGACAAGTTGCTGACAGGATCCTTGACCTGTATTTCAACAGCGTTCATATCTTCTACCCTTGGACACACTCTGTTAGCTTCAAGAAGCGATATGAAACACTGTGGGAACCAAGTGCTTACCCAGGTCCTCAGACTAGTGAGTCAGGAGACATCGGTCTTGGGGGCGAACGATGCTCCGAGTCATCTTTCTTTTGTGCTCTCAATGCCATGTTTGCTCTCGGCTGTGAGTTCTCAGACTTTCCTCAAAAGGAAATTGCGTCAGCGAACTTCAGTTCGCGCATGAGGAATCTATTACAGGTTGATATTCTCGACAAAGGCGATTTATCCCATGTTCAAGCGTTGCTTCTTGCTTCCCAATTCGCCATATCAAGTGAGTACCCTACAAGATGTTATAATCTCGTCGGGTTAGCCTGTCGGATCGCTGTTGGGTTAGGTCTTCACACCGAAAGATATGCCGGCAAACGATCGAATATGGAGAATGAAGTACGTCGTAGGGTCTGGTACGGGTGTTTGCAAATGGAAATGACCATTTGCATGACATTAGGCAGACCTCCAGTCCTGGAGATGACAGACGATGTTCTCATCCCATCCGCCGTTGACGATGACTTCATCACTGTTGAAGCTACGTCCTGCCGCCAACCTGAAGATACCATATCACAGAATCTGTTCATGGTAGAAAATATACGGCTGGCCAAAGTACTCGGCAAGATCCTTTCTTCCGTCTACTGGCAGAGTTCTCCGTCCGACTTTAGCACCCTCGTCCGCCTAGAAGGCGTCCTTGAGGACTTTAGTACATCTCTAGTTGACGCCCTACGATGGTGGGACCGTGGGTCAGAGTCACAAGGCGCACTCACTCATCGAGACCATGTTCTTAGGAGACAGCGAAATGTTCTTCATGCAAGATTTCTTCACCTTAAAATTTTACTATACAGACCCAGCTTCAGTTCTTACTGCTCATCTGTGAGACGCGCGTTCCAAGGCCGAGACACAGAAACAGGTTCTGGTCTGGGCGACGATGGGCCAGAAGTCAATACACTACAAGCAGCATTCCAGTCTCAGTGTGCTACAACGTGTGCCAAAACCGCTTACGACTTGTCAGTTTCCCTGCTATCTGCGAGACAGGACGATGCCACTGGTGCATGGTGGTTCAGTCTATTCTGTATGCTCCTATAATTCCAGATCTTTGGTGCTTTGTTCACTGACATGATGCTAGATCTTATGACGTGCGGCGGTATAATCATTCTCGCCGAATCTGCTCAGACTGCTGGTAGTAAGCATTTCAATCAATCCCAACTTGATGCCACATGGGAGAATACCACCATGCTGCTACGGCTTATCGGACGGGAGAATGCCCGTGTACAGGGATACCTCGACCAGTTACTTCATTTGAAAGAACAAGCCCGCTCTACAAATTTCTGTAAGCTCTTATATCTATTCGATCCAACGACTCTTGATCAATTCAGGCTGACAGACCATGCGAAGCAATACGCAACTCAGGAGAAGCAACGAGAGTGGCTTCCCGTTGGCCATCTACAGGTCCTGGTGAGGCTCCATATGTAGACTTGAATCAGAATGGAGCCTTCGCTCCATCTACGGAAGACCAAGCAGTACAGGGAGAGCTCATGTCGTTGTTGTTCCAAGACAATTGGGACTGGAATCTTGAGGGTAATATGCCCACTTATGGTGGTTTCGGATTTGGTGACGAATCTATCTTTCCTCTATCTGGCTGGTCTACATAAATACAGACAAAAGACTATTGAGAGTAGCCGATTCGTTGTATTACAGCCCTGTCCAAAAATGTGATGTTGCATTCGTAACAGACAAGGTCTCGAGAACCTCAACAGAGCTGAAGGCCAGATGTATCAAGAACTCCCCTCCTGGAATTTTCCATTTGCCTTCCGTCATGTCGAAGTAACTAAAGGCGTACTTATCAAGCTTGAACATGACGTTCTTGGTCTGACCAGCGGACACAAGCACCTTATGGTATGCTTTGAGCTCCTTGACTGGGCGATGATTTCCGTCGCAAGGAGGCATAGTGACATATAACTGGATCACTTGTTTGCCGTCCCTATTACCTGTGTTATCAACTTGAGTTGATACTGACACTGCTATCTCCTCTGCGCTACTAAAGCATGAGGTGAAGCTAGGCTGCCCCTTCAGCGCGAAGGTTGTGTAAGAGAGACCTTCCCCGAAATGGAACTGCGGCCTGGGTGCTGACTTGTCATCGTAAAAGCGATAGCCGACCTTGAGACGCTCTTCATAGTTCAAAACAAGATCGTCGTTGCAGGGGAAGTTGGGATAGGCTGGGTTATCTTCGTTCTTTCGTGGCCAAGACATGGGTAGTCGTCCTGATGGGTTGACATCTCCAAGAAGAATACGAGCTATGGCATGACCACATTCTTGGCCAGCGAACCATGCTTGAAGGAAGGTGGGAACTCGGTCGATGAATGGAGATACTGTAACAGGAGACCCAGAAAGGTTGACAACCACAGTCTTTGGGTTGCGAGCCACAACAGCGGCAATCAGATCATACTGGTTAGAGGCCAGGTCCATCGTATCGCGATCGTAACCTTCCGATTCTATCTCGTTGGTTGTACCAACAAAGACGACTGCAACATCGGAGGAGCCTGCCGCATCAGCCGCATCATTAATGGCTCTGGGAATGTCCACATATTCCATGAAGCGAAGTGAGGCTCCTTGAAACATTGTTCCACCAATCTTGGAGAGAACATTCTCATCTGTAGCCCAAGAATGTAACTCAACTTTGTATTCCCGGCCTGCAGTCATATTGAACGTGAAACGACGTTCAATCTTGGCCTTGTAGAAATAAAAGGACTCTGGCAACAGAACTGGTTCCTGCGGACGATGGAACACCTTTTCGCCATTAACGAGGACATCAGCCTTACCGGTAGTAATGACAGAGAAGGTATGATCGCCACTTGTCGTTGGGGTTAGAGCGAAGGACATGCTGCTACAGTAATCCTTGCTGAGATAGTCAGGCCAAGCCTCCTTAATCATGTACTCAGGAAGCGCGACGGTCTGTTCATGGGCAAGATTATCTCCGACCACCGAACCGTTAAACCATCTTAGTCGGACTTCTGAAATTGAGCCCGGCACAGCATGAGGCAAGGCTCCAAAGACAGGAACACCTGGGGCAAATCGACAAGTGACCCCTCGCGATTCGAGACCTTGGAGCGGTGAGATGATATGCTGTGCTAGAACCTTTGCGCTGCCACCACCGCCAATGCTTGGATTCGTGGCGAAGTGGCCGATAACAGCAACAGAATCTTGTTCCGATAATGGAAGAACGTTGTTGTCGTTTTTGAGCAGGACCATGCCATCGGCTGCAACAGCTTTGATGTACTCAATTCGAGCTGGATCCTCAACAGAACGCTCAGGTTCCTCGACAGGATTATCGAAACGGCCCGTTTTCTTTGCCAAGTCTATAACTCTGCCAACACTCTTATCGAGCACTTCAGTAGATACGTTCCCTGCTTCTATCTCGGCGAGAAGCTTCGTCCCCCGCCATCTTGTTGGACCAGGCATCTCAAGATCCATGCCTGCATTGAGCGATTTGGCGGTTGAGTAGGTTCCCATCCAGTCGGATATGACCAGGCCGAGGAAGCCCCATTCCTTGCGCAGGACCTCCTCCAAGAGCCAATGGCTGTCTGCACAATACTCCTCGTTGAGGCGGTTATATGAAGTCATGAAGCACCAAGGGTCCGAATCGCGAAGCACAAGCTGGAACGGCAGCAAGTAAATTTCACGCAACGTCTGCATATCGATGTTTGATGTCATCTTGGTTCTGGACTTTTCTGAGTCATTGGCAACAAAGTGCTTTGGCGTAGCTGCGATCCCTTGACTTTGACAACCACGAACAAAGGCCGAGGCCAGAGTACCAATTAGGTAGGGGTCCTCTGAGTAAGTTTCATAGTTGCGTCCACCGAGGGGAGATCGGATTATGTTCATAGTTGGTGCTAGTAAGACATTGGCAGACTTTGTGATTGTCTCTTTTGCGATCTCTTCGCCCATGCGGTACGCTTGATCTTGGTCGAATGAAGCTCCCAGGGCTGTTGAGCAAGGGAAGCATGCAGCGGTAATACCACTTACGTAGCTCTCACCTCGTGCACCATTGGGTCCATCGCTCGTTTTGATGTGAGGTATAAAGACGTCGTCTCTTTTGATAGTGGGTGTACGCCACCAGTCAACAGCTGCAAGTAGAGAGACCTTCTCCTCGACGGTGAGCTTGGAAATAAGGTCGGCAGTGGATTGAGATTGTGTCATGATAAGTGGTGAATGTCAGCTAACTTGCCGACTTTGGTAATATTGACATCAATTAGAAAGTAGACTCTCTTTTCTTATGTCAATGATTTGACTGGGCCATTTTCCTTCGCCGAAAAGACAACCGACATGTTGGAACTTGGAAGCGGAGAACGGGAGTAAACGTGGTGGAGAAACGTTCGGGAAGCAGCCGGTGCTCGAGTCAGAACCAGAACCAAGATGCTTTCGGGAAGCATCCGCTAACCTTCAACTCTCAACCCTTACTGATCTTCAATGGTCATAGTTTGCGGGGATTGCCAGCCCCATGGGGTCATACGGTTAGTCAATGCGAGTTTTTTTCTCTCAGCATCCCCGCATTATCGGTTCCAAAGTTGCAGTATTCTTTATTGTGCATGCAATCTACCTTGTCAGCTAAGGATCCTCGCCTCACTAGGACCATGTTGACTGAGCTAATCTAGTCAGTTCGACGAGGGGTGGTCCAGGCCAAGGTTCCAATACCTAGTCTAGTTCCATTGATCGTTTTAAATACCTGACAACACCCGCATCGAACTCAATTCAGAAATATCGAATAGTAACCGACAACATCAGGTGCATCCTTCAATTCTCATTTCCTTTCCTGCACCCTTATTGCTCGTTGAAAATGTACAGAAAAAGTCTCGATACAAAGACAGACGTGGCTATGGCTGAGAACGCTGGCCATGTCCCCGTCAACGACATTGTTGATCTCGATCAAAGAATACAAGACCTTGTGGCTGCTGCTCCCCCATTCTACAAGAACAAGAGCCTTTTCCAGTTGTATCTTCTTATTATCCCGACATGTTTGTGCGCGGCCATCACTCTTGGATTCGATGCCAGTATGATGTCTGGCCTCCAAGCTGTGCCATCTTGGGATGAATGTAAGCCATCATAAAACTTGGCAAGTCTTGGGTGATGCTAACTTGTTGATCAGACTTTGGACAACCTCGCGGTGCCCTTCTTGGTATCATGTCGGCTATTCTCCCTCTCGGATGTGTCGTCGCAACACCTTTCATCAGTCTTGTTGGCGACCGCTACGGACGTCGCATGGGTATCTTTGTTGGCGCAGTCATCATGATCATTGGTGCTGTGATTCAGGGTGCCTCCGTTCATTGTAAGCCGCTTTCTATCCCACATCTTCTCTATCATGTCCAATCATTTACGTCTTATAGTTGCCATGTTTCTCGCTTCCCGCTTCATCATCGGCTTCGGTCTTGTCTTTGCGAACGCATACGCCCCTATGCTCATCGGCGAGCTCGCTCATCCCAAGGAACGACAAGTCATCACCTCCTTGTATCAAACATCATGGTATATCGGTGCTATTCTCGCCGCCTGGGTCACCTTCGGTACCTTCAGCATTCCCAGCGAGTGGTCGTGGAGGATTCCCTCTCTGCTTCAAGCTGCTCCCGCTTTGTTCCCGATCTCTTTCGTCTTTTGTCTTCCAGAGTCCCCTAGATGGCTCATCGCCAACGGTCGAAGTGAAGAAGCCAAGGCTATGTTGATCAAGTGGCATGCCAACGGAAACGAGGACGATGAATTGGTCAAGCTCGAGTTCATCCAGATGCGAAACGTTATTGAAGCCGAGGTCAGCAATGAGACTGGTTGGAAGGAACTTTTCAAGTCTCCCGGTAACCGAAAGCGGGTGTTTATTCTGGTCTGTCTTGGATGCTTCAGTCAATGGTCAGGCAACGGTCTCGTTTCTTACTACCTGGTTCGAGTTCTTGAAACTGTCGGTGTGACCGATGCTCGAGAGCGCAACATTCTCAACGGCTGCCTCATGATCTTCAACTGGCTTACGTCAGTCGCATCCGCCTTCCTCACTGCTTACATGAAGCGCCGTACACAGTTCCTTATCTCGGTAGGGGGTATGCTCGGTATCTTTGCTTCACAGACTCTGTGCGCAGGTCTGTTCAATGAGGATCACAACACCGCTGCTGGTAAAGCCGTCATTGCCATGCTCTTCCTCTTCTACTTCTTCTACAACTTGGCCTTCAACGCTCTTCTCTACTCTTATCCCGTCGAGATCCTTCCTTACCCTATCCGAGCTAAGGGTTTCTCGCTTCTTATGTTCTTTGGCAAGGCTAGTAACTTCATCAACACGATGGTCAACCCTATTGGGCTTCAGGCTCTGGCTTGGAAGTTCTACTTTGTTTATGTCGCCTGGTTGGCTGTCGAACTTGCAATGGTGTGGAAGTTCTTCATCGAGACCAAAGGGCCTAGTCTTGAGGCCATCGCTGCTGTTTTTGATGGTCAAGACGTTTCCTTTACGTCTGAGGATATCGATCTCAAGAAAGACACATCAGCAAAGTACTAAGTGCTACAACAATCCCTCATTTCGCAATATAATCTCAGAGTCCTGAACAGGATTTCAAATATTTTGAAAAATATGCTCCGATAAGAAGAAGGATCTCAATTAGACTTATATAGTTAATATATTTAGTTGAACAGCACTTTTGATATATCGTTTCGACTGTCCATCCATCTCTATAAAACCATTATTTACCAGCCAATGATGCACTAGATGTCGCTTGAATGGCATAAGACCCCTATGAACTTCTACCTTACACAAGGGGGACCGGGGTCCTCCATGTTTTTCGTATGCGGCGCAAAACGGACACCGGTAACCCCTACCACCATAAAATCCAGTGATTGGATGGACTGGTGATAGTCCATTCATCGACGGGTAATTTTGTAGGTATCTTCCGAGGCCATTAGGGAAATAGCCGCTTTCCAAAACGTCGCTGTCAAGAGAGACCTTTCCAGTGCTGCCAGGGAGGGCGTGAAAGCATGTATGGCTGGGGTCCAGATGACCTCTTTGTGCATACAGTTCTTCGTCCCGCGCATCGGTTTTTTGTAGCCATTCGCGCTGCTGCTTATTGTACTTATTTGAACCTGGCATCTGGTGTGTGTGATAATACTGTATAACGGCTTGTGGCGCCGGTTGGTTGTCTGATAAAGATTGCATTTGTCCTTGGGACGCTTCGTCATCTGTGCGTGTGGGTTGACTGATATTTTGATAGAGACGCATTAATTGTTCCCCAGCATCTAGGTTATCGGGGATTGCTCTAGGTTCTTGGGGTTTAATTGGGTGAGATGGCTGACGTGCTGCTGGAGCGTCGGGTCGAGGTTGTGCTTGCTCTGGTGGAGCACAGCTAAGTTGCTGTGGTGGTACAGGCACAGTACAGGACGTGTGGTTCTGAGCTGGCAGAGGCGCAGACCCCTGAGGCTGCTGAGGGGGTACCACCTTCATTACGGCCCCAGAATTCATCACTGCAAAGCGTTGGGTTGTGTGGGCCTCATTCGTGTCCTTTGGTACCGAGTATTGGGGTTGTGGGCGAGTCTCAACCGGCAGGGGTCGAAGATGAAATGAATTGTAAGATGATTGTGTTGTGCGGCCGTTCTGAAACTCATTGCCGTACTCTTGATGAGGTCCCGGTTGCTGAGGGCGGGTGTCTTGTAATTGTCCGTTGATAATCTGATGAGCAGCTTGTGATGGAAGGTTGGAAACGACTTGTTGAATAGGAGGAAGGGGCGAGTATCGGCGTGGAACCGTGTTTTGCGACGTAGAAGCTTGGAAATCAGGCAGATGTGAACTAGGGTGCCTTTCCATATCAGGATTCCATTTATCTATATAATCAACAACAGCATCCTTTGTCTTGCGCCTCTGCTCCGCCTCATGCTTGTCTTGCTGATGTGCATGTTGATCATTTATTCTGTCCGCGTTTGGCGCATCTGAAGGGACCGTTCCGTCTTGACTATGGGTCATCTCATTTTCATCCTCTGAATCTGAATCTACGATGACGAAAGTATCGCTTGTTATGCGAGGCTTCCTCTTCACTCCTTCGGTAGAGAATTCCTGGGGGGAATGTACTGCTAAATCTGGCGGTTCTAGTTGAAAGCTGGTTGTCAGCGATCACGGCCATTCTGCAAAATCTCCAGGGAAGAGAGGGGGAAGAGGTACGTGATAGGATTCCTACTAACGATCGAGACGGGATATTGGTGCGACTGATGGGAGCCTAGGCAGTGCCGCCGACACTGTTGACCAGAACGAAGTTGGAAAGCGTTTTTGCAGTGGATGTTCCGTCTGATGTTGTGGTATGTCCGAGGATTCAGACGCTGATTGTGATTGATCTTGCGGTCGCGATTTTTGCTGGTTGCTAGGCTGAGGTGGGTTATCGTTGACTTGTGACGCAGGTTCTTCTGTGGGCAGGGTCTCCTGGTGCTCTTCGGCATCCGTTCGTTGAGGGGATTCACATCCTGGATCTTCCTGCCATACTGAGCCCTCCCTGGTTCGTTCTTCTTCTGCGCTTTCGCCTTTATCCTCTCCTGCGTCTTCCCCTTCATCGTCCTTGACTTCTTCTGAGTCTTCGTCCGAGTCTTCCTCGTCCTCGGACCAATCCCTTGATTTGAGGTATCCACGAACTGTCTTGAGGTGAGGAATAAGCTTATGTTTCTGCTTGGGGTCAAAGTCACGTAATTCTCTAGCTTCAATCCACATGATGGCACTCTTGCCAGGAAAAGGCCGACCGTCAAAAAACATAACAGGAAACATACGCTCCTTTTCATGAGCTTCTCGATTCCTATAACCTTTAGCCCATACGTATTTGCCCCTCTTTGGTGTCTTGTTGTAGCAAGAGGGTAAAGTTTCTATCAGATCACAAGATACAATGGAACCTGGAATACCCACGGTGGAAAAGTCGCCCATTGGAAGCAAGACAACAGCAAGCCATTCTTTAGTTTTCTTCCAGTAGGTGGTATAAATGTTTCCGGGCTTGGGATGCAAGATACCCTCGAATTTGTCATTGTCTGTCGACTCTTCGGTGTGTCTATGGCTGCGTCTCAGCACTCTCTCTGAAGGCTCTGCCACTGCAGGCATTGGTGGTTTGATTGAGCGTTCCGTTGTAGACCTGCGAGATGTTTCTGCTGTAGTCTGACATGACTGTTCTGTTCTAGACTTCTGTGGCGACTCTGCCGAACTCGCGGGGTCAGTCCTGTGGCGTTTACCCGTTGTGGAGACTGGCGTTGATGCTTTTCGTTTCTTGGACAAGGTTTCTTTGCCCGTTGAGGAGAGAATATTTCGGGGAGGCGCATTCATAGACCATTGTGATCTATGCCGTTGTTCAGTGGCTCGACGTGGAGTGATATCATCGCAAGTCGAGACTGGTGATAGAGGAGCAGTCTGCAAATTTCGACTGGCAGTAGTGATGTTAACTGCCGTTTTTTCAGGAAACTCGTTCCTGGGTTTCGCCGACTCAACCTCTATAGGCTGCTCGGCATCAGCCATTTCAACCTCTGCGTTCTCATCGCCGTTGACTGCATCATCGTTGGTCTTATCATTGTCTACGTGGTCATCTTCTTCATCGCGAAACATTGGGCCTTGGTCGATGGCATCTTCCGGTTCCGGTGTGGCCACGACGGCTTCGTTACTGGGAGGATCCTTTCTGAGGGATTCATCTATCGTGGTTTTTGTTCCAGTTCCAGTCCCTACATGCTGCGACGCGTGAGATGATTCTTGTGCAGATTCATCTCGAGCTGCTTCAGTCTCGTGTGTTTCCGTGTTTGGAGGGTTCTGGTTCTGGTGTTGGTCCTGGTCCTGCTGCATGTCCGATGGTGGTTGGTCGCAAGCTTGTTGGCTGATGGGCGTTTGATTTTGAGTTGGGTTTTGAAGTCCCAAAATATGAGCCAGTCGGTCACGGAGGTTATCCATTATCTCTCTGAGGCGAAGCTCATGCTCTCTAGCATATTGAGCACTTTTTTCAGTGTAATGACGTTTCAGGTCCTCCATCTGACCACTCAAGTCGATAACGACATCTTCGTAGGTCGCGCTCTCTTCATCAGTTTCTGCAGCACGCAAAGAGGCGACTGCCTCTTTAACTTGTGTGCGCAGTCTTGCCTGCTTCTCATCATAAATGGCCTGGGGAGATGGATTGTTTGCAAAAGTGGCCTCATAATGGGCGATAACTGATTGTATCTCTTTGAATTGATGAGCTGGATCCTGATGGGCCATTTTGTCTGACGCGCGTTACCGCGTCAGCATGCTATGGGGGGCGGCTAAGTGCCTGCAGATGACGCGCCCGCACGTTACTGATCCTAGCGACAACAAATAGATGGGTACTGACGTGAGTATGTGGCGGGGAAATTGACAATGATGATAATATTGTTGTTTTGTGAGATGAGGCTACAAAAGTTTCAGGCCGGAAACCGGGCTCTGCTAGTTGACCCGGACCTAAAAAAGGCCGCTAACCAAGGAGAGTTTATCCGACGTCATTGAGATTGATGGAGGGGGGTTGGTCTAGTGTAAATTGTCAACCCAGAGAATCTTTGTCTCGAGTTTTGCTTTTTCCATCTACTGTCGAGCTACTGTCGGATGAGAAGCAAATATCTGCAGAATATTGTCAGATATCGTCAGATACCAATGGTTGATCAGTTCCTGAAGTGACCTTTTCGAATACGCCCCTAATTGAAGGACCTCTTGTGACCCCAAGACTCACTCGAAGTACCGTTACACACTGTGTTGCAAGGATTGCGCCCTATTCGTATCCCTGTAGATTGACCTAGCGCTGACTTGAGAAACCACTAGTCAGGAGGTAAAGCCAATAGACAGAAGATATTTCGAGTCTCTGGGGCAAGCCATGTCAAATCACCCAATAACTACCTTTCATCGTTCCATAGCGCATCGATACTGTGCATGTCGCATCTTCTGTTGTCGATTCTAGGACTACCCAATCATACCAGATACTAAAAAGTGGTCCCACTTCTGGACTCGTATCTTTTGTCTCGAGTCAGGATACATCAGCAGGAAACGCTACGCCAACGAGTGGTGTCATGTTCAAGATTGAATACCCTATAGCAGTGCTAACCATGTTAAAATGTGCCAAAGGTTCAATTTGTTTGCCTTGCACTACTAAGACAACATGAATATCAAGTCATGAGAAATTCTTTTTCAGCTTCGCTTTTAATCTCCAAAGGTTCCGAGTGCAGTACCTGGCATAATTAGCTGATTTAACCTATAGTGTCTCGCCCTTTTTCACTTAACAAAAAGCCACGTTGTCTTACGTTCTTACCACATCATGAATTGTAAAAAAGACAGAATGAGATATTGTAAAATGTAATAAACATCGTTTCAAGACCAACCATACTGGTGACGGTTTTTGACCCAAATTGCACAACCGAAACGCATTGAAGTAATTAATTAGTGTTACTGGTACCGGAGCCTACTGACTTGATTCCGCCTTGTAGTAAGCAGATCAATTCGTATCTTTCAACCACCATCACTCCATTTGGAGTAGGAAATACCGGTTCTAGACCCATTCGATATGGGGTTATAAAGTTAGCGGTTCTCTAAACTATATGGGACTGTTCTGCACCGTATGCGAGGAATTTTTCAGAGGCCCTCAATACGCAGCTGATGTTATGAAAGATGGGAATTCTATAATGAAGGCTGTGGCATTATCTCGTATGTATGCACCCTCCGTAACCCGTTATGAAAACATACTGACCGGCCAGTTGCCGAGATAAAGGGACTTCTTTGACACATAAGAAGCTAGAGCTTGGATTCCTCGACATGCTTCCAGTGTCGATCCGTTGACAAGTATACTGGGAATCAAAATCGCTTTTCCGTTCGTCTTCTCACCCGCTGCTGCGAAAAACCCTGGCATCCTGGAAGAAGGATCGAAACGTCCATGACTGCGATTGGAAACACTATCCCAATAGCGCTGTCAGCTTGTGGCACTATGTTGATAGGAGATCAATAGAGTTGGGTACAAGAGTGTGTACTTCGTTTAGCTTAACCTACTAGGATAAGAGTATTGCTGATTGGATTGTTCCCTATCCTGATGATATATAATGGTCTTCTTACTGTTTATAACGAGTTTCTCACATTTTGTCTATAGTCTATAGTCTAGCGTCTGGGTCTGAGGATCATAGTATCATCCCTGCAACGGATGCTCCTACTGTCGAAATCAGGCAAAGCGAAACGCGAAATAGTCTCGAAATGCCGTCATGAACTCAATATATCAGTTTCCTACATATGTAGCCGTGAGTAGTCCTACGCCAAGAGATGGTTCTCTTACACATGGCAAACTGCAACGAGCGAGCCCATTTATCGAAGGCCGAATACCGATATCTATCAATAGTGACATTCGTCTTGGTACTAGCATCCCAAAAGCCTTAGCATCAGGCGCAAACTTTCCATCTGCGGAAAGGATACCAATCTGGGAGCACGTATGGTTTCTCTTGCCTTTTCTGAACCGGGTTCTCTTGCTGTTTTGAATGCTGACGTGCAATTGCGGTTAGCGGAATGACTGGGATGGTGTCGATTTGGCACTTGCGACAGGAATTGGCAAGATAATGATATTGCTCGAGCAAGTTATTGAAGCCACAAGAGAAGTCGGCTGACAATGGCCTGTGATATCACTGGTCTCTCGATGAGTTCTTCAACTATTTGTGGTTACTCTTACCTTGACGTCTGACTCGGTAGTCCAGATCTGCAGGCTGAGCAACGTCGTCGTTTGGAACTCTCAGCCACAAAGCCTTTCACATCGAGACTTACAGCGTGTTTTAAATGCTTCTTTCAACGTCGTCCTGATTCGATACGACAGGTCGGTTTCAGCATTTGCGGCTCCAAGATAAGATGTCAGGAATGATAACGCTATCAAGTGCAATCAATTCCCTTGAACAATGATTATCAACGCCCTTTAAATCTAACCACCTATCCCAAAGATAAGTTATCGGCCCGCAATTTGCCTGTTCGAAAGGGGCAGGCATAGGCGAAGGGTGCATATCAATGGATATTGCCAAGGCTAAGAGTGCAACCTTCAACTCGGAGCTAAGCTCCAAGCCTAGCCAATTTGTATCGAGTCAGGTTCCCAGCCAGCCGGGTCTCCTGGTCAATCCTGGACGGTAGCCTTATCACTTAAGAAGCTATTGTGGATTATGTTGGACTCAATGCAGTGGATATTGTTTGACCCAGCTTCATGGGAGCCTGCTTCCGGCCCTTTCCCCGGACTTTGCGGGGTAGTTCGAAATGGTAGGACGCTAAGCAGATTGTAAAGTAGCTCTTATCTCTGCCAGGAATTAGATCGTTGGTAGTCTGAGATGAAAGCGAGAGGGGGTGATTAGGTAGTTGGGATGCGCGTATAAAAGCGCATATGTCTCCCACTTGACATTGCTGATCCTGGAAGATATTGGCGCCGTCTTTCAGCTCACCAACACTATTGAGCCATCGAGAAGTGTTTTGATTTTACGTCATGTCCGAACCAAAGGTGTCGAGCCCTCATGGGCATGTCATGACTCCAGACGAAGAAAAACACGCAGGATCCGGTGTCTCGCGAGACTCGTTCCAAGCCGCAGAGACCGTCCCCATCAGCAATGATCTTCATCGTACCCTCAGCCCGAGACAGGTTCATGTGAGATAATCTTTGTCACGTTTGACGATCCCAATCGCTGATAACATCCCAGATCATCTCTCTGGGTTCCAGTGTTGGTAGTGGACTCTTCATCGCCACAGGCAAGGCCCTTGCAAATGGAGGACCGGGAACTATGTTCATAGCATACCTGCTTGTTTGCACTGGTGTTTGGGCCAACCTACAAACCCTCGGCGAGATGACGATCGCATTCCCAGTTTCCGGCAACTATATCGACTATGCTAGCAGATGGGTAGATCCAGCCTTGGCGTTTGGAGCTGGTTTTGCTGAATGGCTTGGTGAGCCACCACTCCCTGAGCTTGACAGCTTGAAACTAACTCACTGGTCTCAGGTTGGACCGCCGTCTTCGCTGCCGAAGCCGCGTTCTTTGTGGTCCTAGTCGACTATTGGGCCCAGGGCAGGGTACCTCAAGGTGCACTAAGTATGTACCACAGATCAACGTGCTCGAGTTCTTGACTGACATGACGTAGTCTCCATCTTCTTAGTCATCTGCCTTATCGTCTTTCTCCTACCCAACAACGCCTTTGCGTGGCTTCAGTGTTTCGGATCTCTGGTGAAATTCGCCTTGTTCGTGTTTGTGGTCATCTTCTCGATTGTACTGTTCGCGGGCGCCGGACCAGATCGTGATCATGAATGGGGCGCTTCTTGGCACAATGGACTGGCTTTCCAAAACGGATTTGGGGTAAGGTTTCAGAACCTATCAAGTTACAAAGAGGATACTGACAATGCCAGGGTTTCGCTAGCTGTGCCTTGTTGGCGATCTGGGCCGTTGGCGACCAAGTCTTTGTTGGTGTCATGGTAGGAGAGGCTTCATCTCCTCGATACTCCATGGGTCATGCATCTACTCTGGTCCCTCTCCGAGTCGGAGTCATGTACATGACTTGTGTAGTCCTTATCGGCCTTCTGATTACTTCTGATAACCCCGACCTCTTGGGCGCATCAGGTTCTGCCGCATCGCCCTTTGTCATCGCCGCTAAATGAATTAAGGGAGTTCCTGATTTGATCAACGTGTGTATCATCATCGGTATCCTTGCAATTGCGTTGGAGTCGATTTACCTCCCATCCCGTATCCTCCGAACCATGGCTTTGCAGGGATTGATCCCAGAGAAATTTGGCCATTGCGACGAACGTGGTCGACCTCGTTGGGCGCTTGCCCTGACGTCTGTTGTAGCAGTAGTCATGAGTTATATGAGTCTTAACGGTAAGTACTTCTCCCTCTTTCCAATCTGCTCGTATCCGACAGGAACAAGCTGGTGGAACCGAAGCTCTCAACTGGTTCGTTTCGATTACAAGCGCCTCATTCTTCTCCAACTGGGCCATCATCGCCTTCACGAGCTTCTTCTTCCACCGCGCGTTGAAGGCACAAAGTGACGAAATCTTCAGCCAGAGATATGCCTGGAAGTCATTCGCCTGGCCTTCACCACCTGCTTATTTGATGCTCATCTGCGTACTTTTACTCGTATGCCTGTTTTACATGGCTATCAACCCCATTGTGAGAAACATGATCCTCTTAAACTACCTGATAACATTAACTAACGCGTCATGAATAGAGTGGTACTGGCTTCACAGCCTACAACTTCTTCCAGAACCTAATTGGTCTCTTGATGATTGTGATTTTTACACTAGGATACAAGGTTCTCATGCGTACCAAGTGGCAATCTGCAAAGACAGCCGATCTTCAAACTGGCAGAAATAAGCTTCGACCGGATGAAATTGAGTTCTTGGACAATTACTATAGTCGCCCATGGTGGCAGCGTCTCGGCACTTACCTGTCTCTGTATTAAGGGGGACATAGAGACTATCGTATTGATGGAAGAGTGCTGGCAGAGACAAAGTCTAAAGTGCCTGCCTCGGGAAAGCATGCTTCTTTTGAAAGGGCATTAGACTCGGGGTTATACAAATGATCTAGAACAAATTAGTTCACGCCACAGGGATAGCTATGACTGTACAGTACGAGATAATGCAACACCGATTTGGGCCAGGGGTCATACCGACAATAAGACAACCTTTACCATTTCCAAACTTATTGCATTGTTAGCCTGTGGCTTCATGACTGTCCTTTGAGTCACTCATTATAATTGCACGCCCTTACCCTTCCAAGAGATGTCACTTAGAGCGCGGAATGGTCAAGCTTCATCACAACGAACATGACGGCTACGGCGAGTCCAGCGGCATATATTAACTTTGATTTAACTTTGCTCTGGTGGTAATAAAAATTTAGCGGCTCGGCATTATAGAAACAACAACATTCAGTTGATGCTATTTTCACAGCAGAGCCATTCAAGTCGAGGCTATCTTGTGTATACGCTAATTGCACTAAGATATCTCAATGCGGGATATTAGTGGCAAGCTGTCTTAGTGTAAAGGTGTGTTGATAAATAGAGAAGATATATCAAGGTTTGAGTTGAAGGTCCCAGAACAAGCAAATGGCATACATATGCCCTCAAACGAGGTTAAACTAACTGTACTGTCTCAAGATATTTGATTAGAATACATTGAATCTCTTTACCCCATAACATTTACACTTATGCATCCTTGGCCCATGATTCCCATTCATAAGCTGCAAGCATAAACGGCCCAACGCCATTCTGTCCGTTCTCGAGAGTCGGTTGGGCCACATAATACTACCTCTCGTCAGTGTTGTTTCCTGTTATCGGCGCTGTACTTACTTCGAAAGTCACGTTTGAATTGAGTAGTCCACACTCGGCGACAGTACTGTTGAGAATAATGGGGCCCTCTTCCTCTCCTTCGATAAAGTTGTTGACAATGCTTGTGAATGCGTCTCGTGCCATATCAAGATAATCACTGCGGTCCAGATATCCCAGGTCTATGGCTTTCAGCAGGCCCCACGTAAACATAGACGAGCCACTGCTCTCGACATAGTTACCCTCGCGTTCAGGATAAGGCTCGTTCATGACCTGCCACCAACTACCAGAAGCCGGGTCTCGAGACTCTTTGAGTCCAAGAGCGACAGATTGGAGATATCCGAGAAGTTGTTCATAACCAACATGGCCAGCCGGGAAGAACTGCAAGACTTCAACAAGAGACATAAAATACCAGCCAAGTGCACGGCCCCAGACGTTGGGTGCCTGTCCAGTTTCTGGATCAGCCCAAGACGCTGCGCCGTCAACCCAGCCGTGGACATGAAGGCCCGTAGTCTCATTCACAGTATTTTCATGTATGAGCTCATATTGAAGCAAAATGTCACCCCATGCGGTGTCATTGTCACGGTCGTATAGACTTGTCCACTTGGCATAAAACGTGTCTGCCATGTAAATACCGTCTAGCCACATCTGGTTTCGGAAGAATTGCTGGTGCCTAAAATAATTTTTAGATAACAGGAGACTGGTAGAGTTTTGCTAAATATCTTACCAAAAGCCACCAGATGGTGTACGGGGATACCTGTCAAGCATTTGCCTGATTGTGTTGGCTGCAGTTTTGTACTTTTCCTCCCCTGTCTCGTTGTATAGGTAGAGATAGTTGTGACCCATTCGATACTCATCGAGGATGTATTTGGATGTATTTAGACCTTTAATAGTACCGTTCTCTAGTACTACAGGGCCAGTAATTTGCCCAATGTACCAATTGAGATATTTGTCGTCCCTAGAAAGCTTATAAGCTTTTTCAAAACCCAGGTAGAGCACTGCATCTTGGTATCCTCGGTCAGGCGCGACACCCTTAGAGATCATTGTGTCTGCCATTCGAGTCAAGTACGAAGACTCGGTTTGAGCAGACACGGCGGCCAAGAGGATGATGCATGGCATAAGTTTCATGGCGGCGTTGTTTGATGGATATAGTGCTGCTTATAAAAAGAGTGCTCTTTGCCTTCCCCGCTGTAGAGATTTGGGCTTTGCAGAGTTCCCTCAACGGTCGAAACATAGTTTATATATGTATATCTACATATCATGTTCAATAATCAACGAATAGCGGGGTCACAACACATCCAGAGAATGGCAGAGTCAATGCGACTTTGTGCCTTGTGATGAATTGCTTTTCAAAAGGCCTTGTCTTCATGCCTTGTTTGGTCACCAATGAGGGGAAATGACACACATTCAGGTCGCACCGAGCCCTCCAGTCCACCAATGAGCGACGGACTGCTCCTTCATGCACGCAAGACATTTAGACGAGCAGTCTTTATGTCGATCCGTGCTTGATAAGAGATATGATAGGTCATGGTGATATTGATGAACTGATATCTCTTACAGTGGATGTTGCTTTGATCCTCAATCAGGCCTGGCCCAAAAGCGACCCAAGCCACACATGAACTATTCCATTATGCAAGTCAAGTCATGCGCTTATACTGAAATCCACTTTCACGTGTATGGCTTTTGCCATTTTTGTAATCTCTCTTAGTTGCTTGGGTATTAGCTTCATAAACATCCAAAAATGGGGGGAACTTACTTTAAGAACTATCATTTTACCAACAGTTAGAACTTCACAAATAAAGTCACCACTAGAACTAGATTCTTAAAAAAAAAACAATTCTTGTTGTAGATACATATTACGTTCACATGATTACTAGGTCGACATTAATCGGCTCGTATAAGTAATATTAAACTTGCTAAACTAGCTCCGTAAACTAAAAAGGGTAAAATCGGCAAGCCAAACGTTGGCATTCCCAGAATAAATTTCAATAAGACGTTCATCAGTATCATTAAGGTCTACCTAGACCTTGGTGGGGGCAACCTCGTGGATCTGTTGACCCTCGGAAGAATTGTTATCGACATCCTCATTTAGAACCTCTCTCTCGACCTTCTCCATGGTGACATTGCCAACAGCAGCATTATCGCCATCAATGACCTTGGCGACCTCCTCTAGAGTAGGTCCTCGTGTCTCAACATACATGAAGTAGATGAACATAACCTCTCCAAAGACCCAGATAGTGTAGATGAGGTAGAGTCTCCAGGTGTTACCACCATAGATCTGGCCGTCGATCGTCCAGGCATCGAAAGCCAGAGGGTTGAGGTAGTTGTTCAAGAGGAGAGCGATCTGGACAGAGATATTCAGGACCATAAGACCCTTGGCGCGGAGAGAGTAGGGGAGAATCTCAACCGCGTAACCGATGAGGAGACCAGACCAACAAGTAGAGTAGAAGACACCGTGCATCCAGACAAGGAAGATCATGGCGTTATTGGCTCCAGGGGCCTGATGTTGCTCGTACAGACCACATGTGAGGGTCCAGAAGATGAGAACAACGAACATGCCACCAGTGGCAAACAAGAAAGAGAAACGACGGTTAAGGCGGTCAACAAACATAGCGCATCCAATCGAGACAATCATATCGAGAATTGTCTTTCCGGCAGTGATGATGAGGCGGTCTTGCTCGCTCTCCAATCCTGCATTCTGGTAGAGAATGGCAGAATAGTTAGAGACGACACCGTTGCCAGACCACTGAGAAAAGATACCCAGAGAGAAGAGAACAATTAGACGGTAGCGGTTTCCCTTGGTCTTGATAAAATCGACGTATGAAGAGGAGTTATCAGCCATCTGCTCAGCCTTGATAGTCTCGCGAATCTCTCGGTACTCGAACTGGACAGTAGGATGGTTGACATCGCCGTTGGCGTGAAATTTGGCAAGAATATTCAAGGCCTCGTCATGGCGATCCTTGGCGATGAGAAAACGAGGAGACTCGGGGATCCCTGGAAGGATCATGTTAGCGCATATTGGCACGATAGATCACCAGAGGTTTACTCACAGAAAAGGACGATGAGCTGAAGCAGACCGGGGGCGCCCTGAAGGATAGCAGGGAATCGCCATGACCAGTTGTTACCCCAGAAAGAAGTACCGAAACAGGTCCAGGAAACAAGAAAAGAACCCAAGTTCCAGAGACAGTTGTAAACTGTGGTGAAACGGGCACGGTGCTGAGGATGGCAAATCTCGGCGAGAAGCATAGGAGAGGCGATTTGGGCGAATGAGTTACCGAAACCGAGAAGAACACGACCGCCAGAGAAGGTAGCATAGTCAGGGGCACCAGCCTGAAGACCAGCGCCAATAGCCATAATGATGAAACCGAGAGCAATGGAAGGACGACGGCCCCAGCGATCGGTGATGAGGGGGACAAGAGGGATAGAGGCGACTGAACCGATCTGGTAGAGGGCGATGAGGAGACCAAGTCTGTCACCCTTTGGGTCGTCGAAGAAATTCCTCCAGCTCTCGAAGTTCTGAACATTGTTCATGTACATTCTGCAAAGGTCAGTATATGCCAGTATTCGCAGTCTCTTGAGAGTACTCACCCATCCCAACCAGTTCCCATAGAAGAAGCACAAAGAACGCAGGCGTAGAAGGTTAGCTTCCTCAGAGCTGGGTCCCTGTACCAGATGACCTTCTCGAACTTGGGGGCTTCATCTCGAAGCCTCTGGGTCTTCTCGTCGGCCGCAAGGCCCATAATCTCCTTGATACCCATGATGATTGTTCAATCGATCAATCGGTGATAAAACAAAGTATATGATTGAATTGTGTTTGCTATTGCAATGAAGAGTGAAGAAAAGAGTGGGTGAAGTCTGGGGGCATCCCTGGATAGATATAGAAAAAACGCGTTGAAGGCGTGGCAGGCCTGTAACTCGAGAACACTCAAAGGATGGACGGACGTGCGGACCGGACTTCAGACCCCAGATTATGGGGAGAGCAGAGGATACAACCGAGCAGGCAAAACCCGGAATTGATAGATCAAATGGCAGTCGTCCGCTTAATGGGTCCCACTCCCTTGAATGTCGGAATGGGCGATCTTGTTCCACCTTGGCTTCCTTGGAAGTCTTGGTAGTCATGAGTCTTAGCCAAGATGGAGGCCGGGCCGCAGTCTTTGGACAAGGATATGGGCTAGATGGGGTTGCTTTTACAGGGATGTACAAAATTGGATCAGTCACAAGCTGGGGAGAGAGAGACTAGAATCTGATTCTGGCCTTTTTTGAACAAACCATGTTGGTTGTTATTGTACGGAGCACTCCGTGATGAACGAGAATAATGGGGCTCTGTCGATTGACCCCTTGTAGGCAGTATTCCCGCTATTAGCCTGTTACGGTTGCCCTACCGAGCGAGTCCCATGGGGATAACTCTACCTAATGGGAAAAAGGGGGTTTGTTTAGTCATTACCCATTTCCTCATTTCGCCACGGCGTTTCATCCAGGAACACCATGCTATTCATCGTCTGTGTCCGACGCACAGATCATAATCTACATTCATACGATGCCCTGATCTGATCTTGTAGTGGCAGCATTCAATTGAGGTAAGCTGACCAGTACACAGTACCTGAACTGCTTGTGGCATGTCTTACAGTTACATTCTGCCAGTGGTCAACTTGTACAACAACCACTTATATGCTGTGCCTCCATTATTCGCCTTCTTCCAAGACAGGTCATGATGTTTTAGAGAAACCTTTTGGTACAACAAGGCGACAAGTGAGGGAGGACAAAGGTCCTCAATGGTGCGGAATGAAGACGCTCAAGCAGTTGTCGGGATATTCTCCAGTCTTGGCCTAGAGTAAAATTGGCTAAATACGGGTAAATGCGGGTAAAATACAACCTTATAATGAGTGCCAAGCCCTCGCCAATAGTTTCGTGCCTCTTGTCTGTTCAAGGAAATCTTTCCATGTCTTTACCGTCATCAGCCGCAAACGCGAAAATAAACATGCGAGAAACCCCGTCAGTTCCCGGCACATTCCTCATCGAAGAAAAGGAACATTTACCATCTCATCTCGGCACGTGGGAATAGAATTCAGCCGCCACGGGGGGACTTTAGTCTAGCCCAACAGTCAGACGGTTGAAAGCCAGACCTTGGCGGGTCGCCTGATATAACCCCAGCGAAAGCCAAGGACGTTTAAATGGAGACAACAGGACTTTTAATCAACTCTCATACGGCGAACAAACATCCTCCAAGAACTTGGCGCTTTGCCGACTTTTTGACCCAGATTTTACTCTCCACTTAACAAGACTTGACCTGAGCTTGCGACAAGGGACGAGGAACCGAGGGCCGATATCCCCATGGGCTCAGAAATTCTCCTGTTTGTTTAACTTTAGTGTGAGCATGACCGATGGATCGATTTTTCTTTTATCGTGCCATGACAAACACGAAATTCATACATGTTTCCACAGCCGATTGCAAGTGAGAAATCTGTATAGGTTAATGGGGACGTTTTTCACAAAACAGCAAAGAGCACGACAATTACCAACATCACGGTGCCATCGCGTTGAAGCTGATGAAACCTGGTATTTTCGCACCAATGGTCATTTAATTAAGTCGCTCACGTACAAACCAACTGCCAGCCCAAGACAGGATCCCCCTCGCAGCTCACACTCAGGTTGCGAGTGAATTAGCCATTGTTTTGCTCACAGTGTCCCACGCACAAGCATTGTATTTTTTGATATGTTGGTCGTTGCGGCTCTAATCAGGGTTGTATTCGGCATCTGCTAGATTGAGAATGCGATTTCAGGCTATTTTGTATAGAATTCACCAATTCCATTTAGATTGCTGCATATGGATGGAAGGCTTGCTGGCCAGAAAGCGCGGACAAAGAGTATGCTTCTTCAAGACACATCTGCGATTCACGATATCACCGCCACCTCGAATGTCTTGTTGTCAGAACTGAATGCACGGTACTGTGCCATGGCGCGGGTAATCTCAACCACGGTCGAAAGCGACGGCATGTGGCAACTGCGAAGCGCCTTGGCCTTGGCATTGTTGATCATGATTCCGTGTTTATGGTTCAACTATATCCCAGGGTTAGGTCTTGCCTTGCTATGGATGGGGAGCTATGGATGGGTCCCGATGGCACCAATGCACAAGTGACACATCCAAGTGCATGCATATGGCGATTAATTGAGACAAGTACACATTACACACTTGGCGTGGAGAAGACATTGCACCTACACATCACGACGGAGATCCGTAGATCCGAGTCCACTGAAGCTGTTTTGCCTGGGCTAGGAAGATGTAGTCCAATAGCGGCCAGATGACCTGCATTGTCTGAATGGCTAGACCTAAAACCTGGAGGATGCATGCTGTACGAAGAGGGGAGGACTTGGGATGCTTTGACCTTTCAAGGCTGAATGGAGGAGCACTTGAAATGTGATGCCCAGACTCAGTTGTTGCGCTTGGTCCAATCAGCCAGACCCTCAAGAAACTTTGTGTGAACATCGGCCTCCCCGGTCGTTTGCAAAACCTCCTGGTACTCTTTTTCGCCCAGACACTGGAAAAAGAGAAGAATGCCAGCCCAGATGAAGTCGGTGTAACTGACAGTGTCACCTAAGAAATAAGGCCCTGAGCTGTTTTCTTTGAGCAATTCCGTAATTTCACGAGCGAACGGTTCCGCTCGGTCCAATGCTCCAGGGGAGTTCTTCTCTTCGTACTCACACAATGGCATTCCGACGTCTTCTTGCCTCGTGGAGAGGAAGAAGTCAATGCTCTTATCGCCAAGGATATTTTTGGCGACGCCGGGAACGTAGATGGGTGTCATCTGTGTCATGAACTTCACCATAGAAGCCCTGAGACGAAGCTGCATTGGGTGATTCAGACTCATGCTAGGCTCCGGGTACTTTCCCTCAATGTAGTCGGCAATCCTGTAAGAGTCCATCAGGTAGGTACCGTCGGGCATCTGTATGGCTGGGAGTGTGAACTCAGGGTCTTGTTCATTCGGTGAAACACTGGAAACGCGACCGTTATTAAGAATGCTTGCTCGTCGTTATTTAGACAGTGTTTACTCACTGTTGACTCAATCGTTCCTTGATCTGTGGATACTCAAGCTACGTCTCTTAGTAGGTCTAACTTGTCACAGACTTCCAGGACTTACCCATTCAGTTTTGTAGTTGAGTCCTTTAAAGTTGAGAAGTAAACGTGCTGGGACGCGTCAGTATCCACATTCCAACACTAAAGCTTGGCCGGAAAAGGACCAACTTCTCCAAATATTCATCGACCAACAAACCTGGGGTGATTTGGTGGGGATATCGAATAAGGTTATTGTATCAGAAGACATGGCTTTATCGGACCTTTTTCGTATTGTACGGGCAGAGTTTGGGTCAAGTAATCCAAGTCTCGGCGGCATAAATTGCTGCAGCAAACAGTTATAAATAGTATCTTGTCGTATCACGACATTAATCAGCAATGTAGAGATCAGCCAATCCTTCAATGGCGCTGTATCTTTCCCCTCGCCATATCGATAAGCCTTGAATCCTTTGAAGTCGAAAAGGGCAGGTGTTATGTTCAAATCTCCACTACAAAACTACTGGACAGTCCTGAAAGTGCGCTAAAGGACAGGCCTGGTTGCGTCTTGGATACACCTACTGGTCATTCTCCATGCTCCTATCTCACCAAATAATCGCAGAGTCAACTGTATCCTTCAATTCTTCAATATATATATATATTTCTAATTTTACGCACAGATATTACCGTTCGTGCAAGGATATCGGGGCATGGCCTCTTAGCCAGCACCATGTTAGGGTCAGCTATCCGCTGGACACAATGACTTCGTTCGCGTCTTTCTTACTTAATAATCCTGGAATCCCAGTGCCATAACTACAACCCTGCCATTCATTCAGGCCTTGCCCATTGCTCTCCGTACATCAACATCATGTCTTTTTCTAATCCGAACCGAATTGTGAATGTCGGCATTGTCGGCTGCGGCGAAATCTCTCAGGTCGTCCATATCCCGACACTATCTTTGATGAGTAGCTGGTTTCGCATAACCTATGTCTGTGATATCTCCGCCGATGCCCTCCAACATTGCGCCGCTAAACTTGGCAGCACTGTCAAAACAACGCAAGACGTGTCTGAACTCTGTTCCTCTGACCAAGTTGATGCGGTTATCATAGCTAATGCGAACGAGTACCATGTTTCGCATGCCATCGTGGCACTGCAGAACAACAAACATGTTCTAGTCGAGAAGCCTCTGGCTCTTAACATACGTGATGCGAAAGCTCTCGAGGCAGCGGAGAAGACAAGCCGAGGAAAAGTCATGGTCGGATACATGAGGCGATATGCTGCTCCATTTGAAGATGCCGTACGTGAAATCGGAGGCATGGACAAGATACTCTACGCCAGAGTGCGGGGTTCGTGATATCTTCAACATTCTATAATGGCTCAATACTGATGAGGTTTTTAGACATTATTGGCCCTAATTCATACTTCGTCGATCAATCTGGCACTTTTCCACGAAAGTTCACAGATATTTCTGAAGTCGACCTCCAAGACAGAGAAATGAGGGCTGAAGATATTATGAAAACAGCTTTGCAAGATGAATGTGGAGGCGTTGCAGTTACACCGGACTCAGCCCGTACGTGGCGTCTTCTCAGTAATCTTGGTTCTCACGATCTGTCATTGATGAGGGAAGTCTTTGGAATGCCCCAAAAAGTGGTGGGGTCTTCACTTGGTTTTCCTTTCTGGAAGTAAGTCTCGTCAGCTATCTGTAGCAATCCGCCATAAACTGACCACTTTGTTAGTGTGCTATTTAAGTACGACAACTTTACGGTCTCCTACGAGTCTGGACTCGATAACGTTCCTCGTTTCGATGCGCACTTGGAGGTTTACGGACCTGATAAGACTGTCAGGTTGCAGTACGATACCCCATATGTCAAAGGACTTCCCGTCACCATGCATGTGGCAGAAAATATAGGCGGTGTTTATAAAGAGTCAATCACTCGCAGATCATACGAGGATCCCTATACTCTAGAGATGAAAGCACTTTGGGAAATGGTCGTAGAAGGCAAGACGGCCAAAACGACCGTGCAAGATGCGATGCAGGATCTCGAGCTTTATATCATGGCAATGCGTTATGAGCATGGTATTACACGAGACTAAAAACTGATATAACTTTTGTATACGTCCGTTACTCGGCAAAGAGCTTTGTAATGCCATCTGTTGTAGTATTTCCTCCACTCAATACTATGCCCAAGTCCCAAACATCCCCCTGCGCCTCTTTCTCAATCATAGACCGGAAGTCCTCGTTGAACAAAACCACAGCAAGTGGCACTGCAGCACTTGGTTCAACGAACAGTTTCATCCTTTCTAGGATCAGCTTCATAGCCGCCTTGATCTCGTCTTCTGACACGCTGTACATGCCGTGGACAAGCTTTCGCTCGTGAAGGACACCCCAAGGATAAACACCCAAGTAGGAGCGCAGCCCGTCAGCAATTGACATGCTATCCACGAAGGTGATTCTTTCTCCTTGTTCTATACCACGCTTAGCATCATCCGCGCCTTGGAATGACGGTTCAGCTCCGAAGACTTTGATCCCTGTGTTTTCGCAGCTCAATGCTACGCCTGACAACATTCCGCCACCACTGCAAGGAGTAATGATGCCCTTAAGACCTTTAACCTGTTGCTGTAGCTCGAGACCCATTGTGCCCTGTCCCAAGATGATATCAGGGTGATCGTATGGTGGAACAAGCCGTGCGCCTGTTTCAGCCACGACCTTCTCGGCAACAGCCAGGCGATCCGTCAAAGTACTGAAGATGACATTTGCCCCGTACCCTTTTGTAGCAGCGACCTTGCTGGGTATTGTGATTGATGGCATCACAACATAGGCAGGCATGCCGTTTTCTCGTGCGGCTAGTGCAAGAGCTTGTGCATGGTTACCTAGTATCACCCAGTCAGCGAATTGGCCCCAAAGGTGTCAATGAGGATGGAACATACCTGAGCTGTGTGTGGCAACACCCCTCTCTTTCCCGCCATTCTCGATCCATCCAGGCTCAAGTTTTAGTCGTTCGATAGCATGGAATGCTCCTCGTGCCTTGAAAGCCCCAGCACGTTGAAAGTTCTCACATTTGAACCACAGCCTGAATTGAGCTCTAGCGGGCTTCGTGCGATTGTTCTGGCTAGCAAAGGAAGTGGGATCTCTTGGCGTTGAAGCAAGCTCGTTAATGTAGCTACTTGTCATGACTGGAGTTAGGTGCACATGAGACTTGATGAGACAATGTGCTTCTATAACCGAGTCCCTTGTTAGGGGAGGGCAGGTTGAGATATCTGCCATGGTGCAATTTGCGTATTTGGGGTTTTCATACAAGTAGGATGGATCAAGGCAAGAAACGATGGGATGGGGACCAGTTTTGAAGATTATATATTAAATTCAAGCCTGTCGCATTAAAGCTGTCAGCTTCAGTCTTATGCCCAGCCCATGGATTACAATCCTTAGTTGATCCAAAGATGGAAGCTAACATTTACGTACTATTCTTGAAATAGAAGGTAGATTGTAGTTCAATGTGACACGTTTCATACAGCAACAGACGGCAAATACTACATTTTTGACAACAAGAATCACAACGTGATACAACCAACAATTGGATCCAAAATACAATCAATTATTAATATTAACTGAGACCAGCAAAATGATAAATAGATAAAGTGATTGGTTGCACAATGAGGGGCTGTTGCTAGTTCTGTATGACAAGCTGGCCGACACGTACCAAACATTGACCCCGCCTTTCTCTCACCGTCTATCGCCGCCTTATCTATAACTAGATCTCCAACAACATCTGCAATCATCAACTTTTAACAATTCAAAAAACAACAACATCTACAAGATTAATCATGGAGAACGACAGAGACTACTTGCTTTCCCTCCGGGCCGTCCGAGAGCATGCCAACAAAGTCTTGCAGGCTGCGAAGCAGGGAGATCTGAAGCATTTCGACTACGATGAGAGCCGCATGACTGAGGTTGCAGATTACGTATCCAAGGTCATTGATGTGAGTAATTCTTCGACACCGTAACATAGAGAGCCATTGACTAAACAATCCCTTCAGCGTGACTTTGGTCCCGACAAGTACCACACAATTCCGCCGCATGGTCGCTGGCAGCATTTCGATGTTGGGGGTGTTGCTCGTGTCGACTCCCTGATCAAGCAGTGGTCTAGCGAAGCCGAAGTCGACAAGACTGAGATCACAAGACGATTGGTGGATCTGTTCTTTGTGTCGGTTCTTCTAGATGCCGGTGCAGGCGATGTCTGGCGCTACAAGGAGTCCGGTTCTGGTCAAGAAGTCGTCCGCAGTGAGGGTATCGCTGTCGCCTCGCTTCATATGTTTCAGGCTGGCGCTTTCAGTTCTGATGATTCAGAAAAGAACAAGGTTGACGGTAAGTTGCATACTCATATCAATAAGCCCCAATGCTAATGTGACAATCAGGAAAGGGATTGGTTCAGTTGCAAGAATCAAGTTTCAACACACACTTCCAAGTCTCGGCTGACAACCTCATGGTCGGCGTTCCATCGCGGGTTCAGCTTCTCCAAGCAGTCGGCTCGTCTCTACTAAAGCAGCCAGATGTTTTTGGGGAGTCAGGCCGCCCAGGAAATTTGGTCGGTAAGTTAACCCGCGACATCACCTACTCTGAAGATTCTATGCTCACCTCTGGTTCCCAGATTATCTCGTGTCAAAGTCTTCTGGCTCCAAGACATTAGGTTACGAGCAGCTCTGGTCTTGCTTGCAAGCTCTTTTGATCCCCTCCTGGCCGGGAAACAGAACAGTTTTTAATGGTCAGCCAATCGGCGATGCATGGCCTCTTGATGTTCTCGCTAGCATCGTGGAGAAGGAGGGAGACAACCAGGAAAAGAGCAAGATCCAACCTTTTCACAAACTTACTCAATGGTTGGCTTACTCCCTGTCGGTAATATTTGAAAGGCAGTTGGGATACACCTGGGAGAACATGAATCTTGGGACTGGGCTGCCCGAGTACCGCAATGGTGGACTGTATGTCGATCTTGGGGTCCTCAAGCTCAAGAATGATGATCTACAAGTTGGAAAGAAAAGTTCGGGCCAGGAGCTACCCCAGTTTGATGCCTCCTCCGATGTTATCGTCGAATGGCGAGCTATGACTGTGGCTTTGCTGGACGAATTACATAAGATGCTCCAGGACAAGTACAAGCCTCGTGGGGTGGAGCTGAGCCTTCTTCAGATGCTGGAAGCAGGAACTTGGAAGTCTGGACGAGAGTTGGCTGCTGAGCTGAGGCCCGATACAAAGTGCAGCCCAATCCTGGTTATCAGCGACGGTACTCTGTATTAGTATTAGACTGTGGCAAGGACATTCGACAATGGCGTATGAGCCGCACTTGAAAGATGACCGACAACAAGATTGATCGGAATTTTTATTCTTCTAACTTTGACTCGTGACTACCGACATTCTACCAACGGTCAATTGTAGCCAGTCCCCGCCTTGCCATAATTTGGGTGACCTCTTCCTTTGCTTTCCATGACTGCAAGTCCTTCACCTTTCTTGGGTTCCATCAAACTCATATCCATGAGCTTCTCGTAGAATGGGACAGATCGCTCCCAGTCTCCCGTAAACAGTATTGTTCGTCGCAAATGCGGCATCGTATCCACAACTTCCTGCACACAACGGATCAACCAGCTTCCCAGTCCTTTCCCTTGGAGCGTTGGGTCAACCCATACATCTGTGAGATATGCAAATGTGACACAGTCCGTAACCAATCGGACGATACCAACCAGTTTGACTTCTGATGGTGCGTCGTCTGCTTGTGGTTGCTCGTAGACGCCAAAGGAAATTGAGTTGTCTAAAGCCTCTCGGAAGGCATCCGGTGGCAAAGACTTTGCCCAGTAGAATTCGGCTGAGTCAAATATATCTTTTAATTGAGTCAGGGGGAATAGAGTCGGGTCTGTAGATATATAGAATTCGTCTCTAGTCCAGGACAGTGATTGGCACTTCGATTTAATGGATGCCATGTTGGTGACGTGATGCAGAGTCGATTTGAGTGAGTGAGAGTTTCTGAAAAGCTGGACTATGATCAAAGAAACCCTAATGTACAGAGATAGGAAAAATATGCTTATATCTGTGAGTGTATTTGGTGTGACTCACATATGTCTCCGATGCGCCCTTCGCTCTGTCGCTAATTTAGAGGTTGGAAATTTGGTTAGGACGTCGGTACCGAGGTATTTCCATTCTTCAGGTTAATGGTCGCTCAGCTAGCACTCATACGATAAAGAACTGGGCTAGAATACACTAAAGACAGCTTTTTGGTCAAAGTGGGTGCTGAGAGGCTCAAAGTGCGCTTGTCGGCGGTTCCAAGCCGAAGGAATCGGACAAGACTCCGACTTGTAAAAGTGTCGGAAATGATCCCCGAAGCCTTTCACTTCTGGGCAACACTACCAGACTGTTATATCGACTTCGAACCTTCGCCTGATTAATGCCCTCAAGTTAGTTCTAAACTCTTAAAGGAACGCCAATTGGAGTTGGTCTTGTCTTTTTTTTTTTTTTTTTTTTTTTTTTTTTTTTTTTCCTTTTTTTTTGTCTTGCCATTCGTGAGTAATGAATGACCCGTCTTTGAAGGCTGCCACAGTTGAAGTATGCCTGGCATTCTCAGCCTATCCCAGTCAGTGTCACTAGATTCGCAATGTCGACTAGCTAGTTCCTCAGTTCCAGTGTATGGGGCTGCGCAACACATGACAGTTCACAACTGAAGGTAGCTAATCAGTGACTGGGGAGTTAAAATAGCCCTGCAGCCTATTCACCATCCTTGTCAGGTCTAAAGGCCGCCGCAAACTAGAGAGGAGGCAAAGGATAAGTAAGCCAAGAATGCTTTCATAGGTACTGTAGTATCTTTCTCCGGTATTTCGTAAAACCCGAGCCCGGGGGAAAGCGCCAGAATAATGGGGTCTTTGCAAGGATGATCATACGTAGAGGATGAATAAAGTTTACGTTGGTAACATACAACAAGGGTATACATACAACACTAGCCCCTGTGAAATGACATGGCATATCCCACTCGTAAATATATCAATCGTCCTCACCTGCTCTTATCAAGAGCAGCTCTTCTAACAGATTTCAATCCTCTCCTATTTTCACAATAAACACTCGAGTCCATATCTGCGCAATGCAAGGTGCTATACAGTCAACCGATGCGTTACCTCTGACGGTGGAAGAGCTCACCGCCTCTTGGTTCGCCAAGATCTTCGAGAAGCCAGTCAAAGAGGTCACCATCAACGAAACTATTCATGGAACAGCCTCCAAGATTCTGCTCAAGTTGGCATTCGACGACGAAACCATTGCAAGAGTATGTGTCAAGGGCGGGTTTAACCCAGCTCTCGTGGCCTCTCTGCCCTTTATGTTTGCCGTCTATCGACTCGAAGCCGAATTTTATTACTACCTTGCACCGAAAATTAAGATCCCGCTCCCACGAACTATTTATGCCGGTACCGATACTGTTAATGGGCAGGGTATTGTGGTACTCGAAGACCTCAAAGCACAAAGATATACATTTGGAAACCCTCTCGAGGCATGGCCTGTCAGTCGTGCCGAGGCGAGCGTCAAACAGTTGGCTACGTTACATGCCAGTACGTGGGGCAGTAGCGGCGACGACATCCCGTCTCTCAGTAAAACAGTGTCTCTGAGAGATGCCGTCGTCGGTTTATTGGCGCCTGGAGAATGGGATAAACGTTTTGCTCCGGATGCGAGACCACCTGTTCCCGCGTACATGGAGAATCGTGAGCTCATCGCCGCAACGTTTAAGGCACTTTGGGACTCCAAGACCAAAATGAATTGTCTCGTACATGGAGATGCACATATTGGCAACACTTTTATCTCGCCATCTGGAGAGCCTGGGTTCCTCGACTGGCAAGTCATCCATCCCGGATCAGCTATGCATGATGTGGCCTACTTTATTATCGGGTCACTCTCAATTGATGACCGACGACAGCACGAGAAGAAGCTCCTACAGTCCTACTTGGAGGCTCTACGCACTGCGGGAGGACCAGAAATACTACTGGAAGATGCCTGGGAAGAGTATCGAAAACAAGCCTTCCATGGGTTTGCGTGGGTTCTTGCTGGACCGATGATGCAGAAACGTGAAATTGTCGATGTAATGAGCGAGCGACACTGTACCGCGATTGATGACCACAAACTCATAGAGCTACTGGGGGCTTAGCTGAATGGAGAATCAGCAGACCGGGTATGGCATGTCACATTGTCGGCCGCGGCAGCAAGAATGGTTACATAGACATGTAGAGGCCAAGACGTTGGTATGTGTAGCGATGAACTCTATTTAATGGGACATTGTTGAATCGTCCAGTTCGCGTGACCCACGTATATCGAGTTCCGCGACTTTATACACAGTGGCTATTTTAAAGCAGTGGAATCAAAATATAACAACAAGATCCTACTGTATCAGTGAATAGATGAAAGAATTGGCAGGGTAACCTTGACGATGAGTGTAGGAAACAGCTGTTAGAATAGATACTCTAAAGCGCATACCTGCGAAAACAATTCTAACACCTGGGGCCTGTAGCTGATCAGGCTGCGATGAAGAGCCATGGTCATGCACGAGGGAATAAGCGAAAAGAAGTCACTTACTCTGCCATCCAAGAAGGAGCTGGGTCTCAAAATTGTATCTGGGCAAGATCTCGTTCAACATACGATCACTTCCTGAATCGACGATAGGTTGCGCATATGAATTCTGACTTGTGCTAATCTCCTCGCCTTTTAATACCTAATTGAGAATGCTGGCAAGGCCCAACATTTAAGGTTCACAAGGATCCAGACATGCAAGCAAGAGGAAAGAGAGAAGAACCCGGGTAATGACAGGATATGCCGGCACAGCTATTCTTTGGGTAGCAAGGGTCCATGAATAATACAAAGCTGAGAAGCGGGTGACGCCTTGCATAGGAGTTCACTCCACGACGGTCTACTCCTCGAGACCCCAAGAGTATGCTACCTACCTCTTTCTATACGATACTCAAGTATCTAGTATCCTAGTATACCGTCGTAGTATAGAATGTTATCCGATAGCATGTCAAGACGATATGAATCGAAGAGCGAGTAATGTTCCTTGATTGTCCTTTCCTTGTCTCAGAACAAAAGTCTATATCATGGAGCACTAAATCCGGGGAGCGGGAGCCGTGCCACTAACACGCGGTTTGAATGCATGATCCCAGTGTTAGCACCAGGTACCCTCGCGTAGCGTCCTCGGGTGGCGCGCTAAATCACCCATTCTTTGAGATGTTATCAATATTTCCATGATGTTTTTAAATCCTTCGTTGCATTTTCGTTTATCACTGCTTACACAATGCACCATGTAACATTGGATGCCCACAATGCTTCGCCACCTATTCGGATTCATTCCCGTATCTTTTTCCATTGTGGGTCTCTCACAACCAGTCTTGGCGACCCCTTTTGCGATTCGCATGACTGTTATAATGACCGCATCTCCTTTCACTCCATCAAGGTTTCACTTGTATAACGTCTGACAGACACAATCTTGTATGTTACAAGATGTCGCAAGATGTTGGTGGTATGCCCCCTCCAGAAGGGGTCACACCTGACTTTGATGGAGGCTCGCCCCTTCAGAGTTCAATTGTCGTCGTTTACTTGAGTACTTTCGCTGTTGCAACCGTTACATTACTATTACGTCTCTATAGCGGTATCGCCATTGTTCGCAAACTAGATTGGGATATCCGTAAGTTTAGCTATGGTAGAGCATTATTTGCTGATATTGACAATCGTTGGGTAGCCTTGATTATACTGTCATGGGGAGTATCATTGGGCTTCTTTATTGGCATAATGCTTGGTAAGTTGTTCAGATAGTATCCTAGTTCTTCATGATCACTTGATGGCTAATTGTTTCTCTAGCAATGCCTTCCGGCTTCGGCAAACATCTTTGGGATGTAAGAGCAACTAGTCTTCCGGGATACTTTCGGGTAAGTTCTATTCCAGTGGCGTACGTCCATTTACTGACTATCCGATCTGCAGCTTTTGCTCGTCATCGGTCTTACATACGTATGGCCACCAACTCTCGCCAAATTAGCCATACTCGTCCTATACTATCGCCTAATTCCAAATCGTGGGTTTCGTTGGGCAATTTATGCCACAGCCGCTGGCCTTGTTATTTATACGCTTGTTTTCACTATTCTGTTGGCTTGGCCGTGTCATCCACTGAAGCCTGGTACAACCGCCTGTGTTGTCAATCTTACCGTGTCACAAGCTGTGCTCAACATCGTCAGCGACGCCATAGTCATTATCCTTCCAATACCCTTGATTCATCGCTTGAACATGCCTTTGAGACAACGAGTTACTGCTGGATTGCTCCTTGCGCTCGGTTCTGCGTAAGTGATGCGGCCTTGTCATCCCATTCTCTATCACTGGCCAATAAGAGTTGCTAACCAATATCCAGAGTTGTCGTGGTCTCATGCATTCGCTTCGGATACGTAAAAAAGATGGAGAACAACCCCGACGTTACCTGGACACAGGCTTCAGCTGCACAGTGGAGCTGTATTGAGATGAACACTGGCATTATTTGCAACTGTCTCGCTCATCTGAAGCCATTTGTTCGAAAGCATCTTCCTTTCCTCAGTAAATTTGTTACCAGGGGATCCTCAAATTTGTCGCACCCTGACGAGCGCAGCCAGGGTCGGAGCCATAAGTGGAGGGGAGACAAATCAAGTCATAGATATGAGCTGCATAGTGTGGGTCGGTCCCAACAGCCATCTCACGAGAACAATGAACCAGGCATTGTCGTCGTTGATGAAGTCCAAGTAGAGTTTACATCATCAAAGGAAAATGGCGATGCATCAAGTACAGAGGATATTCTACGGAACTCGAGATAGATCTTGAGACATGTAAGCTCAAGCACCTGCCGTTTAACTGAGCGATTCAATCATCATAGGACATGCAAGGGCGCTGTCATACTGCAAAGCAACTGGTACTGTAGATTTTCTGTCTTGAGAAGATTCGGGCTCCGGTGTAGAGTAGAAAAATAAATAATAGATTTTCTGTCAGTGCATCTAGCTTTATACAATCTACCATATTTTATTTCGTAATAACTGGATGGGCCTGGCACAGTTGGCATCCCTGAATGCAGTATTAATAGATTCGCACTGACTGTGATCCTTGCTTATCTCGTTCTTCCTGGAGGGCATAACACTCACTAACAAAGGTTGCTATATCTCGCCTCGTTTTAGAGGCCAAGATGCAAACTGTAATCCTTTTGCAGCCGATCACAATCTAGCTTGGTGCAGTAACGAATCTAAGTAGTGTTATGTCCTTAATTTATGAGATGAATCGTTGTTAAATGAGGATCTTAGCTAGGCTGTTGGACAGGCAGTATGTACACGGATCCTTACTCAGCCCTAATCAAGCGCGGAAAACATCAATGGTGTGAAAGATAGCGTCCAACGAGAACAAACCACAAGAATCACACTGAAAGTTCTTTAGCTTAATCCCTATCGCAATGAGTAACTTGAGATACGTTCCTAGCAGGCCATTGCTACGATTCAGGCTTTTCTACATCTATTTCAATCATTTGTTACAGTATTGTTACAGTTGCATTCTTATTAAAAGATTCTATGCAACTGAAGATGCTATGGACAGTGATGGGGATGTTCATCAGGGCGGTCATGATGCGCAGAAGTAGTTAATGGAGGAGATCAGAAGCAAGCCTAGCTCCATAGTACCCGTCAACAAATAGTGACAACTCTGGACTTTGGCATGTGATAGATAGACATGAGTTGCATGGGACCGACAAGACTCGGATGCCCGGTACTTTCTAAGTTGTGTCCAATGGTACCTTCCCCTAATATCCATACAAGACAGTGTCTGATGGGCGTCAGCAAGCCACGGTTTGACCTCCAATGGGAAAGGGCTCTCAGACACCGTGACGAGGGTTCTGTCATTTGTAAAAACGGGACTTCGGTTACAGTAGGCCTGGAGACTGTTGACGATTAATGCTCAATAAATTGATACAAAGTTAAGTAAGATATTTTAAAGGGACAAGATCGTCGTGATGCCGATGGCTGAAATACTACCTCACGTTGAGCCTGAGCAGATCCATCGGCAACACCGCCGTAAGCAACGCTCAGCTACGCCAGCTTGCTTTGTGGCTGACCATCCTCAACCCAATATTGTCAAAGCGCTTTGCATGTACAGCAGAATGTAACATGGAGCAGTTCACGAATGTAACAGCATACAACCACGACATGTTTATTTGAGAATCATCAGGCAGCCTCGAGTGTCGATATTATGCAGAGGTCCCAACATGACGACAGCCACAATTGGATATTCCGCTCCCAAAATGGTTGTCGTACAAGAAAACGGGTTGCGGTTACACCAACGGGGTTTCCTATAATGGATGATTGGATTTCCATGATGATTGTGCTTCTCTCGCGATATAGGCTTTTGATACATTATAAATACGCGGATTCGCGCCAGTGACCAGATCATAACGCTACAGGTCAAGACATATACTCCAACCAAGAACATCCAAAGTACATTTCGTTCTATTGAAGTAATTCCGGAAAAGATGGTTCATCATCGAAAGCAAAAGACCCCGATGTGTCAACCTCAGTAAGACTCCCGATCTTCTCCTCGAATCACCATTGACCTTTAGGAGATCTGTTTCCCTTCCACCCATCTGTGAAGTCGAGAAGGTCATGTTCGAGTGCACTCAACCTACCCAACATCCTGCTATAACACGAATTACGACACCGTTGCCATTTAGCAACAACATTTCCAAGAACTTGGCATGGGCTGCCGCTTTCATCGACCGTGCCGGTCATCTGACCAAGGTAAATGGTTTCCAAGGCATACATGAATCAGATGAATGGGATTGACCAATTATCAACAGGACTATGAGCTCCTTGAGAAGCGACTCCATGCTGCCATCGACACGATTGGAAATGATGCGATTGAGATGACACTCTTGCGCCAGCAACTTCGTGATCAGTCTCGCAGGGTTCAAAGTCTTGAGTTGAAGGTGAGCGGGCAAGCCAACGAGCAGCAAGAATTGGAGCAACGCCTAGCAAACACCCGCGACTTAGCTGCCAAGACAGAGAGCGATCTGACCAGCAAACTTCGAAACACCGAAAGGGCCCTTCAGCAGTCCAAAGCAGCTGAGGGTCGTCTCAAGAACAAGCTTGATAAGACACTCCTCGAAGAGCATGAGAGATGGGAACGGGAGGCTAAGCATGACAGAGCCGACCATGCGTCTCTTGATGCAGCCTACGATGCTCTTGAAAAGTCTCAGCAGGACAAGACTGCCTTACAGTCGGAACTGGATAACAAGATCCAAGAGCTAGCAGCAACGAAGCACGAGCTGAATGTTGCGCAAGAGGCTATGAGCACTTGCAAGGCAAATTGCGAGGAGAAGAGTTCCCAGATCGAAACTCTCACTCAACAATTGGCTACCGCAAACAGAACAAACACTGAGCTCAGCGCGAGTATTGACAGTACCGCTGCTCAGCTGACCTCAAAGAACCAGGAAATAGCAGACCTTACTGAGTCTCTCAACCAGGCTAACAATCAACTGGCGACGGCCAACCAGACTATTGCCCACCAGGCCAGCACCATTGCCACACTCGAAGCTAGTCTAGCTGGTGTCCAAGACGAAAGAGACCAGAAGCTCAAGCTTCTGGAAGACCTTCAGGAATCCACTCAAGCAACACAGAAGGCTCTCCAGGACAAGATCGATGAGTTAAGCGCACATGATCTTGATGATCACCAACGACTCGAGGCAGCCACCGAGGCCAAGAGACTTTCTGACGAGTCCATCAAAGACCTCCAAGCCAAGGTAGATGCCGCCAATGCCCATGACGCCGATGTGCAGGCCAGACTCCAGGCTGAAGAAGAGGCTAAGCGAGCGGCGGAGGCTGAGCTTGAGCGAGTCAAGTTACAACTTGAAGAGGCCAACAAGCCCAAGCTTCCCAATACAGTGGTAAGACTCTTGCATAAGGATCTCTTGTGCGAAGTGACTAACTTTTTCTCAGACTCTTTCGAATCCGATTCCAATTGTGGGCAGCCTAGGCGGAGCCACCAATGACTTTGACGATATCTTCTACCCAATCGTTTCCTCTTTCCCTGTCACCATCTATGGTCATTCGTCCACCAGCATCTTTGTGTCTATCAATGGTCTTCTAAGCCTTGACACTGGTGACCGGACATACACTCATCAGCCTCTTCCCTTCCGCAATGGTGGTCTTCCAGCCCATACTTTGCCCCCCTTCTGGTGCGACCTGTTCATCTACAAGGACACTCCTCAAGGTATCTATTACGAGATTGTTGGTCAAGCTCCCTCTCGCTCCCTTTGTGTTGAGTGGTATGTCTCTCGCTACGGAGACAAGGACCAGTACTACCATTTCCTGGTGTTGCTCGAAGAAGCCAGGCCCAACATCGTGACTTATAAGTACTTTGAGGCCCTAGACAAGGGTGCCAAGTGCACTATCGGTGCACAGGGACCAGACAGTGAGTCAACCCTACTATTGGTGACCGAATAGATGCTTACTGACTGGTTTCATCAGGCGCTCAACAATGGTCGTACAATGAGACAAAGGCGCTGCCTGGTGTTCAGGTTGTTATTGATACGGGTTCCGGCTCGGTGACCGAGAGTACTTTTACAATTACTAACTGATCGACGGAACTTTGCGTGTGCGGTTGAAGATTCTTCGCGTTGTTTAGTCGCGTCTATAGTCCAATTCAAAACCCTGTTCAAAAATTCGCGCTCTACAAGGGGAGTGATTTGCACAACGTCATCGACTTCGCGGTAGAATTCGAGACGCGTCTAGACGCGTCTGGGAAAGTCTGCAAGGGAGAAGATCATGAGTTCTCCACCGAACCAGCCACCGGGGAACAGGACCCGCGACCCGCAGTCCGAGCATAGCTAGTCATGTAGAGATACATCAGTCCTAGCAATCTTGCTAGCATTTGTTATTGCATTCAGTTAAGATATATGTATCTGTGATATTGTGAACAGCCCTCTGGAGAGCCGTGGCCTCCTGATGATAATTCCTCCCACTATCGTGTAACAACTCTATTACTACAAGAGTCTCGCAAGAAAAATTACATGTTAACAGAGTTTATATTGTAAGGGAAAATAAACCAGGGAGCAGGGAGGCCACTAGTGACAGAGCTCGGATTTCTTCTAACAATTTCTAACCGTGTTCTCGATCCTGAGTATAAAATCCTTCTGCCTTTTAGATTTTTATTCCATCTGTAGGGTAGATGCGACGAGCCAGTCTTATCTGTCGCACTTAATTTTAGACTTAAGAACATGGTCATCATTGGTCAAAAACGGGCTATCTTATTTTATCCTACCACTTGTCGATACAGTTATCTTGATAAGAGACACACCTCCAGGGTTCTGTGAGAATGGCGCCCTCATTTCCCATTCTTTTGTAGTGACACGCGCCGACGCGGGCCGTTTCTGACAACAGCATATAAAGCCACAAGAAGCGACACCATTATCAAGACTACTGAGAACAGATACACGTGTCACAGAGCGTGCTATCCATCTCCAATCGTGAAACTCACATTCGGGCTCCGAGCTGTGCTATAGTTAGTATGATAGTTAGTACACGGGGATGCAGGGATATTGATGCATTGATCTTCACCATGACTGCGTGCCTTGCGGGGAATTCTTGAGACTCGACCAGACCATTGGGACATTGCTTACTGAATAAGTTGAAAAAGCGTGGATAACTACTCAAGTCACGGATTCTTTTCCAATGCCAGTTGATTGCTTGCATCTCTGCATTTTTAGCTTGAACTAACCATGCAGGACTGAGGCCATCCATAGCTTTGAGGAGAGCTTACTCCCTCAGCTCGTCAGCTTGTTGCCACAGCGCAGAGCAATTCCTCAAAGGAGGCTCCCAACGCTGCCGATCAAGCAAGACAGATATTCCCTTCATTTCTCAGTTTATGCTTTTTCCTCAATCACCTGAACACTTCGTTTCGATACGCGACCATAATGGTTCGATTTAGAACCTAGATTATCGATATTGGTGTCGAGGGACCAAACTTCACCAATCAACTCATTTGCCTCGTCTTGCCGAGCAATCGCCCCTCGGCTTGGGGCGTTCCAATTTCATTAACTTCCAGTACTGGTAGCAATAAGTAGAGCCACATGTCTCAGCTTTCCCAATTGCTCAGCAGTCAGCCAGCCACCGTTACAGTTACGGAACGTGGAGATACTCTTTTTGGACAACCCTTCTGTGACGGGCTTGCATAGGATTCGTTAGTCTGGCTGGCTGGCGCGTGGTTGGACGGTCTAGGCCGTCCGTGGCTAAAATGGCGTTCCCGCGAACGGATGAAATGCTGGGGTTGATCGGCCGAAACTATTAAAGCCTCGTTCCGAATTGGGAAGTGCGAAATAGTAGCTGAGCTCCCACCCTTGCTTACACTCCAGCTCAACCGCGGACAGAGTGGGTGGTATGTGTGTGTCTCGCTTTAGCTAGTCAATGGATGGATATTCTCGACCGTCGGAACGTTGATGCTACACGGCATAATTACTTTTTGCTTCAAGACCATTCCCGTCTAGATCCTGAGAGGGGTTGCATCGAGACCAGCTCTTGGTGTGTAAGCCCTGAATTTGGCTGGCTGGCCTGTGAGGGGTAGCTCCGAAGGTATTTCAGCTGCGACTGATAAGCCCTTTGATGTACAGCAGCCAGAGCCGATATATAGTACTGATACCCAGCCTGTGAGACTGTCTCGTGCACACATCTAGGGGCTCTTTGTCCATGTACTACCATCATACAAACTTTTAATTGAGCATGTTGGGTTTGAGGAAAACCTTTGACAGTACGTCCAATTGACTCAAGCCTCACTTCTCTCCCCTAATTGCATTCATACACAGTCAGACGGAAACGCAAGACTTCGTCATCTTCTTTACAAACACAAGACAGTTCCTCATCGCGTGGAACAATGGAGTCCGTTCGCCAGGGCATCAAGCAATCCATTGCCGGCATCGGCAAGGATAAACATCACAAGGATATCGCGGTAAGCGTCAATGAGATGGAAATCTCGGACGGTGAGAGCGAAAGCACAACCGTTGCATCCAACCAAACTTCACAGGACGACGTCGATACCAAGAGCAACTTGACAATCACTGCAAACAACGCTGCTACTTCTAAGTTAACCGTCGTGACCAAGCTTCATGAGTATGAGCGGTTGACCAAGATAACACGGACTGTCAAGAAGTTGATAGTTCGTTTCGATGACTATGATGATGAGTTCGTCAATGAGATGGATATTAGGGGTTATCTCCAGTACATCTCTGATGAACGTCTCATCCACATGCCTCGCCGAGGCAGCGACTGGGATCGTGTTCTCAGCACTGCACAGTTCTTTGGTCTTCAGATCACTACGTTTGCCAGCAAGATCGAGACCTTCGCCTCTGGCGCCCATTCATCGGTATCGGCTGCTCTAGCCAGTTGCCAAGTTCTTCTCGAGGTTTGTCTCTCATTGTTCTATCTAGTTACCCAGAGCTGACCTTTACAGATTGGACACAATCAAGCCAAGGCACTTGTTCCCACTTTCATCGCCTTCTATGAGTTGGCCATGCTCCTTTCCACTGTCTCGCGTATTCCCAAACTTGAATACATGCCCACTTCCATCAAGGAGTCCGCTGCCCATATACTTTGCGAGCTGGTTCATCTTGTTGGTCGCATCGCCAGTCACTACAAGCAGAAGGTTGACAGCCTGAGAGTTGGTGAGGGTATCACCATTAGCTTCGATGCAGCTTTTGGTCAGCTCATTGACTCCATCTGGAAAGCTAAAGAGGACCTATGCGATCGTGTTTGGCGACATAGTCTTGACCACAAGTCCTTCTCCATCAGCCTCAAGTCTGTCCGCCAGCGTCTTGAGCCCTCTTCCGGATCTTCAGTCAGAAATACCTTGTATGATGAGGTTTACGAGCATCTCGATCGTTCGGAAGACACTTGCCACTGGATTAAGGACCAGTTGACTAGCTTCCTCAACAGTAAGGATAAGTCTCTCAACCTTTGGGGTGAAGCTGGCGTTGGCAAGAGCGTTCTTGCCGAGTGGGTTCAGGAGAGACTTGCGCGTCCTTTCGATTACAAGTCTTACACTGTCCTTTCTTACAACTTTCCCTGGGACTCCCCCAAGGAAGCCACATCCTTGGCTTGTGTCAAGAGCTTCGTCTTCCAGCTTCTTGAGCGAAGTGTTGGCGACGTTGAGCTCTACGGACGACTCGTTCAAGCCTTTGAGGTCTACTCCAAGACCTCCGATGCCGGAAGACTTGAGACGACTCTTTGGGATACCTTGCGTACTGGTATTCACTCTGCCGAGCGTCAGGGCACATCATTCATTCTCCTGAGCGATGGTTGCGACGAGATGGTTGGCGGTTCTAAGAGCGCTGTCGGCTTCCACAAGATCCTCTCGGACTGCATTGCAGATCTCTCAAGAACCCGTGTCATCACCTTTTCACGAAGACTTGATGGCCTCAAGGATTGCAGCAAGATCTTCCAGATCAAGCAACAACAGGTCCAAGAAGATATTCGAGCCCATCTCAAGCAGGCGCTCTCCACCTCACGTCACTACCATGATGTTCATCACCGTGACCGTGAGCAAGTCATCAACGACCTTGTCGCCAAGTCAAAGGGCAATTTCCTTTGGGCATTTTATGCTGGCCGTCTCTTGGTTCGAGAGCAGTCTTGCGATGGCTTCCTCGGAAAGGCCAAGAGCATCAGTGGTGATGTCAACGAAGTCCTTCGACTTGCTGTGGACAAGTTGGACTTGAAGCAGAATGAGATTGCTAGGTACCTTCTTTCTTTTATGCTCGTCACCAACACTCCCTTCTCTGTTCCACAGATTGCAGAACTTCTCTCCATTGATCTCCAGAAGCGCTGCATGCTCCCCACCGCCTCGAATATCTCCAAGTTCGTCTCGGAGAAGTGCGGAGATTTCCTCATCATTCGAGGTGGTCGTATTCACTTCCGTAACGCTGTTGTCCAAGCATACTTCAAGGGTCTTCTTGGAAAGTCTCTCCTCTCTGAGAAGGAGGCTCACTCTCAGTTGACTATGAGGATGCTTCTTTATGCGCGATTGAATCTTGATGATGACCAGGAGCTGCTCACAGATGAGTTGGATGACTCTATTGTCGAGATCATCTTGGGCCGACATCACTTGATGGGCTATGTCATGCGTAACTGGGTTTTGCACTTCCGACATGCAGGATTTGTCTCCTCAGATGGAAAGATTAGCCTGCCTCAAGGCTTCCGTGACATCTTCCCAGAGTCTGTCATGTTCACTCTTCTTGAGCGACCTTGTTGGGGAAGACACGACATCCACCAGGACACTATTGAGCTTCATGAGCTAACTCTGCGCATTCGTGAGTCCTGCTTCGGAGAGAAGCATGTTTCAGTTCTTCAGAGTCTCGTCGCTCTTGGACATATCCACGTCAAGTTTTCCACCTCATCTGATGCCCATTCATGTGGAGCACGATACTACTACCGTGCCGCCAAGCTGGGCGAGGTCATCCTTTCCAAGACCAGCACATTTGTTGGTTCATGCACACACCTTTTCCTGACTTGGACCGAGACAATTGTTATCACCAAGCGTACGGAGATTGTGACTTGTCGTGAGGAGATGATTCGCTTCTGGATTGAGATCTGTAAGCACAAGCATGGCCGATCCAGTGACGAGGTCATTTGCTGGTACGAGAAGCTCGCCAAGCTCTACATCAGTATTCATGAGGAATGGCGTGCTACTGTCATATACAGGGAGCTTCACGAGATCATTATCATTCGCTTCGGCAAGAAGTCTCCCGAGGCTGGTCGCATCGCTGCTTTCTTTGGAACTCTTGACATTGTTCTCAACAAGGGCGATGATGGCGATGGACCCATTGGTGACATGGAAAAGTTCATCTTTGAGACCACCGAAGAACTCGACATCCACTCACACCTCTGCATCGCCATGATGATCAAGCTTGCCTGGTCGTATCATTCCTGCGGAAAGTTCTATCTCGCTGAGAGACTCTTCATCAGCATCTGGCGCCGCATTTCAATCACTTGCCGACTCAACGCTAGTATTGAAGTGCACATCGCCAAGATCCAGATTGCTATCGAGTACTGCAAGTACCTGCGAGAGGTCCACCGCCATGAGGAAGCGACCACCATTCTGATCTGTCTCTGGGCCGAGTATGAACACCACAAATGTGAGACTGAGACTCTGGTCTTTTGGATCCGCGAACTTGGCACTGTCTGTCGATCATTCGGCCTTCTCGAGATCACTATCAGTATCTTGACCAAGGTCTGGAGCTGGTTCAAGGGTTGTGGTAAGGGTGACGATGAAGAGGCTCGCAAGACCACTATCCTCATCACTGAAGTCGTGGAGGAGGTCACCGAGACCACGGTCACTACCAAGACGACTACCACCACCACTACCGAAGTCACTGAGACAGTCGTCAAGGAGATCTATGAGACACATTACAACCGCTGTAAGAAGTCTGGCTTCGATCATGCATTCTACTCAGCTTGTATGGCTCTCATCGGAATCTACTTCGAGCATCACCGCTGGTCCGAAGCCGAGGTCATCATCAAGCGAACCCTCGAGATTACTTGGAAAGCTATCTTGACCACTGATGTTACAGTCACTCTCACTGAACATTCGGTCAGAGAGTGTGTCCATGTGGCTCGACGGCTTGCGAGATGTTACCATCACCAAGGCCACTTCGAGAAGGCCGAGTTCATCTACCTTCGCATCTACCGTGCTTGTCTTGCCTCTTGCAGCCTTGAAGATGAGCTTCTGTGCGGTTCCATCACCGTTCTCATTGAGTTCTACGAGGAACATCACCGTCACGAGAAGGTGATTGAGATCTACATTGAGATCCTTGAGCGATACAAGAAGAACCTTGGGCACACGCATCGCTTGACCATCTGGACTCTTTACCAGTTGGCCCATCACTGCAAGTTGATAGGTCACAAGGATGTGTACAAGTACTATCTTGAGATCGTCACCGTCTTGAACAAGGGTATCAAGCACTGTCATCATGATGCTTTCGAAGCTGCTCTCTTCCTTTGTCGCCACTACCACGGCCGCAGCATGTGGGTTGAGCTCCGAGAGCTTTGTGCCTTTGTCTGGGAGACTGTCTGTCACCACCGTGGAGAGCACAAGTGGTCCGAGGAAATTATCTGTGAGATCTATGAGAAGTACACCTACGTCCTTGAGGTTCACGTCAAGGTTGAGTTCTCTGTTCTCTACAAGATCTCGATCGAGTACAAGGAGGTCATCGAGAAAACCTGCGGTGGCGAGTCCCATGCTTACATCTTGGCCTTGATTGCGTTCGCTAAGATGTGCGAGAAGCATGAGAAACATGTCCACGAGTCTGTCACTGTCTACGAAGAGGTCATCAAGAGGATCACCACGACCAAGACGACTACCACTACTGTTACCGAAACTACTATCAACACAGTCAAGAAGCGACTTTCCAAGCTGTACGTGACGATCATCACGTCGGGCGGCAAGAAGGAAGGCCATGCTCATGTTCCCATCGACCGCGCCATCCAGATTTGTATTGAGACCTATGAACACCTCAAGATCACTCTCGGATGCTGGCATGAGGAGACTCTCCGACAGCTTGAGTATGTCATTATGCTGTACCACAGCTGCAACACGAAGGAATACCACCTCAAGATGGTCAAGTTGCTCGAGATTCACATCACTGAAGTGATCACAACATGTAAGGTGACCGCAACGCTGTTCAAGGTCGCCATCACCATGGCCTCCATCTACGTCAAGGTCAGCCTCGTTCAACAGGGATATGAGGTTCTCCGTCAACTTCGACATCTGATCATCTTCCGGGGAACTATCCCTTGCAACGACCTCACAATCAAGCTCGACGTCCACATGAGCAAGCTTGTCTTTGTCTTCCTTAGCGCTTTTGAGCATGGCCTTTGTCCTAATGACTGCTCAACAACCTATTCTGAGATCATGGCCACTATTATCTACGAGTCTATCCTTTATGAGGAGTACTCTCGTGTCATCGAGTGTCAGACTGAGCTTGAAGTGGTTCTTGAGTGTGGTGCCAAACTGAGAGGCTTCTGGGTTGAACATAAGCGCACTCAGCTTCTCCTTATTCTTGACAAGAGACTCTTCCAGCTCTTCAAGACCAAATATGCATCCTACTTCAAGGATGTGGCTGATGAGCATCTTCGTGTGTTCTATCTCGCCATCCTTCATGAGCTTGGCAAGGATCGTGGTGCTACGCAGATTGACTTCACTCTTCTCGCTGTCAAGGCCGGTAGTGCTAGAGTCAAGGAACTTCTCCAAGCCAAGGACTGGCATTGTGCAGAGGAGCTTGGCCACTGTGTCTTCCACTTCGCTCAATCTCAAAAACTGTATCATCGACAAGACTGTGTTCAGTATGGCTACAAGCTTGCTGAGTTCCTGGCAGGTATTGATGTACCTCACCCTAACGATGCCAAGGATGAGAAGATCAGAAATGCCATGCTGAAGACATCTCGCGAGATCATGACTGAAGTCCTCACTGCTTTCAAGCAGTCGAACATTGACTACCTTTGCTTGCGCTTCGAAGATATCTCTGGCCTCATCAGACTTCTTGGAGCACAGCAGAACTGGGATGAGCTTGAGCTCTTGCTCCATTGCCTGTGGAGTGCCCGTGAGAGACTGAAGAGAGCTGGATGGTCATCTACTGCTGTCTTGGATATTGGCAAGAAACTTGTACACGCCCAATACGCTCGTAAGGACGTGATCTGCGCCATCGAGACAGCCGAGTTGATCAGCTACAACTTGCGCCGCAGTCGGGGACGCCTGGATGTCGAAACTCTTGAGTTCTCTCGTCTCCTTGCCGCCCTGTACGCCGACAGTGGCCGTAAGGCTAGTGCCATGTCGATTCACGAGACCATTCTGCGTGAGATGATTTCATGCAGCAGCGGTAACGAGTTTGGGGAGGCTTATCCCGATCGCCAACGCTTCACCACTGAAGCGCGAACTCACTTGGAACTTCTCAAGGCTTCACACCATCAGTTGCAAGGCTGGGCCAAACCAGCTGATGAGTACAAAGAGGTTCATTCTCGACTCAACAGTAGTCTTGGTCTGGATCTACCTGCATTTGATAAGTGGTCTTCTGGCGCGGTTGATAAGAACATCGAGGGGGGCGGCAAGTATGTTGCACCGAGAGAGTGGAAGTTGAACGGTGGTGTCAAGACTTCTGTTCCTCACAGGAGGATCAGTCGTGAGAGACCGCATGGTCGGTTGGATGTGCTCCACACAGCACGACAATGGTGGTTGGTATGCTGAACGGAGTATCATGGATGTATGATGTGTGAATGAGGGTACGCGCTATTTCTAGCATTTTTATTTGTTGTTTTTATTTAGGTCATTGTTTATGTATTACTTTGGAGTTTGAATCATGGTCACTTTTTGTCTTTCTCAAGTTTGCCTATTTCTTGTTCTTGGAAGTCATTGACAAAGCATTTCTACATCAAACCAGACTGTATAGTTTGTATATTTATTTTTTGAGGGTAAAAACTAAACCAGTTAATTTATTATTGTCGTTGTATTTACTATCTCTTCCTTTTGCGTAATACGCGTACCAGATCCGAAGAGCGAAGAGGGGCATTCGCAAGTTGTCTTGAGAATGACGACCTCACTACTCTGTAAAATGTGGAGAATACTGAATCGTTCCGCTCACGTGTTAGTAAGCTAGTCAGCCATTCACTTCCGCTTCCGTCCCCATTTTCATCCCCAATTCCCTATCACTTGCATTCTACTTCTGGACCGTCCAATGATACCATCAAAGACAAGAGATGGAGCCACGAAGCAAGCAAGCATGCGAGCCATGTCGGTACGTACCCATTTGTGTCCTGGATGTCATAGTTATTAATAATTCCAAGCAAAAAGAAGAGCAAGTGCACGGGTGAAAAGCCGACATGTTCGTTTTGTCAACGATTGAACCAGGAATGTACTTATAAGACAACTGAACCATCAAGGACATATACAAGGAGAAGTAATAGAGTCAGCAAAAAGTACTATCACCCGAGATTCGGCTGTAAATCCTGCTGACCCATGTAGCACCAATAAAGGCGACCTCCAAGAGCGTTTCCAGGCTTTGGAGTCACAAGTGAAGGATATTTACCAGTTACTTCAGTACGTCCATTTTGATCTTTCATGGGAAAAGAAATAACTCTCCAGGCCACGAGCAGAAACTGTGTCGAGATCATCTCCAAATACATCTACAGGGCCCATCTCTGTGGACCTATACGAGAGTGTTGCAAGTGCGAGCCCTGACATGATGTCTGAGACCCTACCTGAAGCAACATTCAGTCCTGATAAGTATGACATGCCTTGTCTTGTTGAGCACCAGCTAATTCTCAAGTCCTCGTCCCTCCTTCGATGTAATTAATCATCTTATCGAGATATATCGCCTCAGACATCACCTCCAGCCATTACTTCTTTTCAAGCTTCCTGACCTAGAGCTTTACCTGAATGCAGCACCAAGGTATCTGCTTGATAGCTTCCTTGCGCTTACCGTACGACACAGCACGCATGCCTTCTATCGGGGTCAACAAGCTCGAGCCGTCGAATACTACACTTCTTCCGCACAGCAAACAGTTATCAGCCTTGCTTCACAGGGTATTCCAAGGTTGGAGGTTGTCCAGTCTATTTGCTTGCTTGTTCTGGTTGATATCGCGGGTATGTTTCAAGAACACTCTGCTTGAGTTTTGAAGACCATACTGATCCTAAGTTCTAAGCCTGTAAACCAGGGCGGGCGTGGATGACTATCGGAACTCTGTCTCGTCTTGAAGCTCTACGTAAGATATCACAGCCCGCACTTGCAGAGTCATCACCCGACCGCGAAGCAAGTCTTGGGTGCCATTGGACTGTTTTTCTTTTAGAGCAGACTTTCACACCTCTGGAACGAAGTAGCAATCATGATGACAACGAAGCAAAGTACCCGACAAGCGCGCCGATACCTCCATCTTTACCACCCGTTGCCGACGGTGAATACCCACCAGATCTTTTCTCAGACGATCCATCAGAGGATCTTGGTATAACAGCGTATTATATCAAAATCCTTGGGATATGGGGTCATTTATCAACGTATCTTCATCAAATTCGAACCGGCAAGGCTGAAAATGCGTGGTCTCCTGGATCGATGCATTACATACTTTGCGCTCAGCTTTACGAGTACGATTCAAAGACGCCTCATATTCATCTTCTGCGAAGTGTGCACTTCACCAAGCGCCATTCGCATGATCTGAACGAGCGCCGTGAGTACTGGATCCCATGGGTTCTACAGCAAGTCACATCTCATGCAACTACCGCAATCCTAAACCATCCATTTGTTCATCTTGTGGCGATGCGCAAACGACTGCAAGGTCTGCCACCACGCCAATTTCTTCAACAAACCGTAGATCTGACTTTGTACCATTCGGCTTGGGTATTCAAGTTCCTCCGCTTCTGCGAAGATAATGACGTTGGAATATATGACCCCTTGGTTGGTAATTTAGTGGCTGTTGTTGCAACTATACCGTGGTTGTTTCAGCGTGCAATCGATCAAAAGATTGCACACAAAGCAAAGGACGATTTCGCATGGTGCAAGAATTTTCTTGAGACCCTCTCAACAACCTGGCCACATATTAGACACAAAGTGAGTTTTAAGTTCTCTCATAAAACAAGACTCTAACAAGATACAAGCTTGAACTGCTGAAAAGTCTGGACTCCATCGCAGAGAACAATTCACAGTCGCCCAGCGCTAAAGGCATATCAATCGTCTTCCATCCGCATGTTTTTTGGGCGTTGGTCGATCCCAAAATTAGTCAGATAACGCCATCAGCAGCTTATGCTCAAGGGCTTGATCTTTTCCAGGATGGCACAATCCGAGTTTCGACGCATTACATACAGCCGCTAGTGGATATCCAAGCTCAACACTCTCACAATGTTGACGATATATATGATCCGTTCACATTAGATGCTGGGGCCTTGGAGCAAATCAACTTGGATGACGTTTTTGCGAGTTTTTTGCCTACACTAGACGAAACAGACTTATAGCAATACTGAATTCCCTTTCTTCTAAACCATGCCTGTTCTCAATTAGATATAGCTTCGTGTTCAGTGAAGCATCCGCTCACGTGCACGGATGCTGATCATTGCAAATCTGATCCGCTCAACTCCGATCCGGGCCCATATAAAGCAACAGTAGACTCATAAACAGGCGTGCAAAGGACGATTAGAAGCAATTCTTATCTCATTAAATTCAATCATCAGAAAGGAATCATGGACCCCAACAGTAAGATTGTTGTCATTGGTGCAGGCTTGTTTGGTCTCACGACTGCCAAACAACTTGTTTTAGAAGGTCAACAGAATATCACTGTGATTGACAGACATATGCCCCCTGTATGTATCTTTCATCCAATTGGATGTACAACCAAAATGCTAAGTGACTATGCAGGTTCCAGATGGCTCAAGCTCAGATATCTCCCGAATCATCCGGTTCGACTATGCCGACAGCGACTACTGCTCCCTTGCATATGAGGCCTACCAGAAGTGGTCCCAGGAGGCAAAGTACAAGGGTATTTTCTACCCAACCGAGTACATTATCGCCGGCTCCAGAAAGAGTACCGAGAAATCTTGGACCGATAAGACGATCGCTCAATTGGAGAAGCGACGGCTGCCGTACACTAGACTGCCAGATGCAGCGGCTACAAAGCAGCAATTTCCCATCCTGACAGGAGATCTCGCAAAGCCAAACTTTGAGGGTTATCTGAACAAATCTGGCGGCTGGGCAGATGCCAACAAGGCAATTAAGCAGCTGCGCGATGAGTGCCTTGAGCTTGGTATATCTTTCATTTCTGGTCGAGCTGGAACTGTGGTAGGATTTGACAGTAATGCTGAAGGTGTTATCAAAGCTGTGCGTACAGTTGGAGGAACACAAATCGAAGGGGATCACTTCATTCTTGCAACCGGCGCTTGGTCCTCGGGTCTAGTTCCGACCTATAACTCGACACTATCTACAGCACAAGCACTGGGTTTCCTCCGTTTGACGGAAGCCGAGATGATCAAGTACAAGGATCTCCCGATCTACGTGAACTACGCCACCGGATGGTTCAACTTTCCCCCTCATGAGGACACCAAGATGCTGAAGTTTGCTGTTCACGGCTGGGGATATACCAGAGCACCTTCTGCGGGAGATAATAACACTGTTAAGTCTAACATCTCGGTTCCGCCTGCAGTTTCTCGAGAACGCAAGAATTTCGTCCCCGCTGATGCTGAGCAACGTCTTCGTGACGGGCTACGGGAGATCTTACCCGAGCTTGCTGATCGGGAATTGGAGAGAGCCGCCCTTTGCTGGTATACGGATACACCTACTGGTGACTTCATAATGGATTATCATCCAGATTACAAGAACCTTTTCGTCGGCGGAGGTGGAAGTGGACAGTAAGTCGTTGTTCCAAAATGACCCGGCCATAGCTGACTTTGCTGCAGTGCTTTTAAGTTTCTTCCAGTTCTGGGCAAGTACATGACGGCGGCTATCAAGAAGACTCTCCCTAGTGGCTTATCTGAGAAATGGCGCTTTCATACCGAGTATGAGCATCGTGAAGATACTTTCTTAGGTGATGGGAGTCGGGGCGGACCTGCTCGACGAGAATTGAATGCTGCTGAGAAAGCAAAGCTGGATGGGGAAGAAAGAGCGAAGCTGTAGTAGCACACTGGATAGGTACATATATATTGTCAATGGATGCATTGTATTTTATCGTGTCCAGTCATCCAAGATGTGACCGTTCACCAGTCAAAGTTTGGGCAACTCCAAACAGCTCCTCACTAGGTCTGGTGGCTGGTGCTGGAGGTCATTACTCCAACTGGACTTGATCAGATGACGCAGCCATGTCACATACTAAGCCAAGCCTCCATTTCCCCTCAGTCAATGAGGGCCGTCCAGTTTCAAACCATTGCAAACAAAAATAAATTATTAATTACAGCAAATATGAAGCCGTCACCGTTCACCTTTGACCTTCGCGCTGATACATTACTTATCTTGAGAAACCCCAACGCCTCGCACCAGGAGGAATGTGATGCTCAAGTTGACTCGGAGCCCGAATATGAGCGCCTCGGCCTCGGTGAGGCGGGGTTGGAACAGATAAACAAAGCGCGTCGCGATTCGCCAATGACTCTAGAGAATGACCAAAGTTATCCGCGAGGATCTTTGGATGATGGCAGTTCAACGCAGATGGAGTTCCGGGTGTCATCGAGACATCTGAGCCTAGCTTCGCCTGTTTTCAGAGCTATGCTTGAGAGCAAGTTCAAAGAGTCGCAGCTCAATGAGCAAGGTCTCTACGAGGTCCAAGCGTCCGAGTGGGATGCCGAGGCTTTTGTCATACTTCTCGATATCATACATGGTCACCATCGCGACGTGCCGAAGCGTATATCCGCCGAGACACTTTCACATATTGCCATAATCGTCGATTATTATGGCTGTCACGAAATTGTGGAGTTTGTCTTAACGGCGTGGCTAACCTATCTGGGACAACCAAAAAGCTTCGTCAAAAAAGATCCTCTACGTTGGTTGTTCATATCTTGGGTGTTTAAGCAAGGAGTTTTGTTCACAGTTGCGACCGAGATGCTTCTGTTATATGACAATGGCAAGTATGTCGTGGACTTACCCATACCACAGCCTATATTAGGTAACGTAACACCTTTGCTTTCTGTTCCTCCCTCTCGCTAACAATGCCTCAGACAAAGTGGACGACAAACGCCAATACGTCCTGAATACGCTGTTTGGCCATCTTTACAGTTACCAGCAAGATCTTCTAGAAGGAAAATCTGGGTGCTCCGAAACGTGTTCCAGTATGCTTCTCGGGTCTTTGATGAGGCAAATGCGTTGCAAGGGATTGGCAGCGGCTAAACCTGCTACATCATCATTCGAGGGATGGAGAGTAGAAGACGCGAGAAACACAATTCTTGGATTGACGGCACCGCCTTGGCGTGTCCCTGGAAGGTCAACGGATCACCCTTGCACGTTGAACAAATCGCTGGCCCCAAGAGTGAATCAGGTGCTTCAGCATGCGAAAGGACTTGACCTGAAGGACTTTGAGGGCAGCCCTTGCGCTATGTTTATGTCCATGAGTTCTTAGTAAGCTCTCTCGTTTATATATTTAGTGGTTGCTCGTCTCAGCTACCTTTGTTGTTCAGCTTGTTATTGTGAACTCTGCGTACTTTAAAGAACAATGTGCACTGGTTTTGGTGACGATAGTTTCAATTTCAGTTTGGCTACAAAACCTTTCCTCCAACTATAGTAAAAACGCTGTTTATAATGTTTTTTGACACTTGGTACTCTGGTATTAATCTACTGCCTAACACGTTAGTCCAGGTAATGTAATTTCGAACTGCAGAACTGACCAAAGAGGCTGCTCAGCAAGAGAAACCACAGTCCATCTCAAGGGTCTGAGTGCTAGAACCAAATGGAGGGCCGTCCCAAGCTCCGACAGAGCAGCGAGGCGTCTCGTTAGAATCCCAATCCTGGTCGCCGTAGGTGAAGGTGGCCTTGTGTATATGTCAGTCGAGATTCCCAAGCAAACGAATAAAGCAGTGGTTTTTAGGGAACTTACAAGAGCACCACCACCAAATGTGTTGATGTTGAGAATAGCAGGGAGATTCTCGCTCTCAGCCATCAGAATACCATCACCCCAGGTGCTCTCCTTTGACCAGACAAGCTGCTGCTTGCCATCGTAGACGAAGACATTCATCTCGTGCGATCCCTTTGGGTTTTCGCCTGAGAAGAGGTGGATGTGGACACCGCACCAGCCACCATTGAAGCGCTTGGTCAAAGACTTCTCGCTATCGGGTGTAGGAGCGGCCATGGTGAGACCAGTGAAAAGAAGTATAGACTTGAGCGAAACCATTGTGGCGATGAATATGTGGCAGTTAAATTTGGAGCGTTGAAATAGTTTAAATCTGTAATATGAAGTGTTTTCGGTACTGATGAGCTGATGAAAAATTCAGAATATCTGGCGTATGCACTTGCGACTTATATATTACTTCGACCGTCACAAATACCGCGCTGCTTCCTTCTCAATGTAATATTATCCAAATCCTATATTGGTCCCTAGTGGAGGTCGTGGGTACTAACTATCTGTGCGTTTGCACAGCCATACGGCCAGTGCACGATGGCCAGCTGCTGAAGGATCTGCTAAAACTCCTGTTTGTTTTAACTTGGCTAAAATCTATAGGGGAGATCTCTGTAGGATCACCTTTGAAAAGTGGTGAAACGTAGGATTGGTACTGTCGGCAATTTTTGAAGCATGAAACAAATATGGTGCTGATTATTCCGGCATGACCGATATTAGGGACCATCAATGTGTGCCAACTTTATGATTTATTTCATGATTAACAATTAAATACAAATAAAGGTTTCGAGTATTACTTTAATGGCAAGATGGTTCCCTTTTACCCTTCGCCTTTTGTTTTCGTTTCGTTTCGTCAATGCAATGCTGAGACATCCACACTATTTGATCTTACCGTTCTCAGCAACTCCACGAAGCTATATTATGCCTAAGTATATGGGTCTGTAGCCGTCCTAGGCTTTATTCTTCCGTCTACATCAATCATTATAATTGACACGATCCCTTTCCTAGATTGAAACATGATTTCTAAAGCATATCCCCGAGTACCGATGTCCCGCGCCGTGGACTTGCTGCTGATACTGGTGACAGGGATCTTCAATTCATCTACATCCGTTCTACCTTCTGCTTTAAATCTTTCGGGGCCTTTGTCAACACTAAATCTTAATTATAGACATGCTAGGCAGGCTTGTTTTAGATCACGGTTGCGGACGGAAGAACGCGATTGCTATCGCTCTTCGAAAGAAATATGTCTTCCAGCAGACTTAACAATCCTATTCATGATCCTTTCGAGCTGACATATAGGTCTACAATTTAAAATCCCGCTGATGCCACCAATCAGTTCAGCGAGACCTCACCGCCTCGACCAAATACGGGTCGTGAACGCTTCGGACGTGTCTTCCTGTTTCTGCCAAGTGTCTATGCCCCATTGCATGGGGTGCGACACGGTAGGATCCGAGATGCCAAGTCATCCATGAAGCAGCACATCTCACCACCCAACATGGTCAACTTTGTTACTTCTATCACAATCCTCCTCACTGCTGCCTCTGCAGTTGTTGCTGCCCCCGACACACTTGAGAAGCGCGCAGTGGCATGCAGAGATGACCGCCCTAACAGTGAACTGGCCAACGTGCGTCTACAAGAAATCGCCTTCAGCTTATTTTTGGAACACAACTGACACGACCTGAACAGGCTAATGAAGCTGCCGCATGCATTGTTAACCTCGCCAGCTTAGGCAGCCAGCCTTGCGTTGCTACCATCTCTGGCCAGTCTTTTTGTAGACGTGGTGACACTCAAATCACTGGTCTCGCTAGGGGCGCTCCTACGAGAACTTCTACCTGGTAATTTACCCTTTAATATCATAGGATGATGCTTCTGAGTGGCTTTAATTAGCCGTTCATACAGTCAGGAGGTGGCTCGCGGTGCTGGCTTTATTCTGGACAAGTGCACTCGCGGTGATGGAAAGGTCAGGGGCGCGAATGAGGCCCGGGCTAATGGCAACCTCCTTGTTGATATTCGCCGAGTTGTTCAATAAGGGGTCATTGGTAACTGTTCTAAAAGATCGCAAGTTAGTCTAACTCTACGTGGAACAAGATATCAACCGTTGCCTTCTACACAGTTGCTGTCTTGTATCATCTAATTTGACAGGCTCGTCTTTTGTTTTGAAAACAAGACAATAACTAGTTAACACATTTTATACAATGACTAAGTGCAATTTGTGTTAATGTATACCAGTGTATTTGCATCATTCATTCCATCAATTAGATATTTGTCATATTTACAAACGCTCTTACCATCCCTCTTCCACTGTCTTGAAATAAGACTCGACGTTCCAAGACTTCTTGATCAACCATCTCTCAATACTTGTGTCATCTGGGAGATTACCAATCTCAAATTCCCACATCCTCTTCTCGATCATGGTCTTCTTGTTCTCGGGTGTGGCTCCCTTCTTGTACTTCGTCCAAGTCCAACCCTTTCGCGGCTTCAGATCCTTTCCAAGACCATCTGACTCATACTCTCGCTTCCATCCCTCCATAGCCAAAGGCTCGTATACTTCAATGGGCTTTTTCAGTTGCTTGTTCAAGCTGCGATGATACTCTTGTCGGAAGTGCACCGATGGATGAACTCGCTCGACGGTATAACCTTCTTCGCGTTTGTAGTAGTCCATGGGAGTACGGATCACAGCACTGCCCATGGCCTTGTACTCGGCGGTGTAGCTGTCATCAATATTTCCCAAGAGCCATTCCTGGCTCTCCCAGGCCTTCAACTTTGGGTCTCCAGGGCTGTGGATGACGCCGTCAATGTCAGCAAGTTGTATCTGCAGTGCTTCCTCATCTAGAGCCAGATGTGGGCGGATACGATCAAGCATCCAAGCGTAAGCCACGCTTGAAAGCCTTTCGTTGTCCCCTTTGGGTTGCTTTCCATCCTTCTTGTCCTCATCACTCAGGGCGTTGTCAGAACTGCCTCCGCCGACATTGATATGGGCACCAGGAAACCAGCATTGCACGAGCTTTGTTGTCTTGTTGTCCCCTTTGACACACCAGAGACAAGGTGAAAAGGGACCACGACGTTCGTCCAAGGCTAGAGCATGGTATGCATGTTTGACATCTGTAATGGCGGATTAGTTAATGGCCACGAAGAGAATGAGTAAATGTGAATCAAATGATGTAACTTACTGGCACTTAGATCCGTGTTGTGGAACTGGTATGCTTTTCTAAGTCGAGAGTTGTCGATTTTGATCCAGTGACCCATATCAGGAATACCCAGTGCGCCGACGGTATCCCAAACACCGATGACTTGAATCACAGTGTCTTTACCAGGACAAGCTACCGCTGACGGACTGTGGGCTTGGAACTTGGCCCAATGGTCAGTCTCGATAAACGATTTACTAAAATTTTCTCCGCGGATGAAGTCGCCGTAGTGCTCCAAGAAGTGGGCCATCAGGTGCGATTTTATGATGCCGACTTCTTGGACCAAGCCAGCAGTTGAGCGGACAGTGAAGGCTCCGCGTGAGAAGCCAAAGAAATACAATTCGTCACCCGGATTGTAGTTGGCGGCAATAAAATTGTAAGCTTCGAGAACATTCTCGAGGAGACCGAGACCCTGTGAGCCTGCTGTATGTGAGCACTAGTTTGGCCCGACTACAAAAACCGTCGCCTACCTTGTCGTTTTGCCTCGACGCCGGTGATATCGCCTGTGCCCACGCCAGCATCATAGTATACCAGTTGTTGACGCTCATTGCCTTCACGGTCAAGGCCAGCTTTGGCAAGGACACGGCTGATACGAGTGACATTGGAGGGGCAGCCTTTCTTAGGATCTATCGTTGTGGAGGATTGCCAGGTTCCATCACAACAGACGATGATCCTCTTCGGCTTAGAAGCTGAAATCGGACGCGAAATAAAGTCCTTATCGTAAGTGCGTGGTTGAGTCATGTTTCTGAAGGTGAGATGATAAATGATGGTGAATTTAGTTCTCAAGCAAGTGACTATATCGGCATTATATGTGTTTCACAACACTGGTCGCTCAACGCTGGTCGCTCAACCGCTGAAGCTGAAAAAAGGCCATAACATGCAGCACCCCCCCAGAAACCAATATTACAGCGCTATACCAGCTAAAGGTTCGGTACGAGCCGTCTATCAGGCCTAGAACATCGAGATCCACTTGGGTTCATGATTCAATTGGTTCTACTGCCAGCTGAAGGCTTCTTTTGGCCTGGTCTTTGTCCAGACTTCAATAGTTTGTTCATCGGTTTCAATAGTTTACTGTACAAAAAAGGCGATATGCAGTTATTTAATAATCAATATCGATATTGAAAAGGAATAGGCAAACCGAATGGCAATCATGTTCAACTCTGCCGAGGCTACCTATCAATAGGGTTAGACTCATTTGCTCCAAGTCTAATCTTTTTGGCGATGTCTCAAGGGTACAAAGATGCCGCTTGCTTCCGACAAAACTAAGAGTGTTCGGTACCTTGCTTGATTCTCAGATCGATGTGCTTGGATCAAAACCAATGTGTAATAAAGGTAAAAGCATACCGGCAGGACTCAACCTCCGCACTCACACATGTTTTGACAAACTAGTTATGCGTCCCATGGAAAATAACTTTTAGATAAACCCAATAAACTGTCTGGTATCACGCGTTCATTTGCACTTGCCGTCATCAAGAAATCATAAAATGTTAAAAGATCATCAGATCATCAAGCTGGGAGCAGAAGGTAAAGGCCTAGTCGTTCTGTTAGTCTTGAACACCTTTCCCGAATGACTCAATGTATATACCGAGGAGTCGAGATCCAACCAGTCAGTTGGTTGCCATTGACTTAGTGGATTCATGATCGACATGAGACCAGAGCTGGATGATTCCTGGTCTTCAAACATGGAACCCAACTCGTCTATGGATGTCCCGGACTCATGCTCGCCGGAGAGGAGTGATTCCTCATTGCAATTCAACATCTGAATTGTCCTGCTGGCATGTTGTGGGCCTTGTCTCGCCTCTTGACGCAACTCTTCAATTATGATGCTGTATCTCCGGCTGGCAGACTCGGCAGAAATTGTCCTTGCCAAATGGTTCTGACATTTTTCTGCCAGACCAAAGAGTAAGGTGTTGTCAGAGTCTGCTGTCTCGTTGTTCCTTTGCTGTATGTCCCAAACATACACCACTGCTAGAGCGCAGAATGTGACGTATGGCATCCACCACAAAGCATGGAACAGTACCGATTGCTCAGAGAACATGGAATCAACTATCTCGAGGGCAAGTTTTGCTGCGCTTATGCATTGTGTCACGCATTCCTGCAAGGCGGGGCTGCAATTTTCCGAATGATCGAGGAGGAATGGTCGGGTGGTATGCATCACAGCGTGGCAGTAGGCAAGCTTCAAGGCCGTGGATTGTCGAGAGAATATTGGTATGAGACTGGATGGGCGCACGGTGCCAAAATGAGGCGGCAGAGCCTGTCTCCATTCGTGGAGTTGTTGTATAAAGTTTTGGGCGGCCGCGAGACGTTCCTCCGATCGCATTTTCTTGAGGGAGTAGACTTGGCGAGATACATTCTCGATGATTATCGCAATCCTGGAAGAATATGAGATTTGGGAAAACTGGTAAGTAAGTATTGAGTTTCATACCTCGCATGGAAAATTACTGCATCAACATGACAGTCCATCGCAGGCTCGGCAAGCGACGGCCCTTGCGGTGTCATATCTTCGTCGTTGACTCTGTCCGGAAAATCTTGATCGGTATCATTATCATGGTAGAATCGGGGTCGGCCAAACACAACTGCTAGGTACTTGTCAAGTGTATAAAGGACCCAGAAGGTTCGCTTGCGACACTCGGAGATTATGTAATCTGTTGGTTGTCGACCTCCATTTCTATAGTGATTGGACTTTCGATGGAGACCCAGCGCTGTAACGATAGGCACTGTATTTCCGAATACATACCAGGCTTGGTTCATTCGGGAAGTCTGTAGTAAATACAAAACTTGCAGTACACGAGCCTGTGCAGATTCCAATCGTGGTAGACCTGTCTCTTGAGCTGTCAGATCAGATGCAGCCAGGAAATACTGTTCACTCTGTTGAGAGAGCAGAGACATCCCTGGGATTGATCTTTGCTCTGTGATCCTGTGTTGACGGAAACTGGCAATAGCTAGGATACTCACGACAATGGCAGCTTTTGCGTGTCCAATATCTGTCTCCAAAGGCTGCCCATTGTGCCAGTTGTTGATAACACTGTCGAACCACAACCGACAATATTGTTGATGCAAAACTCGATAAGTCACAACACAGTTCTCGAAATAATAATTGAATAGTTCTAGAGCCGCCGGTTGAGTCACGAACAGCAGGCTTTGGTCCCCCTTTGTGGTGAAGGGTACATCACCAGCCGACATGAGGGGCTGAGAATTTTCAGCGCCTGTCAACAGACCGGAATCTGTTTGCTGGTTCTGCTGAGCCAGCCTCTTCCAAGCTCGATGGATAAATGTCAAATTTGATGTCGGATCAAAGAATTGACCCTCTATCTCTGCTGTTTCAAGTCCAGAAGGGCCTTGGGAAGAAGATCTTGTGGTGATGACCTCTGAATTTTCTTCCGCAGGGTTTGGCGGTCGAACAGTAGAAGCCGTAGAACTCATGGAATGTCGCTGTCGACTGACTGTAGGCGGTGTTGGCGGCCTACCTCTGCGATACAGCGATTCATATTGGCAATTCACCTTTCTCTTGATGCATCCATCGCAAGGGATTGTCCCGGAACATTTGAGCTTTTTGAGCTTACAATGGTCGCAAGCCCGGCTGACCTTTGAGGCTTTCCGGCGATTTTCGGATTCACGAGATACATCTGGCGAAAGTGGCAGAATCCTCTTTGATCGAGAAGTCCCAGTATTCGTGCATGTTGATGTTTCGGACAGAGGTGTTGAGGTTACAGGAGTTGCCATTGATGATGCTCGGATTCACCGGAAATCTGTGGGTGAAAGTTGAAGAATCCGAGAGTTTTTGGGGGAAATGACCAGGGTGCGGGGTTATGACTGCCCGGACAAGTCATGTGGGACATTCCTGGGGAGGGACTAGACATGATTGGAAAGGGACCTTGGATGGGAAATATTCATCCACTTTGACAGGCGAACGGCGTCATCACGAATTCATTTATCACTACCCATGCCGTCCAGCCGTGTCCAAGCTCCGGTAATCCAACTGACCATTGCAATTATCGGAAGCAGTCTAGACACTCTTATGTTCCCCTTTTGTATAGCTTCTAGCCCACAGAAGATCAGCATGTCATACCCTATAGCCGTGATTATTTCCTCCACTTCATTGTCATTTCGTGATAGCATCATTAAAAATTAGGTAACGAGTAATTCCAAGACTTCAAATATTCAGGTTACATTTCTGCAACGGTATATCGTCACAGTTCAATTTGTGGATAGTTTGCCCTCCTTCAAGCGATGCAGCACAACTTGTTCAATTAATAACAGGCACCTTCAGCTGATGGACCTCAGTTTTGCCCGGCAACACAATTAGTGGCATAACAAAGCCAACCCATAAGCTCAAGTGGAGCTGCCTGTGCTTAAAATTGATGGGGGGATTTATTCACTGCATTTATGCAGAATTTCCACTTGCAATTTATTCGCTCTGGGAACGATTGAGATTGAAGAATTAATTCTCCATCAGAGAAAACGACTTTGAACATTCACATTATTGTCTGTTTATTTATTTTAATTCTTTTTATTAATGGAAATGAAATTCTTTCGCTGCGAAGGACTATGTTATACAATATCTTATGCGACCTTCTTCAGAGACGCTGTTGACATGGCAGAGTGGATCTCTCCCTCAGCACCCTCAGGAAGAGGCAACAAGGGTGATCGAACTGTAGCGTGGTCCAAGATGCCTCGGGCAACTAGAGCGTGCTTCAGAGCAACAGTACCCTCCATGTGTGAGCCACGGTGATAGACAGCCTTTGTCACGGGCAGAAGCTGATCATGGATCTCCCGAGCCTTGGCGTAGTTCTTAGCCTTTCCAGCCTTGATCAGCTCAAGAAGAGGCTCCGGTGCGATACCACCGTATCCGACAAGCATGCCGTCAACATCAAAAGCAGTGTGGAGAAGGTACTCGTCGTGACAGGTGAGAACAGGAACGTTGGGGCGCTCGCGTCGGAAAACGGGGATCTCAGTGTCCCAGCGTCGCATGTTGCGCACACCGTTCTTCATGGCAATAACACCGGGCTGAGCAGCAATGTCCAGGAGAGTCTGGAGGTTGTAGGTAGCCTTGGTGTTGTCGGGGTACTGGAAGAGGATCAAAGGAAGCTTTGAGACCTCGTACACGACCTTGTAGCGGTCCTGGGGAGCACCAGGCTGGTAGCCGAATCGCAGCCAGCCGTGAGAAGGGTAGAGAAGACCAGCCTGAGCACCAGCCTCCTTGGCGCGCTTGGCCTCAAGGGCAGCAACCTCTGTACCCTCGCCGGTAATACCAGCAATGATGGGGATCTTGTTGTCGACAGACTTGACAAAGGCCTTAATGGTATCGACTTGTTCTTGCTGGGTAAGGAAGGTTCCTTCTCCGGCATGCCCGAGTACAACGAGACCCTTGACGCCATCGATGCTTCCAAGCCAAGAACCAAGGCGTTGAATGGCTTCGTAGTCAACCTTGCCATCCTTGGTGAAGGGGGTGACAGGGGCGGGGACAAGGCCTTTAAGATCGAAAGACATGGTGATGATTGGTTGTCTTAAGAGACTTGTAATAGTGGTGTCTAATCGCAGGAGATTGAAGATGTTACTTGACGATGTTCAAGTTTGTTATTGTTTGTTGATGTGAATGAAGCTGTTGAAGTGATTGAAGTGATGATTTGTTTTCCATTTGTCGAGTTCAATGTCTTCTTATATATCTCAAAAGAGGCCCGCATCTCGCGTTTCGGTCTCACATCCAGAGAGGCGAGTTGATGGACTTGATGATTTTCTAGCCGAATGAATCCGACATTTCCGGAGAATCTTAAGTGTCATGCAGCCTTTGTGTGGTTGGTCTTTTGAGCTGGGTGGCTTTTCCGGAAAAGCCAAGTCAAGAGTCCGGAGATACCACCTCGGATTCTCGGATTTCTTCCAACTCCAAGTTTGACATCGGCAAACTCCATTACAACCCCAACCCCATTACAGCTTAAGTTGATAACCGGAAATCCTTGTGATTTGTCTAGTATTAGCTAGTCTGAGATCTCGCACGATCCCCCGCATCTCTCCACACGCTCAACCCAGAATCCGGGGAACAAATTTCACAACACTGACCACTTTCCTTCGTGTCTCCTGCTTTTCAACCAGCATGACACGAGTGCAACATTCAGCTGAGGGGTGAAGTCAACTATAAAAACTTCCAAACCATTGATCAATCCACCTTCCCCTTTCATCAGACATCTTCCTTCATCTACTTCCAGATAGCAGAAGATATCAGCTCAACATGGCGACTCAGGCTCTCGATATCGAGCGCGAGCTTTCGCGTGATGAAAAGTCTGGCACGATGCACAGCGAGCATATGGGCGGCCTTACGGAACATGATGCCGACTTCTTGAACAATTTCCCAGAAGAGCGCAAGAAGGCAGTCGTCCGAAAGGTTGATGTATGTGTCAAAGACTTCTACTAACCAATTGACGTTGCTAACACAAACAGATGCGCCTCATCCCTATGCTTGTCCTCTTGTATTTGATCGCATACCTGGACAAGACAAACATCGGTATGTACCCAATTGACTTGATGACATTCCCAGAGGCTGACCTAGCATAGGAAATGCAAAGATTGAAGGAATGACGGATGACTTGCATCTCAAGGGTATTGAGTATAACATCGTCACCGCTATCTTCTTTATCCCCTTTGTACTATGCGAGGTTCCTTCAAACATGATCCTTCACAAGTTTAGGAGGCCGTCTATCTACATGGGAGGTATTGTCTTCTGTTGGGGCGTCATCATGACCTTAACGGCCCTCGTACAAAACTATGCCGGTCTCTTGGCCATTCGCTTTTTGCTAGGTATCTTTGAGTAAGTTCGCACTAATAATATTGCGTATCTTGATCTGACCTCGGACAGAGCCGGTTTTCTCCCTGGTGCCATCCTGATCATCTCCAATTGGTACCTCCCCAACGAAACTCAAACCCGAATTGCGATCCTATACACCTCAGCTGCTACTGGTGGTGCTTTCTCTGGTCTTCTTGCTTTCGCCATCGCGAAGATGGATGGTATGGCAGGCCTTGAAGGCTGGCGTTGGATATTCTTGATCGAGGGTCTCTTCACCGTCGTCGTTGCTGTCATGTGCTTCTTTATGCTCTGCGACTCGCCAGCTTTATCCACCCGCTGGCTCGAGGCCGACGATATCCGATATCTCGAACTCCGTCAACTCGCTCGACGCTCCTCTGTGCCCTCAGACTACAAGGAGAACGATCACTTTAACCTTCGACTCTTCAAGGATATCCTTCTTGACTACAAGATCTGGCTTCTTTTCTTTGCCAACTGGTCCAACGCTGTTCCCAATTACGCCATGAAATTCACTATGCCTACTATCCTTCGCGGAATGGGTTACACTTCTAGTGACGCGCAGCTCATGACTATCCCACCCTACGCTATTGGCGCCATCTCTGCATATGCATTTGCCATCTTTGCCGACAAGTACTCATGGAGAGCTCCCTTTATTCTGGGACCCCAGTGCTGTCTTGTCACCGCCTTTATTATCCTCTTTGTCAAGTCTGGTGACATCGACAACAACATCGCTGTTTGTTACTTTGCCGTCTGTCTTGCATGTTTTGGGTGAGTATTGTCTAGTTCTGTTCGCATTTTACAATACTAACTGAACCAGAATGTATCCTATCCTTCCAGGAGTCAATGCTTGGAACGTGGCCAACACTCCCGATCCTGCCAAGCGATCTGTCAACATTGGAATTCTGGTCTGTGTTGGTAATATTGGAGGTCTGATCGGCTCTTATATCTACCTTGAGCGTGAGGCACCCCGATATCCGGTTGGATACGGTACCTCGCTTGCTTTCGGCTTGGCTGGTATTATTGCAGTTGTGCTGCTTGAGACTCTGCTCAAGCGAGGAAATGCCAAGAAGGCTCAGATGACCGAGCAAGAAATTCGCCAGCGATACTCTGAGGAAGAGCTCGTTCGTATGGGAGAGAAGAGCCCCCTCTTCAAGTATGCTCTGTAAGGATAAGGCAGTTAGTGAGAACTTGGTTTCCCCGCCGCTCGGCACTTAATGATATCAATTATTTATGACTGAAAGCGCACTTTGCGGGCCTTTTAACGCTATGTATATATCCCGACATGACATAATGCTACACAAGTCGCAATTCACCTTTGTTATCCTTGATTTGAGTCAATGCAAACGCAGTCAATTCAAGGGCCAGGTTTTTTTCTTTTCTTTTTTTAAAAACTTGGGAGGCTCAATCTTAATCTTTCGACATTACCGGTGGCCTGTTGTTTGTCGTTGGCCGCTAATGAAGCGTTCTACCTAGCCTAGTGAGGCTATCCCAATGCCCTGTAAACATGCTGGGTTGAAATTGGAGACGAGACGAGGCTCATGTCAAAGTGGATTTGGAAGCTAGCCAAAAACAAACACCCTAGGGTTTGTGGCGAGGTGGAGTCTGTCAAACACCAGAACAAGATGCTTCCAATAGTGTCTGGCTGATCATACGTGATTCTCTCCTGACCCAAATGACTCGAAGTGGGCTTCATGCAAGGACTAGTGATCGCCATATAAAAGAGACTACTGACTAAATGTGCAACTGTCAAATTTTTCTCATGAACTCCGCCTTTACAAATTCAGCACTTCATTACAATCATATCGTTTAAAGACAGCCATTTCATAATCTCGACATTATGAGTAACCCTCTTGTGGTTAGCATAGCCAACTTGGCGGCTTATACGCCGCAAGAAACCATTGAGCTCGTCTCTCGGTCTGGTGTCAAAAGAGGAAATATGCGCCCAGACAAAGTCTTTCTATCTGCTGTTTCAGCAGGATGTCTTCTATCCTTTGGTTGCGGTGTTTCGTTATGTGCCATGACTGCTCCATGGTATGCCGAGAACGCGCCCGGCCTGGTCAAACTTTTCGGCGCGGGTGTTTTCCCCCTTGGCTTAGTACTTGTGGTACTTACTGGCGCTGACCTGTTTACTGCTACGACTATGGTGAGCTGGATCGGCATGAAGAATGAGAATTGTCACTCACATATACTAGTTCACTTTGACAGCCGTTCTCCAGGGCCGGCTGCGCATTCAAAAAATGCTGCTGCATTGGTTCCTTTGTTTTTTCGGTAATCTTGCAGGATCGCTATTTGTAATGTCTATTATCATGGGCTGTAAGTTATCGCACCCACTTGGTGAATGGAGACTGACGTTGTTGGTAGATGGCGGTGTATTTGACGCAGACCCCTACAAGGAAGTGGCTATCTCTTTCGCCACCAAGAAGCAAATCGCGCCACAAGTTCACCAAATATTTCTTAAGGCTGTTGGATGCAATTGGCTAGTTTGTTTGGCTGTATTCCTTGGAGTCCAGGCAAAGGATCTAGCTTCCAAGGTTATCGGCATGTGGTGGCCAATTTTTGCCTTTGTAGTTCTCGGCCTTGAGCACGTCGTTGCAAACATGTTCTACATGTCTCTTGCAATTTGGCTCAAGACCCCTGACTTGACAGTTGGTCTGTATATCTGGAAGGGCATAATCCCCGCCACTATTGGCAATGTCATCGGAGGTGGCATGTTTGTCGGCGTGTATTACTGGTACATGTATCTCGCCATGGAAGACCCTGTCAAGGTCGACGGTGTCGAGTATCAGGGTCCTGTTGTGGACAATAGTATGCACTGGTTCTCATACAAAAAAGAGAACTCTGCCGTGGATGAGGAGAGTAGAGTGGAGTCAGCGCCGGTTTCCTCGCCAGCAAGCGTTGTCATGTAGATATGAGGCTGATAATAGACCACGATCTTTCACTATAGTATGATTAAAAGATATGAAATTGAGATTTGTAAATAGCCATTCCAACCAATTATCCACTTGGGTTGAGCCTAGGATCAAGGTCTTTTCTTCCGTGAGCCGATAAATGCTATGAACGGGCCGTTACTGATAATGCATAACCGGTAATTAGCTCACTAATATCACCAAAGAGCCTCAGACTAACAAACAATGGCAAGGCCAGGTACCGGGTCCAGGTGTACCGGTTCATGGCGTGACATAGTTCCCGGTGAAAGGTGAAGACTCGAAGCCAAGCTTCTCGTGGCTATCGAACGGTCTGATTCCAATAATACAATTAACCTGCTGAGTCTTTCCTCAAAACAAGACTTGCAAGTCGAATGGTTACCGTATGATCGGAGCTGTCAGGCCATATCTGGATGCTAAAATCAGGAACAAGATTTTGCAACTCCGCGGAGCCATTGTATTGCTCCACATTGATTTAAGCATCTCCGCGCGAACCATATCCCTGGATCTTATGTTACTAAAAATGTAACATCTTAATAAGCATAATCACGGCATATGTTCCTATTCCACTTGACAGTACATATAAATTTAAAAAACAGTGAACAGCTAACTAAGTATATCAGTTTTTGAAGGGGGCGCGTAAGCTGCGAAGTAAGGCGCGAGGTCACCAGCACCCATTTCATCCGTCTCTACCGTGCCATTACCAAGGCAGAGGAACCGGTTCTTGTATCTCCAAGTCATGTCAAAGTTCTCACCTCCGACCTCTTCTAGACCCTTTTGGAAATGAACAACTGATCCAGCATATACGCCGGTGATACGCCCTTGGGAGCGACCATTTTTGTAGAGAGTACGGCACTCTCCGGACCAGACGGTACGCTTCAGAAACTCCTGCGTGTACGCGTTATAGTCCTTCACTGCTTCTTCTTTAACGCAAAGAGTCCTGGAGAGACAATGTCAGTCGCGCCTCAACAGCAGTGATAGAGGATTGTTGATCTTTCTTACTTGATCTGATGACGATTCATGTACTTGATCCACTTGAGGATAAAGTCTGCGGTCCAGGACATTTGTTGTATGACAGAACCATGGGAGATCGCAGCGTTGGGTCCATTTATCATAGCGTAGTTCGGCATATGACTGACCATAGACGCGTAGAAAGCTTCAGGGTCGTCCTTCCATAGTTCCTCAAGAGTGACACTGTTACGGCCTACAAGCTTCCATTGGGGAAGCCATGAGCTGTCAAATCCGGTGGCACACACAATGAGGTCAAACTTCTCTACTCCTTGATCCGTCTCAATTCCGTCTTTTGTTATACGCTTGATGGGATCCCAACAATCTCGGCAGTTGTCTTCTTGCAATGCTTCAAGGTAACCTTCACCTGGTGTGATGCGGCGGCATCCAGGTCGAAATTTGGGAGCCATTCGCTCCTCAAGTTCCGGGTTATCCTTCATGGAAGCATGCATTCTCTCATTGCATAGTCCTTCATAATATGGCTGCGCGGGGTGGTCGAGACACATGACAAAGAAGAAGGCATTGATTCTAAGAGTTAGGTTAGAGAAAATCTTTAGTAACGTGTAAGGGTAAGCAAAAGGGATACTAACGACTTTTCGAGATCCTTTCTGTAATCATAAAGAGCCTGGGGATTTTTGCGCCACAACCGTCTCTGTTCCTCAGTATACTCACGGTTGACACCATCGGGAGCTTTCTCAATCAAGAAGTTGACAGAGATCCATGTGGGTTGGCGCATGTAGTTAACAAGCCTTTCGGCCTTGGGTTGCATGGCAGTCACAAGCTGTATTCCCGAAGCTCCATTGCCAATGACAGCCACCTTTTTACGTGTCCAGTCATAAGCGTTGTCCCTAAGCCCTAGTTAGTGAAGTAATATCACACGTATTTTACTGATCGAGGTATACCATTTTGCGCTGTGCATAAGCTTGCCCTTGAAGTCAAAGAGACCTGGGATATCAGGCCACTTCCACTTGCTAGGTATGATATTTAGCATGCTGATTTCGACGATGTCCCAACACATTGCTTACTTCAAGAACCCTGATGCGTTGATGACAAAATCTGCCTCGTCTTCTTTGATCTCGCCGCCCTGTTCAATTTTGATCTTCCATTTACCTAACTCTTCGTCCCATATCGTTTCCTTTATGGTTGTGTTGAGCTGGACGTACTTGGTCAAATTATACTTTTCAGCTGTGCGCTTAATGTAGTCTTGAATCTCCTCTTGGCCAACATAAAATTTGCTCCAATTTGGGTTTCCCTCAAAGGGAAAGACATACGCGTCTGGATTATGTCAGTGGGTCATGTCTCTGTGATAACTACATAATGAGTGTAACTTACGAGCAGGGAAATCGCTACGAACAAAGGCACGACATTAGCATCCAAGATCATTACCCATCTCTCGAAATGAAAGCTCAACGTGTTGGAAACTCACCAAGCGGCGCCTGGATAAGTGTTTTCGAACCAAGTCCCACCGATATCTGCATTCTTCTCGTAGATAGTCAACTCAACTTCGTCCTCCAACTTCAACTCGTGTTGAACCTTGTGTGCAACAAGTAGACCCGAGAACCCAGCGCCGATGCAGACCACCCGCATCTTTCGCGTACGAGTGAAAGCGGGCTGCTCGAGAAGAGGGTCACCGGTGATTGGGAAACGTGACATGATGGTGATGTCGTCTTTCGTGCTTTTGTGCTCTTGTCTCAGACAAAATAAAGACAAAAGGATAAGAAAAGGCAGAAACCGACTAAGTTTTATCTGATCAGTTTATGTACGAGTCCAAATTAACACATCCTGGTTGTTCTCGACCGAGTACCCAGTCCGGAGGTCGCACGACATGAGTCCACCTTGCAATTGGAAAGAATCCACCAAGAAACGTCTCTGGTCAAATGCGCGAGAGATGTATGGATACCTCGTTGGATTTGAACAAGTTCTCGGGTATGTGTGTTCCACAGGTACCTTGGAGATTGGAACGTTCTGATTTCGGACAGGTCTGGTCGATCTTTATGGTGATTTGACATTTGTCAAGCTATTACTTGTATTGCCAAACAGAACGATTTTGCAGTTCATCTCTCATGACTCCGAGCACTGTTACATTAAGTCGACCTCCTTGACAAGACCCATAGCTAATGTGACGGTTGATGCATCTCGCCTGTCTCCCAGTCGCATTAATCTTCACACGGGGAACAAGACTACGCTTCCGCTGTAACGCCCTCAACTTATCCAGCCATTGAAAATCTGCTTGTAGTTCTCCATAGTTGTTGGTCGCTTTGAAACAGGACGATCCATATGTTTCCCCGCCTTTAGTCAACTTCTGGGTTGCAATCCGACATAAACCCTGTGCCAAGAATCATTGCCGCAAAATAGACCGAAATATGCTCCATCCTATTCGTAGAATTTCGGTTGTTATTTGACGACGAATTGAAAACCGAAGGGCACAGCATATTTTGGCGCTCATGGGTAAGATGCGCCTCATCGGTGCATGGTAGCATTGCATAAATACTGGGACATGAGTTGTTGCCAAACGATTGCCTATATCGGCAGAGACCATGTTGTAATCTAATGGTGCGCAAATCCTCGTCTATCAACACGTATGAGAGACCCAGTAAGTAATCGATTACGTCGTTCAGTGCAACTATTTACTTTGAAGACTAGGAGCCCAATCACACACCCATACCATGATATGCAGGCATTTCCTTCATGGAAAACCTTCTGTGTCAAACCCTAATTAATGGGATTTTTGTTATAGCCATCAGGCTCCATAAGGCGCATGAAGCATCGCACTTTACTCAGCCTCTTTCAGATGAGCTCCTAAACAAGCAGAAGGATGATGTCACGACTCCACCACAAGAGTTGCCGAAAAGCTGGACGTAGAGGTTGGCACGATTGTGGGGTACCAAACCCGTTACGAGAAAGCCGTCACAAGACCTGTCTTGTTTTCATGACAGAGGGAATTCTGTTCCGAGAACTGCAAAGAGACCCAATGTTGACAGATTGTACAGGTATCCCCCTCATACGGAAGATATAAAATAGGTAACATTGTTAGGGATGCATCCTAATTGACGAAGCCGACGAGAAGACGATGAAGATGGACATTCTCTTACCTATATTGAAGGAGTTACTTACTAAGCGCCCTGATGTCAAAATTTGTTTTTCTCGAACGCGGAAGGAAGTTCGAATACTCACAACTCTTGCCATAGGTGGCCGTCATACCCGCGACGATATATTTTGACAAATTTTGTGACTACCTTTGTACCACCAACATTTTCGAAGCTTTTCCGTCCCTGTGCCTCTTACGAGGTTTTCATAGAGGCATCTTTTCGTCACATCATTCAGCAGCGTCAGCCCATCCATAACGGGCATATTCTTATCTTCATGACCCGTGAAAAGGAAATTGAGAGTATGTTTCTTACTTTGCGTAAACATCAACGTAGCCATCAGGTCTTTTCTATGTATGCATCTCTTCCTAAGACTCGATATAATACTGCTACCTACGGTTTTAATTAGCCTACTATTATTGTCGGCACTAATATTTATAAAATGAGCGTAATAATCCCGGGTATTCTATACATTATTAGTAAATAAATAGAAGATATATCTAATTACTACTGCTAATATTACCTGAGAGATTGTGGCCTTTGATTTGAATTAGGGTATAACTAATGTCTTTTAATGTCGTTTCTACTGGCCACTCATATTTCGAAAGACTCTGCTTATTAGCGGATAGGCCAAGCTATTCGCATAGATAACAGTGAAGTTTATCATCTCTATATGAAAGATTTACACGATAAGTATATACTTGCATATATTCCTCTATAGCTGCACTATCACTCACTAGCCGAGGTTATTCTATGACCTAAAGGGCTTGAGTATAAGAACATCACCTACTTTAATTTCTTAGACCTTCTATAACCTGGTAACTACCTGCGTGCTATTGATGATCTTGAGAACCTGTGAGTAAAACCTTGACACCTATTAAATGCCATGGTGAGATAGCTCTCGATGTTAACATTGGAATAGCGAATTGGTGGATAAAAGTCTTAAAGTCACTGCTTATGGCTGCAAGGCTATTATCCTACTACCTATCTCTCTAGAGTAATATAGGGCCCTCTATATGGCCTATACCCTTGGATGCCTTAACTATATGGTCACTATTGTAGCCATAATAAGCAGGATAAATAATATCCTTGCTAGGCCTATTACTACTAGATATATAGCCAACGATATACATTATACCTTCCGGGATAGAGAGTCCGATATTATTACACGCCTTAACACTATACATTATTTTATTCAAATAGACCAGGATATATCGACTGACAAGCAATAGCTCAAAGTATAGTATAACAAGTATTCCATCGACTATCGCGCAGCAACCGAAGCTCTCGGGATACATCGCCGCATTAAGGATATTGTTTAGAGGCAGTTCCTAAATAGTCAGAGCATTCTATATAATGATATTAACAACTTGCTTAACAGCGAGCCCTTATGAAAAACACTTATAGCTAGGTTTTTCACTAGAGCTGAAAACCATATTAAGGAAGACTACTATAAGGTACTACGCTGTAATAAGGGCTTCCTGATTAACCCAGACTCATCCCTTGTCGGCATGGGTTATACCTGGGTTATAAGTCTCAAATTTCACTGGGGGGGTATCCGGTACATGTCAAGTGTTTACAGCCTATGCTTCATTCTAGTCCAAGTATACAATAAGCTTGATCCAGGACAGTAACGCTATGTGATGATCGTCCCATGTGCTATGGAAAAGCAAAAGCAATCCAACCTGACACACTTAAGACCTTGTATATAATGTTGGATATCGATGGCGACTCACCGAAAGTCTAAAACAAATATGAGTTTAACAGTAATACCCGAAAAGTGCAACAGTAGTCGGCATCAAAGCCACATGGCTAAATATGAGCAAACGAATATTGTTGAGATATTAAACCTTAGACCAAGGCTTTATTTTCCAACGATATGATAATTTGTATTATTATATTCTATAGATTACTGTTGTTTACATTTTACGGATTTCTTTCCATAGTTGCACACCCTACCCTCACAGGTCCTGAGGTGATGCATATATACGATCGCAGCAAAGATGAACGGGAGGTTTGTTTCTTTTGGCAATAAAATCATACGTTTGGGAAGTCTATCTTGATTCATTAAATGCTTAATAACATGACTTTTACAACTTGGAGTTGCTCTCCTCACGGCCAACGAGGTTAGGGTGACCATCGTTCATTGGTCGGGTAACAGCGTAGAATGCAACACCTTCGGTCTTGGTTGAGAACTAGAAGAATATGATTAACTGATGATCAAGTGTTAAGAAGGTTGAAATGACTAACCTGAGCTTTGGATCCAACGTGGAAGAAGGCCCAATCTCCGGCAACAAGATGATGGGTCTTGCCAGTAGCCTCATCCTACACGAGCTGTTAGAAACATGGACTATCTATTATAGGGAACAATTTATAACTTACGGTGATGTCGATTTGGCCCTTGAGAACATATTTGGTCTCCTCATAGTCGTACTCGCCGTATCGTGTAGGACCTGGGACGACCCGGTAGAAGCCGGTTGTCAAGTAAGGAGTAGAGTGTGAGCTCTGTGACTTGACAGAGTGGAAGTCGGCAATGATTGCGCACTCTCCCTCAGGGATAGGGATGTGCTCGTGGCCAGCGCCCTTGATAATGGTGAGAGGAACGATCTTGTTGTTAGACACTAGATATGTTAGTTAAATGCATTAGAGTGTCACCATCTAACTTACTCTTGAGAATTGTGAATGAGAATTGGAGAGAAAACAAAATCGGTGAAGGGAATCGTGCCAATGGCTGTTTTTATACCAGAATGAGTACACGGAGCATTCTCGGTATAGATAGTGTTATCAGATCCCCGGATTCGGGGTACGGCTCCGGGTCCGTAGCTCCGTGCGGCTTGAGCTTATTCAGCTTCCACTAACTGGAAAAAGGTTTAGTGTTGTCGCTTCAATGTGGACCGAGACATAACATGATCGGAGCGCCACGGTCCTTGACCGGATTATTTCATATTGCCCATAGTAAAATTCAAGAGGTTGGGATCATCGCACAGATTGTTGATTATTATCGGGCGGTCAATTATCCTTTGACCAACCATGCCTTTAGTACTACTTTCTTCCACGTGTCTTGATACCTGCAGGGTATCCAGACCTCTCACATTACTCAAAGTATCTTGAGATTTCTGTGACGTCGTCAATTTCAACTGCTGCAAAATGTACCAGGTTGGCCTTTGAGCTTCACACTCCAAGAATGATAAACGGCCTAAGAAGTATGGTTGAAGTAGCATAAAACGTCGTTTCTCCAACAACCTAATTGCGTGACAGCATTCGAACCTCGGCCAACCATGAATATATATATCTACGAGTCTGTCGATATTGTCTGTATTGTGATAACTTGCCGACTGAGCTGTAATGACAGAAAAGATGATCGGCTAGCTATAAGGTACAGGGCTACAGACACGCATGGAACCCACGTTCGAAGATACTTTTCGCAGTGACGTGATTAGAATATGAATTACTCTAAGCAAGAATTTCTCGACTTTTCTAGTTGTATACATTGCCACCCCTCCTCCTATCTAATCTCATCTCTTTCCATCACAATCTGAGGACTTCCGTTCCTCGCAACAACCACCCATCACTTAAACACAAGTGAGATCAGCGGTTTCTTGGTCAAAGGTGCATCGGTCGCTGTGGGTGAAAGAAAGCTGTGTACATTTGTTAGCTACCATCTCGGCATTTGGCTCTGTTGGAACTTACGTTGATGAAGCCACCATCACCCTCGGTGAAAAACTGGTTGGGGGCAGCAATGTACATGCACTCGTAGTCAGTGTTGAGAATGCCGAGGCTGAACTCGACAGAGGACTGGCCGTCGATGTTGGCAGGGTCGGCGACCGAGAAGCCCTGGTTGTAGCAAGCGGCAGCTTGGAAACGCTCAGGGTCGGGGTTGTTGGCCATCATGGCGTCGGTAGTCTGCTTAGTGAAAGCTTCACGACCAGCATCGAAGTTGGAGATGTCACCGATGAAAGACGCGGCGGCCTGGACAGCCTCGTTGACGATGGCGGTGACTGCTGCGGTACCAGCCGCAGTCAGAATAGCCACAGTGACGGGCTCACGCTTGCTCAGGAGATGATCAGAACCCTCTCGGCGTTGGAGGGTGGTGGTCTTGAGACCACTCTCGGTAGGGAGGGCAGCGCCATTAACAATGGCAGAGCATCCAGCGATGGCAGCGACGAAGGTGGTGAAAGAAGGCATTTTGTAGAATGGAATGGTTAAAATAAAAAGTCACAGACTTTGATTGGTTAAACTTGTAGTGTTGAAGTGAAGAGTTGGTATAAAAGATAAGATGAATTGAGCTGATGAGGAAAAGAGAAATGAAGATGAGGAGGACTTCGCCATTTATACACTTTTTCCATGTCGTATTTTCTGTTTTTACTGATGGCATCGTTGTTTCCGTATCTGGTACAGTTCTGCCTGTCCATCGGCTCGTCCGAAGATGTGAGACGGGCTGTAGACAATTTTCCCCTGTTCAACCTTGCTTGTGATAGATTTAAAGTTCTCTCAATACAGCTTGGCAGGAGTGAGGTTTTGGAAATCGACAATAAATGCCGGTATGGTACTGAACCTGAGCTATCGCAGGTCCCAAACATGATATCAGCAGGGCTATTGAGGGTCATTGGCTGGGTAGTGGGTACCACAAAAGCTAGACCTCCAAGCTAGGGTACAAAAATAAATAACCTAAACAGTTTGATCTAAACAGTATAAGCTGACCTACTAATTTCCGTCTCTTATGCTCCTGACGGCCAGTTTCTCTGATGCCCTGACGATTGGTAATAGGTTGCTAGGATCTGTCGGCAACGCCCGGTCTTGTCAGTAATTCTCGCCAATGGTAAATCGTAGATGCTGCTTATGCCCCGCTACCGTCTCCTTGTCTGGTGTTTCCGTTGAAACGTGATTTGTTATCCGGGGTCCAACTGAAACTAGGGTTCGAACTCTAAATGACATTTAGATCAGATGAATGGACTGAATACAGACGTTGCTCGCTTGTTCTGGCATGATGCGCATGAGTCAGTTCTATGCGTCCAGACTCTCCTCCCACGAACTGTGATCCAATTGCGGAAAGGGGTCAAACGCAAGTCTGATCCCCTTTTAGACATTTAAGCTTATACTGACTGAACGATATGCTTTTATCCCAGGAGATACATTGTTCAGGGACTCATTCAGCCCAAGTGGGTTAGCCCCTGTATAACCCAACCAGCCAATCCGAGACTACTGTCGAGTTAACAAAATAGAGTTCCGGATACTAACAAGAGAGGTTTCAACCAATAGAAGTCTGAAGCCAAGACCGGGACAGCTTCATTCCGGCATTAACCAACTTCCCTATCCGTTCAAGGAGACGCACAAGGCATGAAGATAGGTTCATCGGGTTGTACGAATTGCCCGAATAGCTATCTTGCTGGCTTAGTGCATCCATTGAAGCTGGAAGGCGTCTGGTTCGTACGTAAGAAAACATTCTTGAATTGCCTATTGTAGGGTAGTCTTTTAGAACCAAAGTTCCTTAGGTAGATAATATCAGTATTATTTTAAACCAGATGAAAGTTGGTTCCAATAAGTAAATAGTCATGCTAGCTCATATCATATCGACGTACATAGCCTCACTCTTCCATCTTGTTGACATAAAAGTAACATAAGCAATCAGTTCAATGTCACTCATTTAGATACGTCACATTTATCTACAGCTCATAATATGTTGAAGCTTTTATGTGGTAAAATTGTATATGATGATTGATTACAGGGTAACAGATGTAAGCCACAAAGGACCTACAATGCTGACGCTCTTCATAACTTTGCATCAATAAACTGACATGGGTCTTCTTTGTCTAATATCGTTTCACTACCTTATTACCTGATTTTGAGTTCGTCTTGTCATAAAACATTAAGGTACGATTCGTGAAGTGGCCGACGCTTTCTAAAACAGTCCAAAACAGACGCCTAGTCCGCTTTTTATTTGCCGAGCAACTTGGAAACTTTACTGTCTTTCATTCGCCCGTCACATGAGAAGACTGGTCTGTATAGAGTGGTAGTGGGAATGGACCGTAGCCTCTGCCACAACTTATATTTAGTAGCAATTTGGACGTGTTTTGAGTAGTGGGTGATATGGTTTTGATGAACGTACTTTAATTCTACTGCGTTTTATTTCTTTTTGCTCTGTCGCTAGACTGTCTGCGCAGATTTCATAGATCAGTATTTCAAATCTGCTCGTCACAGCGATCCAGTGAACTCCGAGAAATCACTTTCTAATACAGTGAGCTAACTTGTAAAAGTCCAGAACCAAAGTGGAATAACTAAATGTTTCTGTCTGCTGGGGAGGCCTCTTTTGAACCCACAATGTATAGGCTAGATATCAGCCGCGCTACGGCAAGTACATCAGAATCAGTGTCTCCCTTTATAGGATCTCATAGTGTGTGTTATGTATGGTATCAGCGAAAAGAAGGGATTTGAATCCTAGCAAAGTCTCGCCAATTGCTGTCACTGGCCTGTCACGACGACTTCGCCAAAACCTGTTTGTGATATCCAACTCTGTAAATTTAAAAGAACGTGAGGTCCCGGTGTATTCCTTGTCTCGACAGAGTTGAGCATTTGGAGGCTTGACATCATAGATTGAGTGTCTGCAAACAGTGTAAATTTGAGTTTTCAAATAGGAGTCGTTGATTATGAAGATGCCCCCTTTGCCTGCCACAACTTATAGCTCATCCCTATCAAATTTTATTCCATCATCTTAAAACTTAACATGCGCTACATCTTTACTATTGTGACTGTACTGGTCGTATTCTGTTTCTCGATCGCTGGCAACGGACTAATCCCGTCAGACTCGGCGGAAAAGGCCACTGACTACTGCAATGTCTTGGTAGAAGATGGTTAAGCCCATCCCAGCGACAATTGAAAGCAATAGTTGAGATGTAGCTCGATGCTACGAATGAGCGTCTACTCTCGCCTCCGGTTCCATTACCTTTGTGGCGAACAAGGACATCGACTGGAAGGAGACTGGTGGCAGAAACACGCAGCAGTTTCAGGAAAATTTTGAACAAGTTGTCAACAGTATCGGAAATGGGGCGGCACTGGTGCTACGGTGAGTGGCCCAATGTCTGTCTATAATCACAATGGCAATCAGGCAGGAGTCATTGTAGGTGTGAACGGTTGCCCATCCATTAATCCCGCTTGTATCACGCTTTGTTAGAGCTTGTGTGTATTCGTACTAGCTCGAATTGTGGCAGGTAGAGATAGCGGATGAACCCCCAGGCTGACATGATCCGAGTGAACACAACAAGCCGTTCTCGGATAAATGAAAACCTTGTTCATATGTGACATGGGGAAGCGGCCTAATGGCTATTACGTAGAGACGCGTCCAAGGCTGAGTACGAATCAACTCAACGTCTCTCTGGATCCATCATCGGTCACGAAGTCTTAAATGTTAGTTCGGATTGATGATCGTGCCCATGGATTGACCAAAAGTCTCAATTCCCCGCATTCTATCTTCCTGGGAATTCGAACCAAAACATGATTGCCTTTCTTGGCACAATGAGGGGAGACCAATCACGATGATTCGGTGTTCGTTTGGTGATAGGCTCAAAGGAGTCATGCTGACGCATAAGCTGACGGCAAATCTGACATTGCTGACATTGTGCAACAGCTATAAGAAGCTCCTTCGTTGGCTTGATCTTGTTATACTCTATATCTGTTATTACATGGTACTCGCGTTTTAGTTTTTCCAATAGATCCGACAGTCAGCAAAATGGCCATCACTGATAAAATCCATCCTATCTACAGTCTCTGGTTTCTCTGGGTAGACCCTGCCCTGACCTTGATAGGAATGTGGGTAAACTTCCTTGACCACAAGCTCGCTATGCAAGCATTCTTCGTCGATTACCCACTTGACACACACTTTTCGCCTTATCTGTACCAGATCGGCGGCATGGGCACGTCGTATCTGATCCTCATGTGCACATTGTTGCGGTATACCCACGATGTCAATATCTGGAAGATGTTTGAGGGTTGCCTTTTGCCAGCTGATTTCACCATGCTCACGGCCATTTACCTCGGTATGAAGATGGAAGGAAACCTTGCGCTTTCAAGTTGGAGATGGGAAGATTGGTTCAGTGTTGTGGTTACGGGTATTTGCACAGTTCTGCGCCTTGGCTTCATCCTTGGCGTCGGGATTAAGGAAACTAGGGGCAGAGCCAAGAAGGCTTAGTGAAGTGGCCAAGATGAAAAGATCCGGTAGGGCTGATGAGGCTCAAGATGAGATGCGGCAGTGGCTTGCGGGATCTCTAAGGCGAGGAGTTCAGCTTGAGGCTCTGTTCTATTTCGACACGACACAGTTCTTGACTGCTATGAAGGTTGACAATATTCATTACGTCTTTAGCAAATTTGCAGATCCCGTTCTGAGTTTATGTCCCCACAATTGTACGAGATTTTCATGTCAAGAAACGACGAACTGATCAGTCAATGCTCAATGGAAAGCAGATATTTTCTGTCTTGTTAGCAGTGGGCCCATCAGCCAGCTCTTATTACTACCCAAAGCAGTATAAGCTCCAGCTCGCGTGCCCTAAAAGAAGGCCAGGGATGTCAACATCGGTTCCGAATCTAGCCGTAGATTCATTGCATGACTAACTTAGTTTCACTTTTATACCAAAGCATGGCACGACCGGTCTACTCATTACCTACAATTTACATCCCACAGAATGGGCAGTCATTAAGTCTCTGCCTGATAATCCTTGCTGGGACTAAAAATTGGGGGTTTCTTGGTTGTTTCCGGGGATGAAATCGGCCCTTTACCCAGAATCGCGGGGGTCAGAGTGGTCCCGTGATATACTCGTTCTCCGGAAAATAACATGTTAACGGGGCAGATGAAGTTGTACTCAGGCCCGTATCCTTCCGTGATAGACGCGATTGTGGAGTTTTGGACGCAGTCATCTGCCTTTTCTTAATATCGGGCCGATGTTCAAAACATTTGGCCAACCATTGACATATCCAATTGAGAGAAAAGTGGTGATGAGCATATCCCCACGAAAACTCGTTCATGGGGGATGTTAAGGTTGATTTGTGGGTTTGTGGTGCAATCGGATCCATCTCTCCCTACTTTTTCGGACACGCGATCATCAACCGCAGAGCGTGTTTGCAACGCGTTCCATTCTACCACAACAGCTTACTGTCAATGAACAGCAGTTCTATTTTCCTTCCTTCCTAAACTAGTAAAATAGATTGATAACTTCTACGAAAACGTGTGTCAAATTCCATCGGAGGACTCAATAATCACTTGTACAAAAACTCAGCCATACGGTAGTCCCATCTTTAATTCATATCATCCTTCAAAGATTTTCAGCCAAGAGATGCGGCTGAATCATGACGATAAGCCAGGGGTTTAGTGGTCGCGTCAAGTGGGCGCGAGTCTAGTCTGCCACGAGCTTACGACTTGGCACGGGAATAATGGTAAATTATTGAGACCAAGCAAAAAATGCATAATGGTTTACATCTCACCATGTGTGCAGGAGCAGTCATGCCACCCAGAGTACGTGAATTTGATCAGAGCTTGGACTCCTCACAACTCATGCATTAAGCAGCTCATCGTAAACTGGATATCTCAACAGTGGAGAGGCAATATTCAACAGACGACCACCAGGGCGACGGTCAACCGGCTTTCTCACAATGAACCTGGTAACCTGGCGGATAAACGGCTTTTCTGGTGACGTAAAGGCTTACACTTAGAAGCTTTCTAGAAGAGGAACAAAGTAAACCCGTCTCTAGTGCCTGTAGATCTTTGACGGGAATTGTGAGAGTGGATGTCCAGAAATGAGTGAAAGACCATTTGATTGGTTTCTTCCGCCGGTCCGAGAAGACAGTAGAAAATCCTTCCTTGTAATCGAATGGTCCGATGGCAATCAACGGTCGCCTTTCGAGTCAGCTAACTTGGAAAAGCATGCTACGGCCGTTGCATTCTTCTTAGACCGTTACAACGCTCGTTGATCGCGCAAATGATGCCCAACCAAATGACAAAATGAAGCTCCACCCAAATCGGTTCAGACGGCATCTCTCGATGGAGCCTTGCCGGCCAGTCTCTCGGTGCTACCGTCACCACAATCCATCAAAGTTATGGAGTTTGCATTTGCGGTGCCCCATGGCGAAACAAAGCCTGCCCACTCTCCAGAAAAGTCTAATGACTGACTCTCTGGAGACGGAATCTCCAGGTTTGGGAAGAAAAGTGGGTTGGCGAAGGATGAACGTGGGTTACATGCAGAACCACATATAAGAACCTGGGGGCTCCGGATCATCATGTCTCTAGAACTGAACCAAGACTCTGGTGTATCTCACTCACATGCAACAATTTTATACATAATTCTTCCTTTTTATTAGACTCGCTTGAGGATATACATATTATTCATCATGGAGCAGAGTCGACAGAACTCGACCGCGACGGTCGATCGCGAGAAGGACGAGATCAAGAAGGCCATGGGTCATGAAAAGGCTGAATTCGAGGCTCTCGAGGTCGCCGGCCGTGGCGGTCGCGAAATTGACGACCTCATTGACGATATGGAGCGTCAGCTTGATGAAGCTGGTGGTCTGGAAACTGGTTTCTTCCAAGTCCAATTTGCCAACCCCAAGCACTTCACATGGCTCCTTGTCGCTTTTGCCTCTATGGGTGGCCTCCTCTCAGGCCTTGACCAGTCTCTTATCAGTGGTGCAAACCTGTTCCTGCCTGACGATCTCGGTCTGAACGAGAGACAGAACAGTCTCGTTAACTCTGGTATGCCCCTTGGTGCTGTGGGTGGTGCGCTTTTGCTGTCCCCTGCGAACGAGTACTTTGGAAGAAAGGGAGCCATCATTATTTCTATTATTCTATACACTATCGGCGCCGCTCTAGAGGCTGGTTCTATCAACTTTGGTAAGATACCTTTACTATCCCTATATGCTTCTTGGTACTAACTGGTCAGGTATGATTGTCTCCTCACGTGTCATCCTAGGTCTTGGTGTCGGTCTCGAGGGTGGTACTGTCCCTGTCTACGTCGCTGAGACTGTTGAGCGAAGGATCCGAGGAAACTTGGTCTCGCTCTACCAATTCAACATTGCCCTTGGTGAGGTGCTTGGATACGCTGTCGGTGCCATCTTCCTCAAGGTTCCTGGCAACTGGCGATACATCCTCGGCTCATCTCTTGTTTTCTCCACCATTATGTTCTTCGGCATGCTCTTCCTTCCTGAGAGTCCCCGTTTCCTCATCCACCAGAAGCGCCACCTCGACGCCTATAAGGTCTGGAAGCGCATCCGTGGTATCGAGGATCGCGAGTCACGAGAGGAGTTCTACGTCATGAGCGCTTCCGTCATCCAAGAAGAGACCGCCGTTGTCGAGGGAGCCAAGAACCGTCGCTTCCCATGGATGGACCTCTTCACCGAGCCTCGCGCCCGTCGTGCTCTTGTCTACTCCAACATCATGATTCTTCTTGGTCAATTGACTGGTGTCAACGCCATCATGTACTACATGTCTGTTCTGATGAACCAAATTGGTTTCGACAAGGAGAAGGCCAACTACATGTCTCTTGTTGGTGGTGGATCTCTCCTTATCGGTACCATTCCTGCCATCTTCCTCATGGAACGATTTGGTCGTCGTTTCTGGGCTATTACCATGCTTCCCGGTTTCTTCATCGGTCTGGTCCTCATTGGTGTCAGCTACCAATTCGATGTCGCCACTCAGCTAATGACTGTTGAGGGCCTTTACCTGACCGGTCTTATCCTCTACATGGGCTTCTTCGGTTCCTACGCCTGTCTCACCTGGGTCATTCCTAGTGAGAGTTTCCCTACCCATCTTCGTAGCTACGGAATGACAACCTCCGATGCTCTTCTCTTCCTCGCATCTTTCATTGTCACCTATAACTTCGCCGCCATGCAGGAGGCTATGGGCAAGACTGGTCTGGCTCTTGGCTTTTACGGTGGTATTGCGTTCGTTGGTGAGATCTACCAAATCTTCTTTATGCCTGAGACCAAGAACAAAACTCTGGAAGAGATCGATGTTGTCTTCTCGCGACCCACCATGGACATCGTGAGGGAGAACTGGGCTGGTGTCAAGGAGACCACTTACCTCCTCTGCACCGGCAAGTGGCACAAGGTCTTTGTTGAGCAGGCCATGCAAGACCCTAAGGACCAGGTTCAGATCTCTCACGCTTAGAAGACTATAATGTGAGATATACAGGAGATGAGTAGAAGTGTTAGCTTAACGATCATGATATCAAGAGTAAATAGTTACTAGTAATGAAGAATTCTAGATTTTCGGAAGAATATTATCAATTGAGTAATGCGACATTCGTAATAATTAACCATTACAACGCATTTATCTACGTCAGTTTTGGGTTCAGAATCTGCAAGTGAGAACGGGCTTTGTGCACTCTGTGACATGACCCGGATGGAGGGAGTAGCGAACAATTAACCCGCAGGACTAGGAGGAAAGAAAATAAAAGAAATAAACACAAGCATTGTATATCACGTAGAAAGTCACTCCTGCTAGGCGTTTGCGTGAGGCTCTTGAGTCTATTCTTATGAGTGATGTCGATCAAAAATCCTACTCGTCAGTTTGCCCATCCTCATCGTCATATCTGTAAATGCCTCGCTCTTCCAGCTGAGCCATGAATAGGCTCCGAGGTTCGACTCTTTTACCTGAATCTATGAATGTCGCATTCCCTTTCGGATCACGACCATTTCCTCCACAACCGATACACCAATTGATACCAAGCGGCGGCGACTCGAAGTCGACACTCCCATCAAGGTTCCACCCCACGCCACCATTGATAGACCACCCATGACCTGAGCCTTTGATGCCCCTGTCTACAAATAAAGTTTTCACGGAGCTATCTTCCACCAACAATCCCTGCGCCCATCTCTGATGTGGATATATAGTTTGAACATCAGATTTGGCCTTGTGACGCAAAACAGCGTTCGGACCAGGTGTCAAGGACCCTGTACTGACAGTAAAACATCTTGCCGATGATATTCCAACTTGTGAACAGTCTTGTATCAAAACCTGAGAGCTTTGTATTAAGATGTCAAACGGAAGAGCAGCCCCTTGAATATCTCGATCACGGTCCATAGTGGAATTCTGAATGGTGATGCGAGAGGCATCTTGGTCCACTTGGAAGAATTTGTTGAATCCTTTTAGGGATAGTCCACTGGCCCAACTGTCAACAGTCCAAGAAGGGAAATAAACAGCAGCAGAGTTGCACGTTTTATCATTAAGTGGTGCGCCCGAGCACGTGTCGGGGACTTCAATCCCAAGATCTTGTATACCAATCTCTTCATTGACATACGGCGGAGTATAGACTATCAATTCAGGCTGGACATAGTCGGAGTCAAGATTGTCCGTCAAAGGAATCCTGAGAGTAATATTTGTGCCATAGACGCTGCTGATCTGGTTGGGTGACAATATTCTCTTGTCCACCTGCTGCAAGTTAGTTGGTGATTCTTCCTTAGATACGGCAGTTACTTACTGGTATCCATGTCTGTTGAGCATCGTCTCGGATGAGACCATCCATTCCGTTATCTCTGATCCACGCTTCTGATGCATTTCGAGAGACATAAACCAGCTGATCAGCAGCAAATCCAGCGCCGTCAATAACCTCGACAGACGAGGAGCCGATTGGTAGATACTGGTTGGTGATGCTTGATCTGAAACCATACCGAGGCCTTGTAGTATTGATAGGTGTGCCAAGGGTGAAGACTGATTGCGACGGGCGCTCTTGTAAGACCAGAACCGTTTTGTTGTCTCCAGCTCCAGCGACAACAACTCCACTAGTGACATTGATGCCTGCAGTCATGGGCCATCTACCTTCAGGCAGAACAACAGTCCCGCCACCTGAAGATGCGAGACTATCAATAGCCTCTTGTATCAGAGGCTTCACGTCAGCAATGCTACTGTTGAAAACCAGTGTAATGTTGGCACCAGGCCTGTTGGGCAATATTATCGCCGAGTTGTGGTACCCAGCAAAGCTAAAATCAGGAAGAACATCTCCGCGATCGCTCACAATTGTCGTCCAGTCGAACGAGTGACTGTGCCTTTTGCTCAAATTGAAGTATGTACCACAGGTAACAACGACGATGACAAAACAGCCCACAACAATAAGAATTGCACAGCGGGGAAAGCACTGCCGAGGAAGTGGCATTGGAAAGAAAGTCCGTAAACGCAAAGATATCGGTCCCAGAGTCGTAGACTTTGTTCTGTTGTGTCGGCGCAAGGTATTATATAACTCTTGTGCGGATAATGCTAGTCAGTTTGGGAAATGAGAAAAGGAATGCTTGATTGAGACGAGAGAGAAGAGGCTATAACAGACGAGACAAACTCAGAGAGTTCTGCACCGATGAATAACTACTTTAGGGAAACTTACTAAAAGGCGGTTCTAGTGTTTACTCTTAGCACGGCTCTGGAATGTCCGTCCGGATATGGCTGAGCTAGAAACTATCGGTCCGGGGTGGCACTATTCGGCAGGCGCCGCTTGGGGTGATATCAGTCGCTTTTTTGGACGAGGAAAATATGATTTAACACCTTGCAAGTAGGTTTTGATCGTTGCTCACTGAAAGATCTTGGCCATCGTAGTTTACTTGGCGTAGGGTTTAGTTGCCGCATGCAAAGGTCTTTGTTCATACCAGAGCCGCTGCCAAGAAATGAACTTTGCCGATGATGCGAGTTCCAAGGGCCTGGATCATGACTTCTGCGCTAGGTTAATGATTGTTTTCAGTGACTGCAGTCTAAAGTGAGCCCAGACCTGAGCAACAAAAGGCTTGGCCACTGAGAGCACAGTGAAATATGTTAACGAGCAACTTTAATTCATCTTGAATTGGTTCAAGGTTCTTGGTATTTTGTGCTCAAAAGAATCGCGGCTGATAAGGGAACTGGGCAGATGAGCTAAAAGCTTGTCGTTTTGGTCAAATGTTCTTTAGTTTATGGTGAATGAAGGAAATAAAAGCTAACAGCCGAGCAGGTACCTTGTATGTGTGAGAATAAGGTTGCTTCTTTGAACTTTACCTACTATGATTTTTAGCCACAGAGCGAGGGAAAAGGTCAGTGATAGAGTTCCAGAATGGATAGCAAGCAATCATAAAATTGTTTACAAAAATTCAGTCATCGAGGCAGGCATGTTTGGAGTCTATTTGGGTGCAATCTCACGATCAACAACCGCTCCTCTATGACGGTTGATCATACGCTAAATGAACACGGAAGTGACCTTATATCACAGATTTGACTAAATTCAGATTGTAGATATGTATTAAACATTGTCTTGATATAATCTAGGTCTAATATTCTAATAGTATAGTAGTCTACTCAATGTCAACGCGCTCATCCCTTAGACGAGCACGCTCTGGTTTTGTCAGTCCCCCATTTTCATCTTGTTTCAACAAGATACCAACCTCTCCTCTTTCAGCTGCATCAAGTGCATCTGTCGCCACCTTCTTTTCTACCTCTTCGTCTCCAGGCGTAGCCGTAGGAGGAGGTGCTGATGAGGCCGTGACTCCTGATACACCCCACACTTGGCTACCCAGATTTGTAGCAACTTTTGTAAAGATAATAACGCTCATAAAAGGCGAAACACATTTGTTAATAAGATATCCAATGAGAAGTTTATGTCCTCGTTTGCGCAGTGGGGTCTCAAGGAGTATTGAACAAAAGAACCATAGTGAAGGTAGTTGGCCGACAACCAGCATAGGGACCAATTTGAGAGCTGTGATGTGACGAACGCAGCTAGCAATGAAAAGTGCAGTGTTGAGAATGCGATAGTACACAAGACTCAAACGGATGACCTCGATAGAGGCAGCAATACGAGTGATGGGGATCATCTTCTCGCCAGCAAGATAAAAGTAATTGTTGAAGTAAGCGTTGGAGCCCCATCGACGCCGTTGACTTAGGTAGTGAAAGAGAGATTGTGGAGCTACCGTTTCGCTGACGGCATCAGGGACAAAAAGTGTTCGAAGATGTTGACCCTGAGAGAGCATGGAGTAGGTAAGTCTTCGGTCGGTACCCTTCATTGAGTTAGTGTACGTGGAGCAAGGCTATAGGGCAGTATTAACTTACGAGATATTGGACTTGGTGATGGATGACCAGTTCAGCAGTCACAGGCTCAGAGTACTTGCGGATTGCACCAGCCATTTCTGGTCTCACAGCCATCATGGTAATACAACCAGGTAGACAAGTGACTTTACCAACAAAGCCTTCAGCTCGCCTTCTGACGTATTGTCCGAATGTGTACTAATGAAAAGGTCAGCAAAAATGTTGGCTCTCAATCTTCAGTTGTGCTTACCTGAAATTGTTGATAGAGATTCCAGAATGACCACTCGTATCCTGGTTCCAGCTCGACCAACACGAGACCACAAGCCGCGATAGCATCCTTGTCCCGTGCAAGAGCATTAGCGAGGAGTGCTACAGCACCCTTGTGAATAGTTGAATCGGCATCTGTGCAAAACACCATATCAAATCCGTTAAACTCCTCGCCCTTGGTCAACTCGGGCAGAATCTCATCCCACATCTCCTTCCGTAGAAGCTGTGTATATAAAGGGCAGTTCTCGCGAGGGTAGTTGAAGAGATCATGGCAGAGGACAAGAGAGTCCTTCTTACCAGCGTTTTTGACCTTCTCAATGACAATGACAGGGACGTCTTCCATGAAACCAGCGAGTATGTTCAAAACACCCTTCTTCCATTTGAGGGATACATATGGGCGTTGGAACTCGCGAACCAGGCGAGTCATGTGTGATCGCACGTCACGAGGATTCCCGTCTAGAATGACAACCATGACTTGCCGATGAGGATCAACACCGTTGTCCCGCAGGGAGAAAATTGTCTTGACGATCTGCTCCTCACTTTCGGAGTAAGCAGGAATAAGGGAAAGAATCCACCGTCGGCTGACAGGCGCGGGTGGGTAGAACTTCTCGTAGATAGTACGGTAGATCATCCCTGTAGGAGATAGGATAGCCGACAAGAAGTCTTTGCTTTTAACAAAGAGGACAACAATAAATACAAGCTTGCTTTTCTTTCCGAACAATGCAGTGATGGCCATGCAGATATTGATAATGACGATTATGCCCATAAACGCCACTCTTTGGTTGCGTAGATCCCTTTTGGAAAGGATCCGCGCTGGATCGACAGGGTCTTCAATTTCGGGGTAATCACATGTCTCGATAGTGTCGTTGGCATGCGTGGGTCCAGCTTGTGAAGAATTCTCAGTAACTAAGACAGTAGGGCTGGCCTTCTTGGGGTCTTGCTCAAGGGGACAAATGTTGTCATCATCTTCTTCGATGGTGACTGCATGGAGGGGATCTCGTGTAGGCTTGACTTTGAGGTTGAACAAAGGAGTGATGTTTTTTGTAGAGGAAGGGAATAGCGGCTCATCGATGATCTTTGGTGGTAAGGGGTTCTGGACATGTAATGTAAAGTAATCTTTCTTGAGTGGTTCAGGCTCGTCATCGCCAATAACTGTCTCAGCTGTGGACGAGAAAGAAGCATTTTGCCATGATCTATGACGGTCGACGAGTGGGTGTTCATCTTCGTGAATAGTAGAAGCGTTGATGGTCTTCTTTAAGTCGGCAAAGTCATTGTCGAAGTATGCCTTCTTCGTCTCGAAAGAGTAGAGGGCACTTCTAGGCCGTACATTGAAAGTGGCCATGATAGAGGATTGTCTCAGAAAAATGAATGAGTGTAAGACAAACGACTCACAACTTGGGGGAGGAGGAAAGGAAGAAGGACAACCCAAGTTCGAGGTCTTCGGAAGCAAGAAAGTCGTTAGAACAGATATTGTGCTCATAGTGTTCAAGGTCTGATCTATCAGATTTTTATCACGTTCAAGCATAGCCTTCCAAATTCCAGTCCCTCGTCCGAGCAGTTGGCCGAAGCGTTCATTTTCGTCTCCCACTACTCTCGTGCGTTCTAGCTACTCACTCCCCGCTCACACATGGATGATCATAACCATGAATAGAAATTCTAAGGAAAATTCGATGCATCGTCGAGAAAGACCCAGAATTGCTCATCACTTTTTATTGCTCATAGGTTGTATAGTTGAAGCGGAGTCTGCATTCCTGTGGCTGTCCGGAATGGGCTTGTTGTGCCGTGTGCCATCCCGTTTTTTTATCCACCGACTAAATAGCTCGCTTAACAAACATGTGGGAAGGGAATGGACTTGGTCGTGACCAAGTCCTGGAATCACTAGCTACTGAAGACCTGGCTTGGTCTGTGTTGATACCATTTAGTCTTTGCGCACTTTTTGGTGTGGGAAATGCTCTGAGTTGGAGCCAGTCTGTGCAGAACTCGGAGATTTTAGTCAATTAATGCCGCGTAAAAGGAAAGGCGTCAGAGTTAAGAGATCTCGGAGAATACCCAGATCTGGTCTGACTCAGAGGTGGTTGAATCATATGTGCGCTTTAGCTGTGACTGTAGACGCTGAAGGCAGACGTTGTTCCCATTTCCAGGTTTTGACGCAGGTACCAGGTCCAATTCTTGGCAACATCTCCCAACAATCTGGAACCGACCTCAAGCACATGGCAAAAAGAACCCAGACCTTTAATCATACGAGGGACCATGTCGATCACATAACCAAGCTCAACCTGGACCCAGCTTTCCTGTGATCAACAGGCACGGTTTGAATGACACCCACCAACGCTTCGATGATCCCCGTTTACTGTTCCCATCCGCCTCGCATGGCAAGTTGACTGATCAGTTTAGTGAGGTATGTGATAAGTGGCTGACCCATGCCCGGAAAGGGCATGCCTTACGTTGCACCAACCCATCATTGGGTGGGGGGAACAATGTGAACTGTCTGCGATGGGTCCATGATGTCGATCTTTGTGGATTAAAGAGTGTTATGGATCTTGGCAGACGATTTAAGACAGTATTACTCCAGGGACTAGCCCACCGATCATGCCATGTGAAAGCAATTAAGCACTTGGCGTTTGCTCGCTTAAATTGAAATGGCTGTTTATAGTCTAGTTGTTGTTGAATTTATTCTGGTTCTTATTTTGTCAATATGACAATCGTACATTTCAAATGTTCCCACTGGAGGAGGTATTACAAAGACGAAGTAATGAAGTGTTGACCTCATGACGCATCTCGAGATAATATGGCATGGAAACTCCCGAGTTAGTGTCTCCTTGCAAGCTATTTCTCAAATCATCACGCCGCCGTTATTTCCTCTTCGGGAGACTCTCGACGACACAAAACAAATATTTGTAGAAGCTCACCCTATAGCGAGACGCACTGTCAAGTTTACTCTATGGCTAGTGCCACCAGGGCCGGCATGTAACAGGATTGGATAGACAAGTCTCAGACCACATTCCTTATACCTCCCGTGTTTACTTCCGGAGGAGGACCGTGCCTGCCCGAAGAATAATTGCGGGCGGCAATTGAGTAGCGGTGGCTGCGGGAGGCACCGCAGGTATGTGTGAATCTCAATAAGCCTAATCAATATGAAGACCCTCTCTCTGATACTTGGTCAATACGTTTTAGCTGCACCATCAGCGTAGTTTACACTACTGAGTCTAGACTTGTTGTAAGGAACTTTGCTGTCGAAAAATCCGGATTACGCTCTCAATTAGTATCAAGCTGCAATAGTGAGAAACTTGAAGAGAGTTCTTCTCTTTGCTTTCAGTGTCGAGACTTCATCTATAAGAAGATCGGATCGTACACGATAATATCAATCTCATCACTCATCTCATCTCATCTCATCTTATCTGAATACAACAACTTTTCCAACATATCATCTCTCCTCTCATCCTTCACAATGCCTTTCTCTGCCAACCTCATCCAAAGGCCCGCCCTTCACAGGGTCCTTCCCACTGAGTCCAAGCGTCAAGCAACCAAGACATCATCCGCTAAGACCATGATCACACCCACTGAAGCTACTCCACTTGTCGCAGTGATCGGCGTCGGTTTCGTGGGTACAGGTCTTGTAGACTCTTTCTCTTCCAAGTATGAGGTCATGGGTTTTGACATCAGCGAGAACCGACTTGAGTTTCTGCGTGGGGAGTTCAGAGCTCGACCCAACGTGTCTTTCACCTCCAATGAGTCTGATCTTGCCAACGCTACTCACTTCCTCATCTCTGTTCCTACTCTACTCCGGTCTGACAAGACTATTGACCTGTCTTACCTACAAAGTGCTCTGTACCAAGTTGAGCAATGGGCTCGTCCTGGATGCACCATCGTTATTGAGAGCTCAGTGGCTGTTGGTATGACTCGTCAGCTCCTTGGTCCCATTGCAAAAGCCAAGGGTCTCTTCGCTGGAATGTCTCCTGAGGTAAGCTCAGCTACTGATTCTGTCCCGCCATGAATACATGCTAACATACATAAGCGTATTGACCCCGGTCGAACTGAGCCTCCTATGAAATCCATCCCCAAGGTTGTTTCCGGTCTTGATGATGTCATCCCTGGGTCTCTAGACGCTGTTGTCCGCCTCTACGGTCGAGTTTTTGACAGAATTGTCCCTGTCTCTAAGCCCGAAGTTGCTGAAATGTGCAAGCTCTACGAGAACTGCCAACGGATGATGTGTATTGCCTTCGCCAATGAGATGGCCGATGCCTGCCAGGGTCTTAGCGTCAACCCTTTTGAGGTTGCAGATGCAGCTGCTACTAAGCCCTTCGGTTACATGCCCTACACTCCCAGTCTCGGTGTTGGTGGCCACTGCATCCCCGTCAACCCATACTACCTCCTCTCAAATTGCGAGTTTCCCCTCCTCCAAGCTTGTGCCGACAAGATGAGCAAGCGACCCGCCAACATGGCCAAGAAAATTGTCAACGAACTCATGGGAGGTGGGAAGCTCCAACGCCGCGACTCTGGAATCGATATGACAAAGAGGGTTCTGGTTGTTGGAATGGGCTTCAAGGCTGGACAGGACCATCTTGTCAACTCACCTGGCCTACAACTGGCCAAGGAACTGCAGAGGCTTGAAATTGATGTTCACTTTGCGGATTCCTTGGTCAAGCAAGCTGCTGTACCAGATATTCCACGATTGGATGATGCTGACTGGGTCAAGGAGGAGCTTCAACAGTTTGATATGATTGTTGTCAGCTTCAGACAGTGGGGCATGGACTTTAGTGTCTTGGATCAAGTCACTGATATTCCTGTTCAGATGTGGTGCCAATAGTAGCTTTACGTGGAAAGAAAAGGGAAAGGCGTTCTGGGAGTTGTTCTTACTTCAACAATCTACAATCCTGAGAGAGTTTCATAATAGTACTAGCACACACATAATACAGAATATTTACAATAGTCAATTTTGGCTTCCACTCGTTCGTCATATAAGCAACGGATCTAGACAATGTGATGAGTTGCAAGATAAACATGTGTAAGCCATGTAGTGTAAAAAAAGTCTTTATCAAGTACTGTGGTTTACATGGTCCCGAACATCCACGAACTTTATTTTCTATATTCCACCGAGGTTGAACTAAACGTCGACAAGCTTGATGCATGATGATCTTGATGAAAAGGACGAAGAGTGGTGTCATTTGACGTTCGGTGCTGATATTGTACATCTTCCGCCGGTTCAGTTTCTCGTGGGCCCTCTGCGACAAAGTAGTTTGCAAACACCCAACTCTTCTTCGGCGTTACTGGAGCTGTGACACATTTTTATAGCGAAACTCAGGACAGCCTGGTGGCATAAAGCTTGTTCTTGGGCAACAAAGAGGTGACCAGAAAATTTGGTTCTTGTTAGGCGCAACGTGGCGGACGCCTATGACGAGCCTAGCAATCTCTACCGTCAGCAAAGGTCTACCTGACCACGCGAGCAGTTACCCATATCGGTCACCACAATATGCCGCCTTGAAGCCAAGAGATAGCCAAGACGTCAACCCTGAGGGGGTGGAATGAAGACGCCCATGACACCATAAGCGCGCCAAGAGAGTACAACATAGAATTGCCAAGTATTCAGCTTACACGATAGTTTCTGCCAAGAGACACCATCTCCGGTGGTTTGCACAACGCCAGTTCATGTCAAGTGGGCTGTACGTTGAAAGCAACTGTAGCTGCATGACCATGACAATATCACAAACGTCAATATTCACGCTCATATGGTTTAACAAAGCGATAGCCCAAATTACCGTGCGAATTACAAGTAACATATAAAATACCATATAGACAAGTCCGGTCTTGGGAGCGGCGAGGATGTGCCATTCCACCACGATAACTGGGAATTGAAGCAGTGAAAATGTCACTTTTTATAATTGAGACTTGGATAAATATGCAGCGTTCGCCTTCGAACTCCCCTTTAGGGATTTCGGTGTTCTAGTTCATCATTTGGCTCCGCGACGTCGATGCAAGTCACGATGGCACTGTAGTTGAGTTAAAGAGTGTAATCTTTTATCAATTAAGTCGTAAGACAAGGGTACTATAAAAAAGATTCCAACACGATATTCTATGCAATCAAATCCACTCCTCTATTCTTTTCATCCCATTTGCGTTGAAAATTCCAATCAATAAAATGAGCGATTTGGTATCAAATCCCCCAATAGGTATCATAAGTTTGCGATGCTTTTAGAAGTGAGGGGCGTTGAGAGCAAGAGCCATGAGACATCCACCGATAAGACCGGCGATAGGGATGGTCATGATCCAAGAGAAGACGAGGAGGAAAACTCGCTTCCAGTTGACAGCCTTGATGCTGCCGTTGCAGAGACCAACACCGACGGTAGCACCAGTGATACACATGGAGGTAGAGACGGGGAGCTTGTACTGGGAGAAGACAAGGACAGTGATGGCAGCACCCATCTCCATGGAGGAACCACGGCTGGGAGAGTGGTAGGTGATCTTGTTACCCATAACTATTCAGAGTTAGCGATGTTTCACTGAGAGGAATGTGTTGTGAGACTTACCCTTCATGATGTTGTAACCATAAGTAATGAAACCAATGCAGATCGTAGCAGCGACAACACCAATCTGCCACAGAGGAACCTCGGCCTTCTTCTCGGCAGGGCGGCTAGTCGACCAAGCGGCGTACATACCAGCCCAGACACCAACAGCGTTACCAACATCGTTGGCACCGTGAGCGAAAGAAGCAGTGCAGGCAGTGATGATCTGGACGAATGAGTACAGGTACTCGACCTCGTTGGGGTACTTAGGAGCATGCTCGTAGACACGGGCCATACGGCGACCCTCGGGAGTAGCCTCAATACCCATCTGAGCAGTGTGGATGTCGTAGTGAGCACCGTAGAGAAATGCGACGACAATCTGAGCGGGAATGCGCTTGACAACGGCGATCAAGTTGTGAGTCTCGTGGATAGAACCGGCACCGATGGGGTTGGCGTGGAGAGTTCGCATGGCCCAGCCAAGAGGTCCCTTGCCCTTGCGGAGGTTGGAGTGGTGGATCTCTTCGGCCTCCTTGACCATTCGCTGGTAATCCTCCTGGGTAGACTCGGAAAGGTTGAGGTGTCGCTTTTCGTTGTTCTCGGAGCTGGCGGCAGTAGCGGGAGTGATCTCATCGTCGCTAACTTTCTTGGGGTTGTGTTCTTCAGACTCGTGAGAGACAACCTCCATTTCGGAACCGTGCTGGACGACAGCGTAGTTGGGGACACGGGCGTTCTCAGCATCAGGAGGGGCGGGGCGACTGAAGAGGAGAGGACCTCGCCAAGCATCCCACCAGCGGAGGGTGTAATCCTTCTTGATGACGACAGCGTGGACGAAGGGAACGAAGAAGATAGCAGAGAGGAAGAAGAGGCCCCAGCCAACACCGAGAGTGACAGCGGCAATGTACCAAGCAGGCTTCTCAGCGAGGCCGAGACGGGGAGATCCCTTGTACACAATGGAGAGTGTGCAGATGGTACCAGCGATGAGGAAGAAGAAGGGAGAGGTCCAGACAGCCCACTTGACAGGGTTCTTGCGGACATGGACAACATACTTGATGAGCGAGAAGATGATGGCAGCAAAGATTCCAGCAATGGTAGGGGCCATACCGAGACCAGCAAAGATGGCACCGAGACCCTGACCACCGTTCCAGCCCCATTCAACCTTGCTAGCACCAACAGTAGCAATACCGACACCAGCGAGCGAAGAAATGAGCGAGTATGTAGACGAGACGTGGGCGTTGTGCTTCGTGCACCACATAACCCATGTAGAAGCACCGGCGGAGGCACAGGCGAAGGCGAGAAGCTGGACACCTGCGTTGTCGCGGAAGGCTTCCATGGGAATGATACCGTTCTTGATGGTCGAGGCGGTTCGGGCACCGACGGCCAGGGCGCCTAGCATCTCGAAGATGCAGCAAAGCACCATGGCTCCGCGGTATGAGACGGAGCGGGAGGAGACACTGGTAGCCCAGGCGTTGGCGACATCGTCTGCGAATAGTGTCAGTTACTGTTGATGGGAGGGGTAGAGTAGGCGAAGAAGGAATGGGAAGACATACTAGCACCATTGTTGTAAGCCTCAAGCAGAGCGAAGCAACTGCCAATGGCAAACACGTAAGTGTAAGCCTCGAGAACCATTGTGACGAGTGGTTTGGGAGTAACGAGGGAAAAGAAAAGAAGGCAGCGAGAGAGAGCTGCGTAGTAGTAATGTTACTACTGCGGCTTGCCTTGTGTTTGATGAGAGGAGAAAGACTTGGAATGGGATGCTCAAGAGAAGAGAGGGGAAAAGTCTCAGAGTTCGGGGTCTTGAGGCAAGACTTTAAATGAAATCTGCCACAGAGTCAATGGCAAAGCAACGCGGGCAAAAAAAGGTTCAAGTCTGAAAGCTTAGGTTTAGCACATCATGCAGTCATGGGTCCTTGCCCATGTCGGAACAGTAAACAGAGCTAAAGGGCTAAAGGATTGCCCCCCCACCAAGGTGCAGAAGCCAAATAGTGTCTTTACTTTTTGGTTCTGCATGTGCGTTCCGTGCGTTCGGTGAGACGATATGGCTACCGATTGCTGTCGATGCAGTCATTCTAGGTACTCAATTTGGTGTCCACACCAGAAACAAGCTACTGGGGGGAGGGGGGGAGGGAGAGAAGGAGGGAGGTGTGGGTGTGTGTGGATAAGGACGGCGGTAGTACGGGGAGACTAACAATTAAGCATATCCCTCCCTATGAGCATCTCTCTCTCCACCACGTGCAAGATCTACGCAACACGTTCTCGACATATGATTGGTTGAATTGGACAGCTCTTTTTTCTGAGACTTTGAAAAGCAAGGATCGGAGCTACGCCACATAACACATGCATCAAAAGTTCGATGACAGCGGGACAAGAAATTCATGTCGATTCGCCAAGGGGACCTGATCTCTCGGCGAAGCAAGAGAGTCGCGTGCCTTTAATCCTGAGTTGTGATGGGTTGGACGACTATCACTGTACCAGATGGGGTTTACTACTGCAGATGATTTTTTTTTTTTTTTTTTCTTTTTTTTTTTTTTAGAATTTGAGGATCCAAGTAGGTATTAGACTTATTTCTAAGGTAAAGTCTATGCTTAATCTGGAGTTTGTTCCATCTGTCCATATGGGCTTTACGAATGTTGAGTGAGCACGTGCGCGATTGTAAACCTTTCATTCAGCTTGACGATTTCCGCTCGCGGTATAGAGCATGAGTATTAACAAATTGTCATGCACCTTTATCAAACCGTTTTTAATCCACGCAAGTACATGCCCGTTAGAAAAGAACGTCTGACGCCTCCATATTCTTGGCATTGTCATTCCATCTTGTCGTTGATGGAATCTTTTGGAGCTCTCAGCTCAGCTCACAGGTTGATTCACACAAAAAAGACAATTCTCCACCGTCGGTATCTTATTCTGGTTAGTCTGACCCGAACGATAAACTTGCCTGCATCTAGACATTCTTCCCGGTTAAGCAGTTGCTCTGAATTTGTTAGAGCTAGCATCCATAAACCCTCCCCCCTTCCCCCGCGAAAGGATTGACCACATGGGGAAATGGAGTCATCTCACTGGACGATGAACCCCGGACGCTAAAACACGCACTATCTTTTTTTTATCTTTACATTGGGGGTTGTTCTCAGTCTCGACTTTATGTCTGAGATCCAACGTCTGATTATTCTTCTCTTTTGAGAATATTTTCTCAATCTAGTCATCGGATCACTTCCGAATTGTTAGGGTATGTCTGTCTGTACATCGATGATGCCTGTAAATATGCATCAAATGACTGCAGCAGTATCGATGAAAATGATCTAGAAAAAGCAATCAAAATCAGTTCACCATTTCACATTGGGAGACCGAGTTTGACATTTCAGTGTTGCAATTGATCTACAATTCGCTAGTTTAGTAAATAACTCCCTTGATAGCGTTCTTGTTCTTTCAGCCCTGGCGACAAGGGATCTTCTCATCCAAACCCAATGATATCAAAACATTCGTGATTTCATTTCGCCTCTTTGTCCTTGATATTCCATCGCCACTTTCTTCACGACACCATTGCCAAGCGTGCCAAGCTGTATATACCGAATACCAAGAAGGCACAATCCGAGATACCCGTTCAGCCCTGGTCTAGACGAACGCCTTCCCCGTCGGGTTCGACCCGTCAGTCAGCTTGTGTGCCAGAGTGCGTACGTGCGTTGATGCGCGTAATCGTCTTGGCCGTTCCTTGCACCCACGGGCTCTCGACGCGCGCACTAGATTGGATACAGCTCTTTAATTAACTTACCACACCAGCGGGTCTGCAAGTTACCCTTTATTTCTGACATCCAAAATGTGACCTGAGCTTACCCGTTTCGCGGTATGTCCGTAATAAAGCAGTCTTTGGCAGATGATCGTCAGCCAACCGTATCCACCCCGTTGGCGACTGAAGGTGCTAAGAGGCGTTTTTCTATCGCCGAGATTGGAAGTTTCACTGGCAGATCCTTCTTGCATGTTTCGCCGCAGTATCGACAGGATGAGACTACTGCGCTTTCGAAGGCCTGCCGGACGTTGCCGGATTGTAAAATTCGATGAATAAACGCACATGGAAGATGTTGTCTGATATCATAGCTGTTTGTCGGAAACGATAATCAATTTTTGCCACTCCACTTCAACGCATCTAAAATTGCCATGCTATGGTGTTTGTTTCAGGGTAGGGATAATTTGGTGCACATCACGATCCTCACGAAGTTTGGAAGACCATCTTGCTTTTCACGTAACCAGAGACGACGTCGATGGTGATGATAGATCGACGAGACCACTCGATACCAAATGTAGACCGTAGAGAGAGAAAAAAAACCCACTCCAATAGCTATCTGAAGCATCTGTACCTTGCCATTCTAAGTGCAGATATCAATCCCAAAACATGAAAAGCAAGATTACCCTACATCGAAGTTCATGAAGCTACATTCATCCCGAAACTGGACTAGCGTTGTTGGCAATTAGCTTTCAGTGGCGTTCATCCACTGGCTGTGTGTACATTCCAACACAACACTGACCCAGCAATGAGCTCAAGCATCGACTTTATGCACAAAAATAACTCTATCGAAGAACTTGTCTCCTTGTGTACTAGCCTTGCTGAAGATAGTGGCTGTTATCGCTACGTTTTTATCACAATAAGATTTGGCGTTTCACAGATGTTACCATGCAAGGGGCACCCGTCTTGTTCGCCAGAGTTGCTCTTTAGACTCCTACCTACTTCTTACATTTTCTCAATTTATTCGAGACTCTTTTATTCTCAAAAACATCATGCAGATTTCTCCCATTATAAGATTGTGTGCCGACCGTAAGGTTCAGAACTTATGTGATGGCTCGCCCGTCCTGCAAATTACCCAACAAAGCGGGTCAATGCAAAGCTACATTTGACATGAATTTATGCCATTATATAACTCATGGCTATACTAGAAACTCTTTGATAGACGCCACAACTTCATCAGGTGCCTGCTCAGGAATGTAATGCCCAGAATCAACACTATGCCCCTGCACGGAGACGCCGTCCTCTGTCACGTCCTTCCACTCCTTGATAGCATCGAAACACTTCTCAATAACCCCGTGCTTTCCCCAAAGAACAAGCAAAGGACTCTTGATCTTTCTCCCGTTCTTCAAATCCTGACGTGCCTCCTCAAGATCTAGTGTCGCACTGGCACGATAATCATTACACATACCATGTACTGTCGCGTAATCCTCCAGGCTCTTAGCATAGATATCAAAGCAATCAGGCTCAAATATCGCCACTCCATCGCCTTGTCGACCACCCATAAACATTTCAGCCAACTCCCTGGGTTTCGCAGTGATGAGTGTCTCAGGAAGCGGCTCCTTCTGAATGAGGAAGAACCAGTGAAAATAGGCGTTTGCAAAGTCGAAATCTGTCTTTGTGTACATGGCAAGCGTGGGGCAAATGTCTAGCAAGATAAACTTGCGGATGCGATCGGGGTAATCGACGGCGAGTTTATGAGCGACTCTGGCACCGCGGTCATGCGCGCAGACGAAGAACGAGCCGTGATGGCCGAGGGCGTCCATGACATCGATGCAGTCGCGTGCCATGGCGCTTTTGGCATATGATGCCACGCCGGCTGGTTTGGATGACTTTCCATAGCCGCGAATATCGATAAGAACCACGTTGTATTTGTCGATAACCTGGGGGACTACACGATGCCAGATGTGGAGGGTTTGAGGGAAGCCATGAATGAGGAGAAGAGCTGGCTTGGATGAGGAGGCATCTTCACTTTTCAGCCCGTTAATCGTAACGTTTGGGTCAGACTTTGTCTGGATTGCAAATGGCTGTAAATTGTCAAACATGTTGAGTGTTGGTCGCGTATCTTTCGGTAAATGCTAGAGAGAAATTACCTGAAGATAACTTGAACTGTGGGAATATATATAACGAAGCGCCCTTTGTTAGACAAGTTTGACTTAGTAATTGCTTTCGTGGTGTTGCAACTGCGGAGAGTATCTATGCCGTCATCGTTCCAGACAAAGTCGGTTGCACTGGCTAAAAGCGGTCTTTTCTTCTACCGAGGCATATTGCAACGTAAACGGCCGAGGGCATGTCACGAAGACAACATGATACCAGTTATCCGTTTGAGTTGCACTATAGCGAAAAAGAAGACAAACTTTGCAATCGGCCGAAATGGTTGTTTCCTGTCGGCCTGCGATAAATGCACTGAAACGCCTGAGCGGACAAAGAAATGTCCACCCATGATTGATCGAACAAGTGGAGTCGCATCGGACTTTTCATGTCCGGCTTCTCCTCACTAGCTATTGTCGTTGGTCTCAACTTCATAAACCTCACAGGACCCTGGCATTTTAATATTAACATCTTCAATAAACACTTTCACTATAATCATTTCCAATTCACACGTTTGTCACATAAAAATGTCCAAAACCCTCAAGATCGCTGTTATTGCCGGCGATGGCATTGGCAAAGAAGTCATGCCCTATGGCGTCCGCTGTCTTGAAGCTTCAGCAAAGAAATACAACATCCCCCTCGAATTCAAGGAGTTCGACTTCGCAAGCTGTGATTACTACGCAAAGCACGGCAAGATGATGCCTGATGACTGGAAAGATACTCTAATGGCCTTTGACGCAATCTACTTTGGCGCAGTCGGCATGCCTGATCAAGTCCCTGATAATGTCAGTCTTTGGGGAAGTCTTCTCAAATTCCGTCGCGAATTCGACCAGTATATCAACCTACGACCGTGCCGTTTGATGCCTGGTATCCCTTGTCCACTAGCAGGTCGTAAGCCAGGCGAGATCGACTTTTGGATCGTGAGGGAGAACACGGAAGGAGAATACTCAAGCGTTGGCGGAATCATGTTTGAAGGCACAGAGCGAGAGACTGTAATTCAAGATACCGTCATGACACGAGTTGGAGTTGATCGCGTTCTTCGCTACGCATTTAATCTTGCGCAAAGTCGACCGAGGAAGAAGTTGACGAGTGCTACCAAGAGTAATGGTATTAGCATCACGATGCCCTGGTGGGATAAGCGCGTGGCGGAGATGGGCAAGAACTACTCGGACGTTGCAGTGGAAAAGTACCACATCGATATTCTAACAGCGCACTTTGTCCAACGACCTCAAATCTTCGATGTCGTTGTTGGTTCCAACCTCTTTGGCGATATCCTGTCTGATCTGGGCCCAGCATGCACAGGAACCATTGGCATCGCACCATCTGCCAACATCAACCCAACAGCCAATTTCCCAAGTTTATTCGAGCCAGTCCATGGCAGTGCGCCCGACATCTACGGGAAGGGCATCGCGAACCCTGTGGGTATGATTTGGGCTGGCCAGATGATGCTATCGCATTTTGGATACACCGATGCCGCGGATGGTATGATGGCAGCTATTGAGAATGTGCTGGCGAGGTCGGATCCTACTGTCATGACTGCTGATGTAGGTGGAGAGGGAAGCACACAGTCGTTGGGTGAGGCCATTGAGAAGGAAATACTCTCTACTTAGAAGGGCGGTGAAAACACAGTACTGGATCAAAATACAATGATAGAAATGCTTTCAACAAGACCTTGGATCAGACAATCAACGTTATAGCAAAGAACATAACCTGTATATCATTGGCCATCGCATTGTTAGTTTCACTTCCGGCACAATCTATGCTTCATTGTACGGTCGTGGCTATCGCAAAATGTATGTATGTGTTGAAGCAACGCGGCTTCAAAGCCTTGAAATTGGAACTATTTCCGGCGCCAAGCTGTGTAGTAGTGCTAGAAGGGGATGGAACATAACGTTAAGCAGTACCTATGCCGAGGCCCCGCACACTCCACAGCATCAAACACGAGGATACGCGCTCGGTACAAACTTTCAAAGTGAAGAGAGTGTTGTTCACATGTGTCTGTTTTAAAGTCTTTTTATTCCCAGAACGTGTTACAAATCAGGTTGCTGACAAGTCTGCTTCATGGATATATCAAGCTTTTGTTCATCCGCAACATCTTGCCTTTAGAACAAGTTCGCCACTCCGCAGCTTGGTATCCAACGCTACTATCATTATGGGCACGATGGGTCCGGGTTGTTAGAGTAACCCGAGAACATCCACTCTTTCCGCATTACTAATTACCATTGCCGTGCCGATGGCGTCATGTACAATATGGCATGGCGACGAGTATATAGAAAGGCAGATGTCACTGTATGCAATAATTACCTACGCGTCTATTAATCCTGTCGAATCAATCTTGAACTTCATTCCTACTACAGTACCACTATATACCTACATCATGAAGGAAGCACTTGTCAAGAAGGATATCTCTGTCGAGATCGTAGACTCTCCCATCCCCAAGCCTGGCCCAGGACAGGTACTCATCAAGGTTGTCGTCGCAGGTATGTCAATTTATAGCATGTAATCAGTGTGTACCCAGCTCACACGACTTCAGGCACAAACCCCAAGGATTGGAAACTCCCTGCTCTTCTCGGAAATGAGGGTAACAGTGGTGATGATATCGCTGGTATTGTCGAAGCTGTAGGTGAAAACGTCGTCGGCTTCCACAAGGGCGATCGCGTAGCCGCTTTCCACGAGATGCGTGCTCCCCATGGTGCATTCGCAGAGTACGCTATCGCACATTACTACACCACTTTCCACATTCCCGACTCCATTTCTTATGAGGAGGCTGCTACTATCCCTCTCGCTGCTTACACTTCCGTCTGCGCTTTGTTCCAAGAGCTCCAGATCCCTCAGCCTTGGTCACCGCTTGCCAAGTCGGAAGAGAAGCGTCCTCTACTCGTGTATGGAGCTAGCACAGCTACGGGAGCTTTCGCTATCAAGCTCGCTGCCGCTGCTAATGTGCACCCCATTATCGCTGTCGGAAGCCAGCGAAGTGAATTCATCAAACCCTTCCTAGACGAGAGCAAGGGTGATGTATTGGTCGACTACACTGCCTACGACACGGAAGATAAGCTTGTCACTGCTATCCAGGACGCTGTCAAGAAGAGCGGTGCCCCCGAGGGTCGCTGCTGGAAGGCTTTTGACAGTGTCTCCGAAGACTCGACTGTCAAGCTCGTCACAAAAGCCATCGCTGGTCCTCCCGACGCTAATGGTCGCAAGCCAAGGATGACGAATATCCTCATGAAGGAAAATGTTGAGGGTGCTGACCCCAGTGTCGAAGTCGTCTGGTCTATGGTCGGTCAGGTGCATAAGGAAGATGAGAAGGATAAGATGCTCGGTTTGACATGGGCTGCTGCGTTCTCCAGGGGACTTCGTGAGGGTTGGCTGTCCCCTCATCCGTATATCATTGGAAAGAATGGTCTACATGGACTTTCCGAAGGTCTTCTTGGCTTGAGGGATGGCAAGACGAGAGCTAATAAGTTTTTGACAATTCTGAGCGAAACACCTGGAGCTACAGCTTAGAGTCCAACAGATATATCTATAAATTAATCCAAAGCCTCTAACGCCTGTCTCTGCGCCTTTTTGTCTTGATAAACCTTTTTGACTACTCGTTTTATGGTATCCAAAGCATAATTTGTGATGTTCGCTTCAGCTGTCGTGACTACGCTTTGGACTTGATCTGGTGTCCACATGAGGTTTGTTGAGGTCGAGAAGGAAGCCGTCTAGTACCAGTTAGGACAGATCATAGAAATAAAACACAAGACCTACCGAAGGGTTGAAGTTTGGGTTGACGCCATTCGGCAAGAGTGGACAATAAATGATATAAACGATTTGCCCACTCTCTCTTATACCCCGGAAGACTCTGGCATATTGGTTGAGATACCGTGACTCGATTTCTAGACCATCATCTGAAACCAAGTCGATGTTCTTCCTCGGACTGTGAAAGACTTGAGTTTCTTCTTGTAGTTCAAAGTCAAAGTCGGCAGCGAAATGATGGAGGCGCTGCACAGCTGCTCCAGTCTGCACGTCGGATGACGAGTCAAAAGAAATGAAAATGTCGACGCCTCTTTGAGATCTCGCGAGGACATGGTTGGGAAGGTTATTGGCCATTCCACAGTCCATCAGTCTTGTACGGCCTTGCGCTTCCCATGGTGGAAGATGAACGGCTGAACTGCCAGTCATGGTCATGAGGCTCCTTCTACTCGTAACCTCAGTCTCAGTCACTCGTGATCTGTACGAAGAATGCTCGGAAGTATGTTCTCTTGCCATGACAGGTTTCTCAAGTCCATAGAATGGATTCGGATCGTGTCCTGCTCGAATTGGGTTTCCCCAGAGGCCTTCCAATTGCTTTGACTGTAAAAATCTGTTGAAAATCGCTACCAAACGTGCCATTATCGTATCTTTGGGGATTGAGACTTGTAGAGCCTTGATACACTCGGTCAACGGCCCCGCTGGTGCACTGGTACATTGCCCAAGTAAGAGTGAAAAGGATTGCTCCGGGCGGCGGTCGACCGAATGACCGGAAACGAACGTACGTCCCCATGACCAAGTGGGCACGTATCGATTCAGATCTGGGCTGCCTATCTCTAAAGGTGAAATCTCAAAGTACTGGAAAAACTTCATGGAACTGGTCTTGGACTTGGCCTCGGAGGCACCGTGTATAACATTCGAGTCCCTTGCGGTGGTATCGTTCTGGATAGTCATGGCCTTAGCAGAAATGGTCTTGGTTTCGTATGAGTATCTCGGGACACGTCTGACAGCAGCGAGAATAGGCATTGGCTCAAGCGCCTTGGTGATTCCCGACCTTTGCCAAATCTTAGACCATTGGAATGTGGCTCTACTCAATCTTCCTTTCGGTTCCCGCGATAAAAGCTGATATGTTGCTGTGAGTGTAGAGTAAAGATCCATGACACTCAACCCAATGATGCTCTTCTGGGCTTTGCTCACAAGAGGGCCGATCAGAAAGTATGTGCCTCTCTTACTTCGCGCAACTTTGTCAAGAGCGTATATGCTAATCGGATGCGCGATTTCACTTGCTACAGTCATGTAATGATCGACAAGCTTGGAAATATCGTGCCGGGCAATGGTGTAGTACGCTGCTATCGTCCAACAGCTCCCACTTACTCCAGCAGTCCAGGTGATGCAATCCCATAAGCCCGACTTCTTAGCAGCGGTTATGAAGCTTGTGAAGCCGTACATAGCCCTGTAGCCGCCACCTGAGCCACCTAAGGAGATGAGGGGAACATCTCTGGGGTCGACTTCCTCGTCTGGTGGAAGATCGAGAAAGTGATGCAATGAGTCCTCACCTTGAGATGAGATCCTCAGCTTTCGTAACTCAATAAAATTTCGCTCTTCGGGGTGCAAAGATGAGCCATGGCGGACTTCCGCATCCCATTTTAACTCAGGATACGTCGCGACATCCATTCCATCCCGTTTTAGTGAGGTCTTCAATGAAGCCAAGTCGACAACTCTGGCATACCATCGGTCAACAATACGTGCCGCCTTCTTCGATAACAAAGTCTTTTTCGACTCATCGGGAAGGACCTGTTTTATAGCGTCCGGAGTTATTGGGGATGTCAACGGCTTTCCATTTTTAACCCGCGTTGGTGTTGTCTTATTAGCTGCTCGGAATCGTGATGATATGGGCGTTGTTTGGACGAGGGAGACCAATGCGCAGAGGCAGTACGTTTTGGCGTAAAGATAAGCTGGAGACTTGCGAATTGATGTCAAGATGACCATGTTGGTCACTTCTCGAGGGGAAAAAGCGCATAAAGTTGAAGTCCCCAGATGGAGGTAAACAGCGCGACGTGAGTCTTTGCGTCATTGCTGACCTTTCCGTGTTAGCTTCAGATCCAGCAACCCTTGGTTGAAATGCAGGCTAACACGTGGGCTTGTTCAGTGTCTAGAATGATCGAGTTTATGTGCAGTGAGTGGATAGACTTTGAAATTTATATCGGATACTCTACAAATTCCGTTCATCTAGTAAGCTATGTTGAGAAGCCAATGGACATGAATGCTTCTTGACAACTCTCCCTCCCCTGTGACGAGTGAAAACCCGACAGTTTGAGCGTTTCATTGGTGAAATATGTATAGATAGAAATTTGGCGCTGACTTTTAACAACAAGAGCCACGCCCGGTTAGCTCAATCGGTAGAGCGTGAGACTCTTACGAGTACGCGATCTCAAGGTTGCGGGTTCGACCCCCGCATCGGGCTGTTCCTATAAAAACGATTGCAAACAAGCGATGGCATATATTTTTTGCCGTTCATGGGCACAATCTGTCGATAATCCTGTTGCTGTAATGGAACTAAAACTATATATGTATCGTGGCGGCAATCATGCTGAGATATGAACCTTGTGTGATAATGCACTCAACTGGCTTCCCTTACGGCTGTTTACTCTGTGCCAAATCATGGAGATCTGCCTCTTGGCCAACCTTGAATCCCTTCTCACCTAACGTCGCAGTCTTCTTCTGTGCTCCCAAACTTCCTTTGGCTGCATTGGGCTGATTGAGGATATCATCAACACGATCAGAAGTTCCGCGCTTGCTGTTTGCAGCGTCGATACTCTCCCCTATATTAGCATCGACGATTCGCCCGCTTGTCTCTTTCGTCTCATCGATAATGTTCCTGGTCTATATCAGATGCCTGAATCACCGCTGAAAAATATCCAACAAAATTGGACGTTGATGGGAAAGACTTTACTGTGCTTGTCCATGTTGGTTTGAGTCTAACGGGGTCTGCTCAATGATACTAGAGTGGACGCCAAGAGCAGGATCATTTGGTGCTGTTCCTGACATATTTGAGCTAGATTTTGTATGAAATAGTGAGAAGATATTGCGTCGAAAACAATGTCTTTAATTTCGTGTTGAGGTGATAATGTTTGAGTACCAATTTCAGCTGCTTCGTCTCTTCAATCGTCATATATAATCATCACCTCTACGTCATAAAGTATCACGTCAAGTTGAAGTCATAATCAGCCAATTAGATACAAACTGTCCTGTGAACCCTATCAATCGGCACTGCAGAATTGGTGATCTTTGATACGAGGAGAAAAGGTTATCTGTGACTGAAAGATCTGCTGCTTGCAGTCTGTGTCTGTTAGACCCTGGACCCCGGTTCCTTTTTAGTGGTCTCAGTGCATTGATTAGCGGTCAAGACAAGACAGTGAATTAAAGAAGCAAACAACCCATTGAGCAGTTCACATTTGCTACAGCTTCTCAACTAAACTACTGTCTTTGCGAAAGTGGAAAACAAAACAAAGAATTCTCTATCCAATATTTCGGAGCATTGCTTCCAAATGAGGCTAGATATCTCTGGGTTAGTTACTGAAAGAAGGCATCGGTTATAACGACGCAAGCCACGTCCGACCTAATCTGACCGCCATTATCCCACATAGAGAAAAGCTTCAATTGACTCGTGCCTGACATTTGCTGGTAACTTCTCTGATTCGTTCCAACATTTCAACGTCGAAGCCGTTGGTGGATTCTTTGCCTTTTTGTTTATCTGAACGATCGCGTTTGTCAGTGAGGCAGCCAAGAGGGTCCAGACTGCAGACGTGCAGCAGATTATTGACAGAGCCAAGGCACTATTTAGGGGGGGATCTGAACCGCTAAAATCACTATACAGCCTTGATCGATAATGATGGAACTGACAGCACAGCATACTGTAGCTGCTGTCAAAATGGGGAGCATGGCTAATCGAGAGTAGATAAACAAGACTACGTTAGTACTTAGATGAGGAATTGAGGTTTTTGCATTTGGACAAGTTCAATTGTGCAAATTGAACCTATCACACGGTCCATCATCCAAATGTCTGTGTACTGATCTGATCTAAGTAAGCCCCCAATGCGGGACCAATATTCATGCATACCACGGCGCAGCTGAAATCTAGTCCAGATCTCCCCAATCAAGCAAAGCCACTTCACCTTCACCACTTCCAACATCACCATCTGTTCTACTAAACCTGCCTCGCTTAGCCATCTCTCTCGGCGCCGCCGAAGACACTAAGGAGAAAATGTCAGCGTCAATCAGACCATGTCTGAATCAGCTAAGCTTATATGAGTTTTGGTCACCGATGATGCGCTGGCGCAACGTTTACAGGCTGAGGCTCTGCAGTTGATGCATATTTGCTATTCCCAAAGAGATCATATCTTGCATAAGGCTAGCCAAGTCATAAACCCATACCTTTATAGATGCAAGCTGGACATTAGAATCTGGTTTAGTGAGAGAAAGCTAGGGTTTATTAACTGTTCTATTTTGAAACCTCGTCGCTTCGTCTTTGTTAGCTACTTTCGCTTGTTTATTCTCCTGAGCAACCTTGTGCCATCCTTGCATGCCTGACGTTGCTTCTTTTTGTTGCTATAAACGAGTCAACATTCCCTGGGGTCTGTGATCTGCATGATTTAATTTCCTGCCGCAAAACCATTAATCATTATTCCCCTTCTTGCTATTCTTCAACTACGCAACTGTACTAGTAATACCAGCGTTTCAGTTGACAAGCTACGATTAAAACATGACTGTGGCCACTACATGTTCCAGAGGGATCAGCGAAGAGCCGCGATTTATTGACTACCCAAAGCCACACCAAGGGTTAGTGGCCATTCCAACGATTCTTGCAACAGGGTTTAACGTATGACAGCCCAGAGACAACAATACAACAGCGAGAACTCGATAATCCAGTACTGAGCGGCGCTATATTAGTCTTTGTCGCATTTATGTAAGTTTCTTGTCACTGTACTGCCCTGGACACTGCTGACCCGTCAAGAATAAACTTGATCCGCTTCATCCGCGAATTAGTCTGGCAAAATGCAGGATTTGGATCATTAAGAAAAATTCGGGAGTCTTTAGAAGTGTATGAGGCACGATACGACCCGGCGGTGATTCCACTACCCAACACCACCACACAAGCAGACCTTGGGAGCCAGCAAGCCGTAACCCCTCCAGAGTCCGTCATCGAGGAACCACCATTAGAAGCACCATATTACTCAGTCACCGATTACAGAAAACTGTATCTGTCCGGGAAAGCCACTCCCACTGATGTTGCCCACGCCTTGTTGCCGCTTATCCGCCGGGATACCAGCCCTGAGGGCAAACACTCCACAGCCTGGATCAGTACAAGAGTCGACCTTGTTCTAAAAGCAGCGGAGGCATCGACTATTAGATATCGTGAGGGAAGACCTCTTAGTCCTCTTGATGGTGTACCTGCTGCTATCAAGGATGATTTCGATATGGATGGATATGAGATGACAATGGGTTCCAAGAACAACTACGCTGGAAAGGCAGTCAGCACGGGTTCTATCACAAATTGGTGCGTGAGAAAGCTTCAAGACGCAGGCGTTATTGTTTTGGGAAAGCTCAATATGCACGAATTTGGAATGGGTATGTAAATGTGTTCCTAACCTTGTTTGACTGGGTACATGCTGACGTGGTGTGAAGATACCACAGGCAACAATCCCAACCACGGCACACCGCTCAACCCTTTTAACTCGGGCTACTATTCAGGCGGAAGTTCCTCCGGTGCTGGGTACGCAGTTGGTGCAGGCTTGATCCCTATCGCCTTAGGTGGTGATGCAGGTGGCAGTATTCGAATTCCAGCTTCTTACTGCTCAGTCTTTGGTCTGAAACCTACTCATGGACGTCTCTCTTCATTCCCGACGCCAAACCCTGCGCCAACATGCTGTGTTCAGGGTCCTATCGCAGCAGACATGCACTCTCTCGCTACAGTCTACGATATCATCGCTGATCCTCATCCGACATCTCGCTTCCCCCGTCTTTACAGAGAGCCTTCAAGGCCTTTGGCAAAGCTACTCGGCATCTACCAACCGTGGTTCGACCTTGCATCTCCAGGCGTTCAGTCTATTACCAGAAGAATGATCGATAAGCTATGTACAGAGTACAACTACGAGATTGTCCCTATTACCATTCCATTCACAGAAGAAGGTCAGATCGCTCATGCCATGACTGTCTTGGCGGACGCGGCGTCCCTCCTCCCAGAATCAGCAAATACAACAGCTGCGAACAAACTTCTGCTTGCCATGGGCCGTACAACACCAGCAGGAGACTATGTCTTGGCCCAAAAGCTTCGAAACCTATTAATGCAGCATCTTGCATATCTTTGGCAAATGTACCCCGGCATGATGATAATCACGCCGACAACAGCTTGTGGTGGGGCGCCGATAAGACGCGGTGCGAGTGAGCTTAAGTGTGGGCTCAGCGACGGAGACTTGACAATAGAGAGCATGACATACGTTTGGCTGGCCAACTTCTGCGGTATGCCTTCTTTATCTATCCCTGCTGGGTTTGTTGTGCCAGTAGGTCAAGAACGAGCAGGTGAGGAGGCTGATGAGAATACCAACGGGAAAGTTCCTATTGGGTTGATGGCGACGGGCGAATGGTGTAGCGAGAAAGCTCTTCTGGAGTTTGGTGTGGAGGCTGAAGCTGTGGGAAGTGATAAAAGGTGCAGGCCACCTATCTGGGAAGATATCCTGAGCCAAGCCAAGGCAGTGGCTCGCAGTCAAGAGAAGAACTATAGTTCGGACAGTGTCTAAGTTCTTTTTGTCGGGTGGAGTTAAGGAATACCCAAGGTTGGAAGGCATATTTAGAAAGCGTCTCACAATAAGTAGAAGTCCATTTGTTTACAAGTATCAAGAGAGGGCAATGTGAGGAGAGAAATATATTGACGTCAATTTGTAATTTATTCATCTTAATTAAGACTATCCCAGGCCAAATAGGTCCAGATCATATTATTTTGGCTGTACTAATGTCTTTCTTTCTATGCACATCTAACATTCCCATCAATCCATGTAAACGCTCATTTTTTATTATCTGACTACCACCTGCGAACAATCGCCCTTCGCCCAGGATATGTCGGTGCGACTGTCGCGTTCTTTCCAGAAACTCCACCCGAAGGCAGAAGGACTGGGATGTCATTAGCTGCAGGGTGAGGAGGCGCGTCGGCGACCAACTCTGGCACAGCTGAGTACTTGGACGATGGAGGATGCTTCATCGCCTCGCCGATAGCCATCTCACCGCTATGCTCTTCCATGACGGTATGTTCTGGTGCTGTTGGGTGCTCCGCAGCTGGGACTTCGGCTGCTGGTGCTTCGTGAGTTGGTGCTTCAGCACCAGGATGCTGAGCCATGGCGGGGGGCGCTGCAGGTTCCTCAGCCACGGGATGTTCAGGTACCGCTGGCTCTTCAGTCACTGGGTGTTCGGGCGCAGCTGGCTCTTCGGCAACAGGGTGTTCGGGCGCCGCAGGTGCCGCAGGCTCCTCAGCGACAGGATGCTCAGGAACGGCGGGTTCTTCGACGACGGGGTGCTCAGGAGCCGCAGGTTCTTCGACAGGATGCTCGGGAGCAACTGGCATCTCGGCAATGGCAGTCTCATGAGTAGGTGGCATTGGTGTAATGGCTGTCGTGATAGTAGCTGGCACCTCCACCACAGGGTGTTCAGCAGGTGGTTGAGCCGGGTGCTCGGCAGGAGGCTCAGCGACTGGGTGCTCAGCTGGTGGTTCGACAACTGGATGTTGTGTAGGGGCAGGTGCTACAGGATGGGCAGGAGCCTGCTCGGTAACTGTATGAATGACAGTAACATGGACGGGCTTCTCAACCTCGACAGTATGAACAACCTCAACGGGCTTTTCGACTTCAACTGTGTGGATGACCTCAACTGGAACCTCGACTGGCTGCTCGACGGTTTGTGTGTGAACGACTTGGACAGGAACCTCGACAACTTGAGTGTGGACCACTGTTACAGGTACTTCAACTGGCTTTTCGACCGGCACCTCAACAACTTGAGTGTGGATCAGTGTGACGGGCACCTCGACAACCGATGTATGCACGACAGTGTTCTCCACGACAGATGTGTGGATAACGGTGACAGGCCTCTCAACCTCATGAACAGAAGTTTCGATAACTGTGACGGGTCTATCAACTTCCACCTCAACGACTGCGGTGTGGATGAGAGTGACTGGCTGCTCGATGGTCTGGTGAACGATTGAGGTTTCGGTAACCATGACCTGCTTCTCGACCTCAACAACCGAAGTGTGAATGAGAGTCACGGGTTGTTCAATGGTCTGGTGGATAGTCTCGACAACAGTGACAGGCTTCTCGATCTCCTTCTCGATCTCAACCACTGATGTATGGACGACTGTAACAGGCTGCTCGATTGTTTGGTGGACAACAGAAGTCTCAGTAACTTTGACCTCCTTCTCAACTTCGACGACTGAAGTGTGGATCAGTGTTACGGGTTGTTCGATGGTCTGGTGGACAGTCTCAACCACTGTGACAGGCTTCTCAACCTCGACCTCGACGACCGAGGTAACTAAATGCTCGACTGGGACTTCTACATGTTGAACCTCTGTCACAGTAGCCTGTTGGATCTCTGTTACTACCGCATGTTCTGTGACGGTCACATGAACTGTCTCAGCAGGTAGATGTACCGTCTCTGTCTCGTGGACCGTCTCGGCAGGTAGATGAACTGTCTCCGTCTCGTGAACTGTCTCAGCAGGGAGGTGCACTGTCTCGGTGACAGGCTCGCAAACTGCCTCAGCGGGTGGTGGGTTTCTTCGAAAAAAAGGTGGTGAGGCTGCCGCCAGGCCAGCCAAGGTCGACACCGAAAGGAATGTTGATAGAAGCATTGCCTCTGAAGCGGAAGATCGACGTAGTCGCTAGGGATGGACGGATTAGGAAGTGAAGTTTGCGATACCAGCTCGCGTGGTAGAAAGGAAAAAGGAGAGACAAATTAACGACTGTAATTAAGAGGATTATTGAGAATGGAATGAATGATACACACACCAGGCGAGTATGAAAGAAAGAGAGAGAAAGGGGAAGGAGGATGAAAGGGAAGTCACAGGCTAAAAGCGAGGAATAAGAAGAAGTTTAATCTTTCCCATTTGGGGTCATGATGTTTTGTTGCATGGGGGTTTACGCTGTGACTGTTTTGACTATGAGACGTGGCTGCGGACCGGCTACTGCAATCCGTGTCTAGTTTGTGCTTGTCGTTGATAATATGGCATGATTCATCCAGTCTCATCCCAGCTTTGACCGTACAGCTCCTCAATGACGAGGTTCTAGCTGAGCTCGGAAAGAGCTCGTGCCGCATGCAAGGGAGCAGGCCTCAAGGGGCTCAGACAGAGATGGAGATGTGTGTTTGGAGGAGGGTCTTGGCGATTGGGATCTCTCGTCTCGGCAGTGATTCAACCAAGAGAATAACCCCTGCGATTTCACTTGGACCCTACTCTTATCAAGCTTATCTACAGCTTTAAGCTTATGGTTGTTAACATTAACCTTGAAACTTGGGCCTCCATATCGGGTCTAGATGGCTTGGCGAACCCCTGGCCGCAGCGGAAGACCAAGGTCCCGGCCAACCCGACCCCGTTTCTTCGTTTCAGCCTTGGAACATTTTCTTGGAGAAGACAAAATTCCTGATATCTATACGAGGGTCTCTTACTCTTACTTAAAGACCCTTTTCACCAGCGTTTGAAAACAGATGTCAAGTTTCATCTCTGCCGGTCCTGTAACGGGAACGAGGGCTTTCCGCCAAGCTGTCCTCACTTTACGAGAAGAGTTTGAGATTGATTAAATAGTGGCTCAGGCGCCTCAATTGTTTTCTTTTTCTCGGAATCAAGCCACAGTCTTATATCCACTCAACTCCATCAGTTGAAACCTGTCGAGACATCTATACCGCCACGACAATTATTGAGAACATGTCAATTGACGGCAAGGTAGTACTTGTAAATGTTTAATTGGAGAGGAACAGATATTTTCTAGGGTTACGTAATTGCAAGGCAGATTTGGTGAGGCCAAGGCATTTTCTTATATGTAGATATTGCTTTGGCTCGCAACCAAGACTACATTTCTTCTCAGGTTCATGCGCGCCACGAATCTGTCTTAACCCCGGCTTTTAAGAGCTAGGGTTGACTTGGACAGTGGAGTTGGAGCTGAAACATGCCCACAAACCTTCGTCAGCACTCATTGACAGGGGAGTTGCCAACTTCTGCATAGGGTAAGCGAAGTTTGCGAAGAATCTCCTTCACGATGAATTGGTAATCTAAGGACGTTTACAGAAGATACTCACGTGTTGCAAATCTAGCATTGGCATCGCCAATCAATTGAAGATCTATGTTCTAGGGTAGTCTCAGCCCAAACTTGGGAAACATACGGTGTTCGCTTGTAAATCCCGACGAAGAAACTAGATACAGTTCACAAAAAGACTAAAACAAACCTTCAAAGATCAACGCCCAATAGCAATGACGTAGCATAATATGACGCCCTCCGTAACCAACATAACGTGAGATGACGCCCTCGAGTATTGATTATAGAGAAAAACAAATGCCTCAAAGATCTCAACTTCATATAATCAACTCACCACCGCACTTTTAATTGCATTCACAACTCAACGATGGATATCATTACGTCAGTTACATCAGCTCAGCCTACTTCCTTCCTAGGAAAGGTAGTTGAAATCTGCATTGTCTCTTCAGACTGCAAAAAGACAATCTCGGAACTCACAAAACTCGGCGTCGGCCCTTTCCGAATCTTTGAGTTCAACGCAAACACCGTGTCCGATCGTTATTTCCGCGGCCAACCTGCAGAGTTCGAACTACTAGTCGCCTTTGCAGACACAGGCGACATGGTATGGGAGATCATGCAGCCTGTTTCTGGACCATCAATTATGCAAGAGTTTCTCGAGAGAGGCGGACAAGGGATTCACCATGTGGCTTTTGATTGCAATCATGTTCCACAGCAGCAACGCAAGGAAGAATTCAAACGACGTGGATTTGAGGTTCTGCAGTCGGGTATATGGCATGGAAAGAAGGGGACTTGTGAATTTGTGTTCTACGATACAGAGGGAGCTATAGGAACATGCTTTGAGTCGTATAGCTTTTCGGATGATTGGGAGGAACCGGATGAGGTGGTCAATGGTGTTTGATGACAGCTGGCTAGCGGGGAATGACTGTATTAGCGCGTCGTTGCAACTGGGACTCAAGTATGTGGCCGCGTTCTATTCATTCGATCGAAATCTATCTGTTAGGCATCATATCCACTTGGCGGGCCTGGACTAGGCATCACGGCTGACCTGCATAGAGGTCTCTAGTGGCTATGTTTTTCACTGCCACAATCCTACCGACAACCTTCTTTAGAAAAAGAGAAAAACCTCATATACTGCGGTTGTCTGTTGTATTCTGATCTCACAACTATCCTGCCTAGTAAGCCATTATAATCATGGGTGCTTATACATATAAACCAGTCTCCAAATCCGAGATCCGCCTTGTCACATTCAAGACAGGCGGACCAGACGGACAACAGCTCGAAGCCAGCATCAAGAACGTAACACTCGATCCAGAAAACCCCACCACCTACACGGCGTTATCTTATTGTTGGGGAAATGCGGTTGACAGAATCGAGGTCCCCTGCGATGGAGAGATGCTCAGCATCACGAAATCCCTCCACGAAGCGCTGGTCGAAATCACAAAGTCTCGTCAGAATGAGCCTTTGTGGATTGATCAAATCTGCATCAACCAAGAGGATATCGCTGAAAAGTCCGAGCAAGTCTCCAAGATGAATGAGATTTATGACAGTGAGTGTCCTTATTGGATGAGTATAGTCCAGTAAAGCTGACTTTTCGTAGAAGCAGAAACGGTCATCGCTTGGTTAGGCCCAGCAGTACATAACACCGAACTGGCCATCGACTTTGTCAAAAAGGTTGGCGATGTAGCACTTCCCACAGCAACAAACATGTTTCGCTGGGACAGTTATGGCGAGAAACACGAGGAGACCAAGCTTGAGCGCACCGAGGCACTAACCGCTGAACAATCTCGAGAACTGGGCATCCCTTTCGACGACACTGAGTCTTGGACTGCTTTCACCGATTTTTTTGACAGACCCTGGTACCAGCGCATGTGGACAGTTCAAGAGATAATCCAAGCTCGCAAAGCAATCGTGCTTTGTGGACCGCACAGTATCCCTTGGGAGCATGTCAGCGCTGCTGCGAGATGGTACTGCTACAAGGCTGGTGCCATTCATCAGGATCACCAACGAGAGGTACACGGTGCAAGTCTGGCGGGACAAATGTCGACTATTGCGTGGCGTATGAGAGAAGGCAGTGAGTATTATCCCAGTCTTTTTAATCGATCTGCACACCCGACGTGTAAATGGGGCTTGCGCGATCTTCTCGAAAATCTACGACCTCGTCTCGCGACAGATCCTAGAGACAAGGTATTTGCGCTGTTGGGCATCAGCGACGTTGATCGTGGATACTGGGGCAATAAAGGCATGGCAGTCGATTACTCCATGTCACTTGTGGATGTCTTTACGCAAGCGACCGACGAAATTATCAAATCAGACCCTAGGTCAGACCTCAATGTCATTTGGTCCGCGCGACAGAGGAACGATGAGGCTGAATGGCCGAGTTGGGTTCCTGACTGGAGACTTGACACAGGAACAGGATGCGCATGGGGTATCGGTGCACCCTTCAAAACGGAAGGCAACCCGAATGGGGAGCATGTTTATATCCCTACAGCAGAGCCTCGCTCGTTGGCTGTGAAAGGTAAAGTTATTGGTCGAGTGACGTACAAGAACCAGTATCGACATTTTGGTGAACTCTTCCAAGAGAGCCATCTTCGGGAAGTATACAACGCCTGTATGGAACGGTTATCCGCTTATCCAACGGGCGAAGACGTTGAGACGGCGTTCGGACTCACCTTGATCGGCGGCCTCCCGTTTCCCGCAGGTCTAAAGAAAAAGGACACATCGTTGGAAACATACACAGCAAAGTACATGCAATTCTACGACAATACGCAAATGCCAATGGGAACCCCCGAAGAAAAAGAAAAGCGTGATGAAGCGCTTGCAGAGACATATAAAGTCGGTCTAGACATGACGTGGTTGCAAGAAGTTTTGGGTGCGTATTGCGAGCGACGATTTATTGTTACCGACAGTGGACACATGGGGCTTGCGCATCACGAAGTCTTGGAAGGGGACATTATTGCCGTGGTGATGGGTCTTCAATGGCCGTGCGTTTTGAGACCCAACAGCGACAGGCACGACGATGGGTACGAGTTTGTTGGGTAAGTGAAACGCAAAATGTGAGATTGCGACAAGGGTACTAATTTGTTTTGACAGGGACGCGTATTGTCACGGTGTGATGAATGGAGAGGCCATGGAGGACATCATCAGTGGAAACGACCAAGGGCAGGTCTTCACTCTAAAGTAGTAGAGGGTCGGTCAAACAGTCGTCAACAAATGTCTATAGTCTAGTCTAAGTCTATTTTCATCGCATGCCATCCTAGGCGACCACTGCACTTGATACAAGCGGTATGTCTTGTGGTATTTTATTGTGTTTCGTCTCCCGTTCGTACATGTTCGTCAATCGCGTGTTGGGTCGTCCGTCATGCTAAGCCAGTAGCTGTGGTGTACTCTCGTTTACTGAGAGCGGGTGTTGATGGGAATTCGGGTTTCATTGGAGGTATCTAACATCTATGCCTTAGCTCCTGTAATAATACAAATCTTAGTCAAACATATTCTTGTTGTCAAGTCCCAGCTCTTAATCAGTCCTGGGTCGCTTGCGAGACTCAGACTCACCATTCTCTCCCTGGGCGGAAAAGTACTCGAGGCTGCCCTTGGGGTCGGCCTTCATGGTCTTTCCGCCCTCCTGCCAGCCAGCAGGGCACACCTCGCCGTACTCGTCGGTGAACTGGAAGGCCTTGACGAGACGGATGGTCTCCTCGACGTCGCGGCCGACGGGAAGGTCGTTGACGGTGATCTGGCGGAGGACACCCTTGGGGTCGATGATGAAGAGACCACGGAGAGCGATACCCTCGTCCTCGATCAGGACACCGTAGTTGCGAGAGATCTTGGTGGACTTGTCGGCGATGAGGGGGAGCTCCAGGTCGGGACCGAGACCACCCTGCTTGCGGGGCTTCTCAACCCAGGCAAGATGGGTGAAGTGGGAGTCGGTGGAGACACCGAGGACGGTGGTGTTGATCTCCTTGAAGCGGTCGAGAGCGTTGTTGTACTGGATGATCTCGGTAGGGCAGACGAAGGTGAAGTCCATGGGGTAGAAGAGGAGGACGACCCTAGAAAAGTTAGCAACGAGTTGGGCCATCAGGGTGTGCAGTCAGGTTCTTTCTCACCATTGTCCCTTGAAGTCAGAGAGCTTAATGTCTCTGAACTCGCCTCCGGGGAAGAGGGTAGTGGCAGTGAACTCGGGCGCAGGGCGCTGAACGAAAGCTTGAGACATTGTGATGGTGTTTGTTTGGGTTGATTGTAGAATCTGAGGAGAGAAAAGAAGAAGAGAAGGAATCAGGAGAGAAGCTTCGATGGACGCGATTAAGAAGGCTCAGGAAAAAAGCAAGGACAGTGGAGCTTCATCAGGGGTCCTTGCCTCTGTTGACTCTTGTTGCCCGTGGAAGGAGGTAGAAGGTGGAAATCATTCAATTTTAGCGCGGTTGAGATAACGATAGCCTCGCCGATAAGGGATAACGCGTAGGGACCTACCCGACAGGTGCACAGTTATTCAACCGTTACCGCTATGAGTTGCCTGTTTCCAACATTTTAGGTAATTAGCGTTGGCGATAGAGTAAAAACTTTGCGCATTGACAAGTCTATCGTAGTGAATTGTTGGACTGGCGGTGACGCAAGTGTGGTCTTTTTTTTATTTTGTTTTGCCATGTTGTCATGTCATGTCAAGTCAATGCCGTATTCGCCGCCCACTAAATTACCCACTAAAGGCAACTAAAAGGGTACCTGCGATACAGTGCATTGCAGTGCGGCGCAAATACACGTGCTAAGCTGAAAACCTTGATCCTTGTCCACTTTCCATCGGCATCTGAAAATTGATTCCAAATTGTAACCTTTGATTGTCCAATCAATTGTCTTTACTCGTTTACTTCCGGCTTCGGACTCTTTCGGTTCGGAATACCGACATTCGCCCTTCAATCTTATCAGCGACATCACACCATCTTTCACGATATGGTGATGTACTTTTACAGTAGTAGATTGATAAGGATCTGTTCATATTAATAATATAGTCTAGCTTCTAATGTGCCACTCCATTACCATTTTGCGTCCCTCTTTTTGCCAGCGCATCGGCCTCTCTGATTATCTCCGACATGTCATCGAGCGCTAACTGCGGACTCAATGCACAAATTCTCAAGGCCACTTTTCCTCTGACCTTTGTAGTCAAGATACCAGCCATGTTGCTTGAAATCAGGCTTTTTGATACGCCAGTGTTGATCGCCTCCAATTCATCTTCCGTCAACCCCTTTCGTGCATATCGAAATGTCACGATCCCCAGACTCGCGGAGCTGACGATCTCCCAATCATTCAGTTGGCGCAATTCTTCTTCTGCTCTCTCAGCTAGGTCAAACCCATGATCAATCATCTTTCCTAGCTTCTCTACGCCAATAACCCGCAGTGTGAACCACAGCTTCATCGCCCGCGACGCAGGACGTGTGAGCTCCATACTATAATTCCAAAAGTTGGGAATTTCCTCATCTTCTATCGCAACGCCATCGCGTAGATAATCGCCCTCATTTGCAAAGCTCCGCACCAGGTTGGCCTTGTCCTTTACTAACAACAACCCACAGCTGTAGGTTTGGAAGAGCCATTTATGCGCGTCCCATGACATACTGTCGGCGTACTTGAGACCATCCACCGCTTCGTGACGTGTAGTCGAGAGAGTCGCTGAGGCGCCGTATGCACCATCTACATGCAGCCAAAGTTGCTCCCGTTTGCATATATCCGAGAGCTGTTCCAACGGGTCGATGGCGCCAGTATTGGTTGTTCCGCAAGTGCCAACCACCAGAAAAGGCACAAGGCCTGCTTTTCGGTCCTCGTGTATCGTCATCTCCAAAAGGCTCGTGTTGAATTTGAAGGACTCGCTGGCAGGCAAAATACGAATCTGCCCTTTGTCGAAACCGAGTAAACGCAGGGCTTTGGCGACAGAATAATGAGTCTGGTCAGAGAGATAAACAACGCCCTTGTGCGATTCGCCATGTGGCACAAAGCGGTCGCGAGCGAGTACAATGCCCATCAAATTCGCCATTGAACCACCCGAAACACAAATACCGCCGGCAGTTGAAGGGAATCCGACTTGTGAAGCCAGCCACTCGATCAAAGTCTTCTCAATGACCACTGGGCCTGAGGCCTGCAATTTTGAAGCACCCAGGGCATTGAAAGCGCTGGCTACGATATCGCCAAGCCATGCGATTGGTGATGTAGGCGAGGGAATGAAGCCCATGAAGCGAGGATGATTGACGCGCATGCGGTGGTCGAATGCCGCAAATGCCTCATCGAGGACTTGGTCGATCGAGTGCGCTGCACCAGGAGTGCCTATCTTCTTGAGGTAGGGGATATCTTTTGGCTCTGCGACTTTGATGATCGGGTCGTCTTTTACATCTTGAGTTGTTGAACCAAGGCGGTGGATGATAGATTGGACAGCTGTGCAGACAGCTTCAAGCTCGTCTGGTTGGTGAAGTGAGTCCATGATGATTGTAGTGTGAGCTGGTAGATGTGTTGAATTGTCTAGTATCAATCGAGGTTGTGCATTCGCGATACTTATATTCCTGATGACTCTTGTTTTCTGTCTCAAACCGCCACCGTTGTATAACCCGATAGTGTTACTATCACTGCGATTCCACCCGCATTTGTGGAGTATAGTCCGTCCTACGCGACATGTCATCAGTGCGCCTTTCGAAAATAATGTAGATCCGTCAGACGTAAGAGGACTGTCCAGCTATCCTCAGCTATGATAGGCTGATCAACTGGGCCAGGTCTTGCATAGGTCCATCTTGTCAGCGCGCCCTTGATGATTGTTTACCGCATTAGGTAATTTTACGAGAGCCACCAATTTCTCACACGGGATGAGACTCTTGATAAGCTGGATTACATGCATGTGTTTGAAACATTTTCGAATGATGGCAATAGAAATACTTGCGAGTTGGTAGTACAATGTGAAACAGTACAATGAACATGTTGCACCAACATTTACCCAAAACTCACTCTTGCAGCAATAACAGTCCACCTTGGTAGGTGTAAGCGCATGGAACGGTTTTCCGAGTGTTCGGGCTATCCGACTTCTGAAGTGCAGTCAACAGAAATGATTAATTAAATGGATCTTGCCATCAGTAAGCACAAGGTATCTAGTCAAGCTTTGTCAGGTTATCTTATGACACATCGAGTTGATATGGATCAAAGGAAAACACCAGTCGATAGCCTTGAGATATTGAAAAAGGATTTCTATTTAATCTCGGATCTATGCGCTCTATGATCTAGGAATGTTCTGTATAAGAAATTAGGAATGAAGAAACAAAATACAATACTTTTCTCCCAATTGACAACCACGTCGTTCATCATTCTTTTGCACACCATGGCGAAAGTGTCAAATCGCCCCTGGCAAAATCTCAGTAATGTTGCTCTTGGCCAACTCCTTGCTTGCATCTAAAACCTCCACCATGCGCCCTCTAGCCTTCGAATTCTTCTCATCACTCAAGTCAGCCAGCCCCATATGCTCCAGTGTGACACAAATCACCGACTCCATTAGTCTTTGTGCCAACTCCCCAGCGTAACCCTGTTCATAAAACGCTGGTGTTTCATTGACCTCCAACAACCAAACCGTTCCCTTTGTGTCGATGAGATAGTCAACGGCAAAGAGCTCATAGCACTTATCTAAGGGTGTGAACTTGTCCGCCATGGTATGAGCAGCTGCGCGTAGGAGTTCTCCCGAAATCTGACATGCTTGGTCGAAGACACTCTTCTTCCAATCGCCAGGAAGTAGATCGTCATCCATCTTCCAGAAATCTCGCATCGACTCTTTGCTCATAAACTCTTCTTCCTCTTGCAGTGCAGTGTTGGTAAGAGAGGATTTGAGGCTAGGGTTCTTCCATGGCGGCTCATAGTCGTCGAGGGCTAGCAGGGTGAGCATTTCGTCAAAGACATGTACTTTGAGTCGGCCAACAGAAAGAACGTATGCGCGGACATGCCATTTCCTACCATCCACTGGAGGAATGGAAACAATGTACTGCTGAGCGACAAACTCTCTCAAGAGAGCCGATGGGATTCTCTCGTTCTCGCCAATAACAAGATTTTGTATCTTTTCTGCGTCGCTCATGGTGTTTTTCTCTAAAGCATTGATGGAGAGTTTTCCACTTGTGGTAATCAGAGCATCCAACGAGTCAAGACCTGGAGTTGAGAGGCTGGGTCGAAAACCATCCGAGTCCGAGTCGCTTTCATCTTTGGATTTGACGACTTCAACTTCGACCTCGACTTCTTCTTCTGTGTCCTCGTCTTCCTCCGAGATATCGGCAGCCAGTTCAAGATTGTCGGCCAGCTCATCGATTGTACTGAATATCCGAATTCCATGACCGCAGTCAATCATTGCAGGCTTAAGGATCCACCAATCTCGTTCTGAAGCATCCTTTGCTTCGTTATCTTCCAAAGAGTAAAGTAAAGTCAAGTCATCAGCCGCCGCCAACGCATCTTCCACATACTCGCTATAGTCTAGCGACAACTTGACAGTAGCGGGACTGTGTCCCTTCAAAATACTATCCGGCCTCTTGGTAACCCAGTAGTCAACAACACTAGCCATGTGGTCCTTTCTTGCGAGCGCATCGCTGTTGGGGTACGCGTTGAGCAGGCCGTGCTTGGACCTATTCAGCACAGCAAAGTGGTGGTTGAGCTCCCAGCCGTTGAGAAACTGGAATACTGTGTCGGCATCTTCAGGGATCTTGGAATAGTCTTCGTAGCATGTAGCATCTTTCACGTGCCGTTTGATGCATGTCTCAATGTGCTGGTCGAGCCAGGGGTTGGCACTATGAACGTACACGTGCATGTTTGACTTGGCTTGGTGGAGTCGTTTATCGAGTGATGCAGCCTTTTTCTGGAGGGAGTGAAACCTGACGAGGGATTGGTAGACAAGTGAGTCTCGATTCCATGTGATCGGCAACGGTATTACGAGAAGCTATCATCAAGTACGTCCTTGACTGACAAAAAGGTAATGTCTGCAATGCCAAGTTGTGAGTGACAGCGCGACTCTTTTAAATGCCATAACGCAATAGAGAAATAAAATATTTTTCTCTATTAGCCAAGACATTATTGAATGGTAATTATCAACAGGATCCACAAGATTCATAATTTTATGAGTTCTATTGGACGTTTCGCTCGCCAAACGTAAGCAGCATCATGAAGTTCATGATATTCTTCAAAATGCATGATCGGCCATGGTACTCACCCTTTCCTGTCAGGGGTCATGCCAGGGCTCCAAGTGTTGGATCGATGATCGCTCGGAACTCATGGTCCATGTTAATTCCACTGCCAAAATTGTGCCAACAAAATTTTCCGGTCGCGAGTCGTGTATCAGGTTTATGATGGATGTAGCGGTTTAGCATGACTGGGGGGCATCTAACAGAAACAACAGTGCTCTTATCTACTACAACAGCCCCGAAACAAATTCTCATTGACAATCTAGGTAAAAAACATAAAACGTGTCGTATTGATGTTAGAAAAAATGAAATGGGTATCCGTGCCCAATGTCGCTCAACATGTGCCAAGAGGTATTTCAACCCGGCCAGGCGTATCAAGCCTCACCTTTTGCTGTCACGAAAGCAACTCCTATCCCCAAACGAGCCTCATCTTCCAATCCTCTAGGATATTTTCGCCGCAGCGTGGGGTAGAAATTGGAGCTGTAGTCATCAAACGGCTTCTGCATGTGTAACAATGCCGAATGATAGCTATCGAGAGAATTTCGTCGATCGTGCCCAATATGACGTTTCCCCAATGCTTTAATACTGTCTATATCTCCATTTTGTGTATTGCTGTCGTCTGTTGCTGCGATGGTGGTGTCATCAGACATTCGAGGACTGCTGATAATTATGAGAGGTTCTGACTTCTGATGCCGCTTGTGTTTAGTAGGCTGTTTCTGCCAACTGTGCATGGCCTGCTTTCGATATGACTCTGCTACTTCTGGCCGGAAAGGAAGTTGCGAGAGCCAGCTGTGGACCTTTTGTTGAACCGTCTCTCTAACAATGTCTTGTGGTCTCAGACTCTTGTCGTAGGCCTTTATTTGTTTGTACTCTTGTCCAGAAGCGAAGATGAAGGAAGCTGAGGAAGTTGAAGAAGTGTCGCTTCTTGTCGAGTCAAAGCATGTGGAACTTGGCAAGGCTGGTAGAGGAGGGAGTGGTTTGCTGTCATGGTAGTATTCTTTTGCTGGTTTGTGGTAGTTGAAAGGATCGAGATCTAAGCTCAGCTCGTCGAGGGCGGCGAATATGTCCGAGATTTCTTGTTCGACACGCCATGTATAATTGTTGCGCCGAACTCTTGACTTTTTTGTTACACCCTCAACATAAAATGTTGGAATAGTACTGCTGGTAGTAGACATTTTGAGGTTGGAACACTGAGTATGTTAGGTGAAAGAGGTATGGGCAATCACACGAACAAATACTTTCGACTTTGCTGTATAAGAGAAACAAGAATATACAAGAAACAGGACCTTTTACATGACGATCATTAACGTCACGCTCACACCTGTCAGACCTAGTGCGTCAAACGATTTTCGTCATTGACCAGTGAATGGCCCGAACCCCGTCTCAGGTTGATGAACTAAACGTACTTGTGGTGATGAGAAACAGGGAATATAATGTCCGAGCTCACCGTTGATTTACCGGCGGGATTTGTTTAGAAGCGCTTTGTTTGCCAATGAACATAAAGCAGAATGAAGCTTTGTGTTTGAAATGGTTAAGCTCAGAAGCGGTATTGCACAAAAAGGATCCGAGAAGCAATGCGCTTAACCATTTCAATCTCCTCTCGATTCAGGTACTGTATTCTAGTGTCATGGATAAACGTTGTAAGAAAAGTTTCTTGCATGGAACTAAGACAGATCGATAAGATCCGATTCAATCGGTTATCTCGTTCTTGAACTCGTTGTGGAAGGTGGTTAGAGTGGCAAGGGACAGGGTTTGAACATCCGTACGACTACGGCACAAATTGAATTGCCATTACCAGAATAGACAATGTTTAGAGTTAGGAAATCCCAGGATCAGGCCTTCAATTTTTTCTCACATGCCAAAGTATAAACGTTGATTTCTTTTGCATCAGAGCCATTGTCAGGTTCCAAACATGATCAGCCCTTTTGAAGCCAGAAGCCCGCAACACTGTTTCCAACAAATGCCTCGATATCTCAACATCGGTTTACAATACAATCTCCATTAATATAACAGGATCACTCGACGTCATCGGAAGAACTTCTCCATCATTGTAACCAAATTCGGCACCTCAACCGAATTGCCAATCGGCAACCAGTGATTTTCCCGGTTGATAGGCAAAATGCAGGGCTGCGGCCCAGCCTGACCCTTTTCATCTTAGAGTCCATACTCACATGCAATGTCAGAGGGCGGCTACACCAAAAGTTCCCGCTTCCTCAAAATATGGCAGGGACCAGCCTTACAAACATACACATTCCTTTTTAGTCCATCCGACTATATTTTCTGGTCGACGTCGACACAGGAAAAAAAACTTAAAATATCACCTGACACTTGGGGCATAGTTGTCAATAACTTCTCTCGTATCGCTAGGCTTTACAACTACCCTTCCTATTTCAGGCGGAATAGCATGTGCCGCTGTCTATCAAAAATTGCTTAATCTGTCTTACTACATGATTACCGGGGGGAACTTTGTACCATGCAACGCGTTCATGTTGCGAAGCAGCAAGCATAGGAGTTGGAGAGAGGAAGTCTATTGGCATACCAAATAGATCTCCATCCATATGTTTCTATGCATACACGGCTGAAGACAAAGACCAGCTATAGACCCTTCCTGCTACTCTGAAGCCACTCCTGCAAAACTCTCTGCGCAACATCCAACCCCTCGCGAACCACCTTGGCCGACTCCTCAGCCACTTGGTAAGCAGCTTCGGAAGCAGCAACAGCCTTCTTTGCCTCTTCAATCTCTCCATTGGTAGCCATAGAGACCGCTTCTTCAGCTCTTCGGGAAGCGGCACTACCAGCCCAAGAGGCTCGGCGTTCAGCATCCTGGATCCCAGCGACGGTATCACTAAGGGACTTTGATATATTGGAGGCCATCTCGGCGGTGTACTCGGCGCTATGTCGCGCTGCTGCATCTTGTCGCGCGGCATTTTCTGATCCTCGAACTGAAGCTTGTGCCGCTCGGAGAAAGCCTACCATCTCTCTCGCTCTATCATGGGCATTCTCGGCAGATTGTCGTAGGTAAGTAGTAAGTCGTTCATTTTCGGCCTTCTTCTTGTCATCTGGTTTCTCAGCGTCTTCGCAAGCGACAGCTGCATCAATAACCCTTCGCGCTTTAATGATGGCGTCCTCAGCCGGGGCAGTAGCTTCTCCAAGCGCAGCCCAAGCTCGAGCAGCGCAATCATAAAAGTCGGAGATTTTAACAGAGTTAGCATGTACCGCATCACGTCTTGCTTCAGTGGCAGCATTGATCATCTGTTCTTCGTACTTCCGTGCCATGATACCATAGTCGCGGGCTTCCTCAGAAGCTGCCTTAGCTCTAGCGGCGTTCTCAGAGACCGTCCATGTGATGGTGCGGACGTTTTCTCTATAGGAGGAGTACATGTGTACCCATGTGCCGACAGTCACGCTAATTAGGCCGAAAATAACAATGGGAAGCAATGACGGCGAAAAGAAGGGTAGAACAGCTGTAAGGGACCACCAGTTGAGGAGGAGCCAGTATGTTTGAGCATGTTCAAGGTAGCAGAAACGAAGAGGCCCATAGATCTTACTGATTGGGGCAAATAGGTACGCAAAGATGGATGTGACAATAGAAATAGCGATGAACAGATATTGTGCCGATGGCTCGAGAGGGAGGGAGACGTTGTAATATACGGACAGATGATAAGCCAGGGCAAGTAACGAGCCAACTGGAAAGTTGAAGATCAGTAACTAATCCCTTTGGGTATAAATATATCCCACCTTTCAGATAAGTACCAACACTAGTAGAGACAGTCTTCAAAGCATAAAATGGTCTCAGTAGCGAAGACCATGTGCTCTCCCTATTCTCTTGGCCATTTGGCAATGACCAGATAGCACCAAAGTATAGTGTAACAATGAGGACAAGTGGGTTGGACAATTGGGATATAATCAGGCTTTGTACATCGGGGAAGATCGGTGTCTGGTTAAATACAAGGGCGATGAAGATGATAGTCTTGAAATGAGGTGCAATTATTCTTGACAGAGATTCCAGAGCAGGAAACAATTCCTCGCCGGCAGTTTGTGCAGACATGGCTAGAATGGTCTAAGCTGATAAGAGCTTTGATGTGATCAGAGATGTTACGTGGGAAATATTGAGGATTTATAACACAGACCTTGACTAGAAAGTGAGGCTTGCAGAGCCCAATATGCATGTATATGTATGCACAGTTACGTGTATAAAACAGTGCCTCACGTTACTGGTCCAATGGTCTCCGCGTTCTGCTTTGGAGCGGGCCTCTGGGGAAATGCATTCTCCCACAGAATCTTACGTCACGTTCGATTTGTTTCGATTGGCGAATGATTCGCGATGTTGTTCCAAGCTTGATCCATGTCGTCGGGCTCTGAAATCCTGTGACGCGGCCTGACTCAGTGGGGATGGCCTCATTGTGCCACCAGCTGCCACGTCGACAGACATCAGCCTGAATCTTGTTAATAGACCCAGATTCACGTTATTACATCATCATTCTATGCATAGTCACGCTCTGACCTCCTATGGGTTCTGACTGCTTCTTGTACTGGATACGGCATCTGCTCGCTGATTCCAAAGCCATTTGCCTCACTGAGTGTTTGCTTCTCGACTTGGGGAGTTAATGGTTGCTTTAAAACGAAGGTGAAGCCCTCAGTCATTTGATGACTTGTCATATATGTCCGGATTTGTCTCCGCCCCATTCTAGTTGATTCGGTTCTTTTGTAACTGTAAGACTCGGACCAAGGGCTTATATTTGATACTGAATTAGATTACGGCAAGACATGACCAATTGGCCATCTGCCTGGCATATAATTATCGCCATTCTGATGGTTCTTCGTTATGCCTTTATCACGAATCTAAATTTGGTTAGTTTCAACCTGATCTCTGGATTATCGCACAACTTCAAGGTTGCTTATCGGAGAATACCAAGGAGAAGGTCCAAGCGATGAAATGGTCGAAGTTTCGTTCCTATTCGCCAGTGCAAGCTTTGTTGCCAATTCAAGGATTAGCTGCCGACGTTGTGGTTCGATTTGTAACCATTCGTCAATTTGTCATCAAGCAAAGCTTTCACTATAGATAGCTCCGCGGGGTAATGCTGGCGAGGTAGGTCCAGCCGACCCTCAGAATTCATATCCTTTCTACGACACCTCACTCAGGAAGAGATGAATTACGATTCTCCTCTTCTTCTTTAAGCACAAAACCAGTCTTGCCCATACCCTGTTATTTTTTGCTTATTTTTTCTTACCGGCAAAAGGTCATCTAGCCAACATGAGCACATCAACGCCCTCGTTGAACAAGGAATCGTCAATTCTCATAATTGGAGCGTGAGTACCAATCCAAAGTATCACACGAAGCTCATAGACTGACGATAAGGGCACCAGTGGCACTTTTGGTATCAGTACAGCTTATCATCTCTGCACACGGGGCTACAAAAATGTCACTTGCATCGATCGTCACCCATGGCCCAGTCCAGACTCTGCCGGCCACGACTTGAACAAAGTTATGCGAACGGAATATGACGAGCCTTTCTATACGAATTTAGCATTAGAAGCTCTTGAGGCCTGGAGAGATCCTCAATGGAACGGCATTCACTTCGAAACCGTATGTAGTCGTCACCCTGACCTTGTCTCAATGACTTGCAATTAATACGCGCAAGGGGCTCATCACTACCACAATTGGTGACAAAAAAGCAGAGACATTTCTCGAAAAGTCATATGAGAATTTGAAAAGAGAGGGAAAGGCTACCAAGCTTGAGCTGATCCAGGGTAGAGACGGTATCGTGAAGCGTGTGCCACAACTTAAGAACGCAGTTGGTATCGAGAACTGGAAAGGTCTCTACAACAGCCTTGGTGGTTGGGTCCATGCTCGAAAAGCCCTTGAGCATTGGGCAGCGGAAGCAGAGACGATGGGTGCCAAATTTATCTCTGGCCCTCAGGGTACAATGGCAGGTTTAGAACTGGATGATCAAGGTGTCATGATTGGAGTCCGAGTTGCTTCTGGCCATATCCATCAGGCTGATCAATATATTCTAAGCACTGGTGCCGCATCTCCCCAGCTTCTTCCAGAATTGTCGAAGCAGTTGTGGTCAAAGTGCTGGACCTTGGGTCACATTCAACTCACTGAGGAAGAAGCTGCCGAGTGGAGGGGAGTGCCAGTGATCTACAACTATGAGCTCGGCTTCATGTTTGAGCCGGATCCTGATACTAGTAAGCCTGACGGAATCTACATTTTTACATATTAGCTGACAAGAGATACAGATCTCATCAAGATCTGCGATAACAATCCCGGCTACCAATATCGAAAAGGTACTTACACTGACGAAAATGGCAAGACAACACATTACTCGATCCCTCGCTACTCTAGTGATCACCCCCAAGATGGCATCCCTCTCGAGGCCAAACTTGTGATTAGGAAGTTTATCGATACATTGATGCCGCAGTTCTCTGACAGACCTTTGCTCGATGCACGCGTTTGCTGGTGTACTGACTCCCCGGATGCTCACTGGTTAATCGACAGACATCCCAAACACGATCGCCTACTTCTAGCGACGGGTGACTCTGGCCATGCGTTCAAAATGTTTCCCATTATTGGACGGTACATCGCCGATGCATTGGAGGGTCTTCCTTCAGGTTTAAGGAAGGAATGGGCTTATGGGGGAAGGGCCGCGAAGCCTGCGTCCCATCGCCCCGACACGGAGATCAAGGATCTGAGTAAATTGTTAAACATTGATTCAGAGGCTAAGTTATAGTTGAGCTCAAAGAACGTCCAGTAATATAGTTATACAAGTGTTGGATATAAAGGTTTTCGTTAGGTATTGTGATTGAGTATATTTCTATGTTATAATAATCTCCATTCCTTCGATTATGTTTGGCATGTCCGTTTTGCCAACTTTTTATCGTGATGAGAAAGGATCGTCTTCGAAACTACACACACATCTTTGTTAGCTCGCGAACGCACACGAATATCGCGTAAACAAACTTACAATGTGTTGCCGAATCCATCTTGACACACGCTTCTGCCCTGTACATCACTGCATGTTGAACCCTCAAGAACGAGACGTCCTCCTGGGCCTCGAACAACAGGAGTGGGGGCAGCCGAGGCCACGGAAATAAGCGAGATTAAGGCGATGGAGAAGAACTTCATTGTGGAAGTAGTGGTGAGGCCGGCTCACGAGTGTAAGAATGCGTTATTAAAAGTGTGTGCCGTGAAGGAACTGAAGACAGATGCTGTAGTTTATGGTTGTGAGTAAATCTAAAGGTTTAAATATCGGAGAATTCGTCTTAGTGGTTCGTGATATTGAAACTGGAGTCGTGTTTTGAAACACCATTCAGACATCTTTTTAGTTTCAGATTTTCGTAACAATCTCCAAGCTAGGTACTATTAAAGCAAGCACCTCCAATTAAAATGGCCGCGCCTGGGGTTAGAAATGTTCGGACAAGACGTGGATGGTAGATAATTATGCATGTTCATGGTTATACCTAGTCGATTCTTTGTTATGCTCTTACTTGGATCGCGTGATGATGCGATATGGCTAGGATAAGAAGCACAACATTAAGTCTTCTTGCTCCACCTGACAGCAACCCAATTCAATTGCTTAGATAACTGAAATCGTAGTTTCGTGGGTTATTTTTTGTCTTGAAACATCCGAAATGTGGTGTTGATAGAGACGATCTTTGCTCGGCTACTTCCGATGGTTGCGAACTCACATGCATGGGTCCCAATCCTCGCCCAGCAAATGTTCTATTTTGGTTACCATAGAAGAAAGAGGGGGATTTCTGTATTTCGTGGAATCTTGGGTCTGTTGTGTGATTGTGACATCAGGTTTGCTTTCATGTTAGCTAGAGTCCCACGTTGGTCCTACGTCACCATTTCAGCTACGTCATCCAAGATGATTCCAACTCGTCGATCAAGCTACGACAAGATATAAAGTGAGTTTCAGCCAAGCCCACACAAATATCGCACTCACATAAACAACCAATTGTCAGCCCATCACAAATAAATCCAATTCAACATGTCCAAACTCGTCGACGATGTCAAGTCTGGCCTCAAAGGCATTCGTGGAGCTGGCGACGCCCTCAGAGGCGAAGTCCTCAACGCCACTGATCAAGCCTTTGACACGGATCCCAACCACCCCAAGACACTCAGCAAGGAGACCAATAACAAAACCATCGCCGAGAAGGGAAAGCAGGATATGAGAGGTGTCGATAACATGATTGCGCGTCGCGAGTGGGAGCACAAGGGTGTCGAGCCTCCCACCCATGTTGGGCACAGAGAGCATGAGAGACCGAATGAGGGTCTGAACAGAGAACCTGGTACAATTTTACCCGGTGAAACGGCTACTTATGGGAATGGAAGGACTGAAGAAGATGCAGTAAGGGAAGCTAGGACGCATGTGCCTGGTGAGCAGAGGCTGGCGTGAGGGAGGTGAAGGAACTAAGGTGATTATCTCTCTTCCGATGCCATTCTACCATTGCTTACTGATCTTTTTCTTCAGTTTAACGTCTCATTTTGCCACACTATATGACGATACCCACGAGAAAGGAAGAAGCTATTACAAAGTTAGCATATGTTATAGTTGGGAATAAAAACTGTCTCGTATACCAAACACATTCTCAGATGCTACTACGATGAAAGACCATGAATGAGATATGTTTATGAGGATTGATGATTGATTGTCATGCACCACCATCCCAGCAGCAGTATACCCACTACGCATATCGTATTATCTGCACTCTCTAGCCCTGCTGTCCATCCTGACACATCGTCTATTTCTTATAACCCTTCTCGGCCCCTTCATATTTCTCCCCAAACGTCTCAAACCACTTGTCAATTACATCTGCTCCCATTCCAGCACTAATCGTCTCATCACCTCTCTCAAACTTGGGTGTAATCTCATCCATAAACTCCTCTACCGTCAATGTTTGAGGTGAATACTCCTTCTTGTTATCGTCGGGGTTCTCCCGCTCCCGGTGCAAGTCGGTAGCTACCATGGGCGGTGCGAGTTCCACGACACGAATATTGGTATCCCTAAGCTGCGTCCGCAAATTCATGGACCAGAAGTGCAACCAGGCCTTGGTGCCGTTGTACACCGGGTTGATGATGGAGAAGGGAATGAAGCCCAACACGCTTGAGACGTTTATGATCAGGGCGTTGGGCTTCTCTTTGAAGTGAGGGATGAGGTTGAGAGCGAGATGCATGGGCCCGCGGATATTGATGTCAATTTCTTGATCTGCTTTGTCCAGGAAATCGTCATCCTTGAGGACTTCAATGGGACGCTGGACACCGGCGTTGTTGATCAGACAATCGAGTTCTGGGTGTTCGCAGGTGATCTTCTTGACAAAGGCAGGAATATCAGATGTTTTGCCCGTGTCGAGAACGTAATATCCCGCAGCACTGATTTCCTTCGCTGTTGACTGGAGATTTGACTCTGTTCGGCCAGCGATAAGAACCTTTTTGCCCTTGGAGATTAGATACTCAGCCAATACACGGCCGATACCACCTCCTCCACCAGTGACAAAAGCACATTGGAAAGCGAGTGTATCTTGAGTCATTTTGCAGTATTTGGCAAATCAAATAGAGCGGTATGCTTTTTTATTTTATTTTTTATAGAAAGGTCGAAAATTCTTGATTCTTGTTTGTCTGTATGTATAGTGGAAACATGGAACTTCGGCACTCGTACTGGAGAAATCATCGCGTCATCAGAGGCGCTACGTATAAGGACCCGTGAATCTTCGGACTCAATGCCAGAGAGCCGATAGTCCCGGATGGAACCATGATTAAGATAATAATGACGTAAATTAATTATCGTTTTAGCAACATAAAAACGTGGTTATTGTGCAGCATCCTCTCAACGTAAGATGCATATTAAGTGGTGTGGGTGTCTGTCAGCACCTAATCTCCATAACTCCATAAAAAGTTCGGAATGGTCTCAAATTTTCCCAATATCTTCGCAGAGAATTTTGGCAATTTTAAAGTCCTGCTCAATAGCTGGGCTATAGAATGAACACGCTTCGAGATATCCCAAAGCAAAGGTAGTCCACCTCTTGTCCACATCAGACACTATGTCACGGATGTAAGGGTACGGGGATACGCTGAGCGCGAACACGACGCAGATCTGGCCGAATATTCTACATGTTATAAGCAAAGATGTCATGGAATGATATTTGAAGGGGATCTTACTGGCAACACACGAAGAACTTGAGAGGATTGCAGCTTCTCATTGAGTCGGTGACTTGGATGACGGAAGACCATGCCAACACAGCACTTATGGCATCGCGACATTTTCGAAGATGGCCTTCGGTGAGGGAAGATGGTCGTTCCAAAGCGCGGTGTCTTACCAAGTCAGCATGTGTACATATTTGCAGGAAGTATACTCACAGTAACGGTCGGCCGATATGATATCTTGCGACAAAGTATCGGGCATGTAGCCAAGCCGTTACAAGCGCATCAGAGGGAGATTCAGCATGCGTTAAAGGTGACTTTGAGTCAAACTGCAGCATAGGCGGCAATCTTTCTCGCCACTGTTCCAGTTGACGAATAAGTTCATCCTCGACAGGCTCAGGCGGATAATCAACCGTTGGATCTTGTCCTGTAAGCATATGGCCTCTGCATTCTTCACCGTGAACTTACTGAAGTGAAATAGACTGTTCCGTGCTCTTGTCAAGATAAGACGATGCGCAAGTTGCGATAGAAAATGATAGTGAAAAAACGGGTCATCGCCAGGGTAGCGGAACGAGCCAAAGGAGGCAATGTCCCGTGCCGAAATGAACTTTGGCAGTGCAATATGCTCTTCCAGTTGAAGGCAGTTGCTAGGTGGGAGATTCAGTTCTTGGGAGAGGACGGCTTCGAACATGCTTGTTATCCAGAAGAGACGGGATTGCATATCGAGCATCCACTCGTCTCGGTCTCTTGATAAACTGCAAAAGTCAGCTCTATTCTTGTTGCCGTTCCAGATGGTCTTATTACTTGTTCCAGAAGTATGCACTGCATGCACTCGCTTTGGTCAGCATTGCCCACCAGTCCACTGGTCGAAGAGCCTCAGCATAAAACAGTCTACCACTCATCAGTCTTCAGATTCCAGGTCGATTTGAACCAACATACCCTGACAAAAGATAGAACTGGCACGCCTGTAGATCCTGCTCGCACATTAAAAAGCCAAATCTCTTCCTTGCTTCGTTGAAAAAGTCCAGTCCGGGCATTTCCTCATCTTGTCCACTACCGAAGTTAGGATATGGGCTAGACGCAGGTGTCGGCAGAAAACCCGCTTCTCGCATGGCTCTTTGTCCCATTAGTCCCAGTGCCATAACCACAAGAACTATGCAACTCTCGATGCAGATGCCAAAGTTACCGTCAATGGCTATACCCAGTGTCCGCTGAAAATATGTCTTCTGGTCCAAAATTGGCGTCGCAAGATTGAACGTTGTGAAATAAACATCAGACAACTCCTTCAAGGTCGCGATGCTCAGTTTCGAAAGCCAGTCAGAAGACATGTCTGCAGACGTCGCATACGGTAGTTTTGGCCTCGCGGCTTCCAGGCGCGTCGAATACACTGCGCCGTTCATCTGACACATCAGCTTCACAGATTCAGGAAGCGCATCTTGTAGAGCAGGCCAGAAGAGGACTTGATGCGCGCTGAAGGATATTGCTGGGTTATGATCACTTTTTGCTGCAGAGGGTGACTCAACAACTGTGTCGCGACGTTGAAGCAGAAACGAAGGTACGCCAAGAACTTCACTTGAGTTGGCGGGGGATTTTGGGTTGAAAGGACGGAGAGCTGTAGAGAGGATGCGAGCTGCTTCTGGAGGGTTTGACGATTCTTGCTTTTTTCCGTCATCAATTTTACCCTCAATACGACGGAGGATATTGACGATCATTCCCAGCGAAGCTTCGTTTCTACTGATGTTAGTGTGTGCGGCTCCGTGAATAGTGGACAAGCAAACTTACCGTGTCGCTTTCCGCTGAGTAAATTTGCACTGAATACCGAGAGACTTGCAAAGTCCGCATGGGAAATCTTCATCACATCTTGTTTTCTTTTGGCGACAGTATTCACATGCCTACGCGATACTGTCAGATTGAGTCAGACAATTCGTATGTAGATGTTACCTGTCTCGCGATGAAGCCGCGCTGCCTCTTGGAGGGAGGCCCTTCATCAGAGGCATTTGCCTCAAGAGCAGGACTGCTTTCTTCTCGTTCTGCCATGCAATTTCGATTTCTCTTTATTGTTATAGTTCTCGGCGATGGTTGAGGTGGCCGGGGAAAGATGATAAACTCCGGATGGTCCACGTGCAGGAATTTCATGATGCTTCGATAGATGAATATAACGCTTAAAAAGATTTACCTTTACTCAATAGCAGCGACGCGAAGTCTCACAGCCATACACAAATTGTCGACCGTTTTTATTTATTTAAACTATATAGACATTCTCAAATGCGTGATAGGGTAATTGATTTTACTTTGTTTCTTTATCTCATCATTGTTCAACACATTTAAGTCTATGCCTTTGTCGCAACAACAAATAATCTGGGAAACGGCAAAAGAACCTTTCCATCATTCTGCGCCCTATAAGCCTTCTTCAGCTTCCCCAAATAAGTCTCAATGTATTCCTTTTTCGCCTTCTCGTCAAGCGAGTCAACATAAGGGCGAAGACCTGTGCCTTTGACCCATTCGACGATACCCTCGTGGTTGTCCATCACGTGCATGTATGTCGTTTGCCAGATGTCAAGATCTGCGCAGAGAGGCTTGAGACCATCCCAGATCTCGGTTGGTGAAGGGAATTGGTCACGGGAGATATTGGCGCGCTTGAGCGTCTCGGACCAGGGTTTGTTGGGCATGTCAGCCACTTCGCGCATCGAAGCGTGGCTGGGCTCGTCAAGGTTGTAGGGGATCTGGAATGCGAGACTTCCACCTGGCGCGAGATGATCCAGAAGTCGTGTAACAATCTCGATGCGTTTTCCATTGGGCAGCCACTGAAACACGGCGTTGGAAAACAGCACATCGACAGGGGCGTCAGGTTTGAAAGATTGCAAATCAGCAACCTCAAAATCCACACTTGGCAAGGTTTCCTTGGCCTTCCTGATCATGTCTGGGGATGTATCAAAGCCCGAGATCTTTGCGTTGGGATATTGCTCTACTAACACAGCGGTCGAGTTACCGGGTCCACAACCGATGTCCACGACGCGCTTGGGTGACACGTTGGGCACGTGAGCCAAGAGATCTATGGAGGGTCTTGTGCGATCTTTGAGAAACTTGGAGTACTGGTCTGCGGACCACGTATCCTTGTTGGCTTGTGCCATTGTGGCGGAGAAGTATCTTTTCGATATTGGTTGGTGTCGCGTGAGAGTATGGGAAAGATGACGTCGTGATAGTGAAGCGACGCGTGACATTGTTGCTGCTTATCTGAGTAAGACTGTGATAGCAGAGTTTCCTGCAGAATTAAATCCTGTCTAGTGGCAGGGACTTTGGTATTTATAGTAGTTGGCCTGTATTTTCATGGCTAATATGACCATAGCAAGGGAGGCTATTCGGCAAGATGATGATGTCTTGCTTAGCAGGTGATGGATCTGGCCGAGTCGGAGTCCGAAGGTCTCGTCCGAGTGAGCGGGACCGACTCGGCTGAGTGTCGGTCTTTCGGTGGAATAATCGGCAAACGGCACGGCGATGAGGCGAATATCATGGTATTTGTCGAGTATTACAATATCTGGCATGATATATATGGTCTTTCAAAGTTTTTCCGGCATTAATAGGAGATACATTGACGGATTTTGTCCGACTAGTAAAAGTTGTTATATATTGAGTAAGGTCGATGAGAGATCTCCAACCGTCCCAACATCAAAGTAACAAGAAACTGCCACTCGTTCCAAAATAACAGTACCAAAAGAGAGCAACACAAGATAAATAATCTTACATAGGTAATTTATATAAAGATAGCAAGAACATACCTCGTATCACTAGGAAATGAACAAAGAGATAATGCCATTCATATTTCCGTCCATTTACCCTGGACCAAAGACTCACCCAAATTGAAAGCACAGGAACAAGACACCACGTAAAAGCGAACCAATCATCAATGGTTCCGGCCGCGTGGCCTAATGGCTAAGGCGCTAGATTTCGGTCTCCAGCAACTGAACTCTCTAGAGATTCCAGGTTCGAATCCTGGCGTGGTCGATAATTAGCTGGTTATAATTTTTGCTAGTTTTCGTCAAGTCCTTTTTTGACAAAGGAAACCTAACACTAAGTATGTCGGCGTAACAAGTTCGACAACAGTGCCCGCGATGATCTCTTACATTATTCTTTTGCGATAAAAGAATTATGCAGATTCTATTTCCCATCACAAATTATACATGTTCAATTCAGGGTCTAATCGTTGTCCCTTTTCTCCATTTCTCCGCCACTACCGATTCAGTTAGCTTGTACCAGGAACCCGGTAGCTGAACATGACTTACACTACCGTTGACGCTATTGAATCGCTCAAGTGGGTGATCCGGTTCCAGATCGTCGAACGAGATGTCACTGTTTGGCTAACCATGCAGGTTGAAATTAGAAGTCAAAAAGGTACAGCGAATAAGAAAGCAAGTTGGTCATACTTACTAAGCCTTGAGTCGTGGCAACAAGACACACGAGTCTTTGCATGCCACATGAACTTGTTGAAGGATTATTCCATGGGTACAAAGGGGAAAGCATATATCGCAGATCTCTATGACTGCCGCAAATCCCTGCGACAAAGCACTCCACAAACATATCAAACCACTATCCTCTGACACTCTATCCTTCAGAATTACTATATTGTAGATACTCTTAGACATGCTGGCTATGATTACTCTACCTCTTGCACACTTCTGTTCTCACTATTTTGGATGAGATGCAGATGTCAAATTAAAGGTCCATCTTACTCATCAATAAGTCAGGTACCGAAACACTAGGACTGTCAATAGCCCTATAGACCGGCTGAAGAGGCGCTGGCTGAACACCCTCAAAGTAGCTGGTACTGCGCCACGCCAGAGTACACTATCGAACGCCTCTCGGTTTCCACAACACCAAGGAAACAAAGCAACGATAGGGGTAAGAGAAGGAAAACAAGACATGATGGATACTTCATCAAAGTACAAAAGCAACGGATTGAGCCGCACTTCTCAAGACTTTTTTTCTCACCCTCAACCGCCCAACTCGGTCAGACATTCGTTTCTCCCTCTCTTTGTTTGGTTTTATCCAACATTCCGCTCACTATGCGATCTTTCGTTGCCTTTGCGGCTTTGGCCCTTTCGGCTGCTGATCTGGCTTCTGCCGGTCCCTGCAAGCCTCGTCCTACCACCACAGCTGACACAGCTACCTTGGCCACCACAGCCGACACAGCTACCTTGGTTCCTACAGACGACACAGCTACCTTGGCCCCCACAGCCACAACCGAGACTTCTGCTGCTGGTGATGCTGATGCTACCACTCTACCTGAGCCCCCTACCAACGAGCCTATTGTGAACTCCTGTAATGGTGGCGGCATGACTGATCTCACTGTCTTCAACCTTCAGGGTGACGTTAAGTCTAACGAAAATGACGGTGTGACCACCGATGGAAGCCAAGATCAAGCTTGTGCTCAGCTCTCGGCCCAGTCTACTGGCGGGACTCGTAAGCGTCAGAATGCCGGTGAGGTTGCTGCTATTGGGCAGGATCTCTCTGGTCTGAACACTCACACCAAGTACACCGTCCAATTCTACTACCGTGTTGCTACTCCCCCCACCGGGAACACTGACTGTAGCCTCGAGGCCTACATCGGTAATCTTCGATTTTTCAACACCGGCATCTTTTCCAACAGTGCTAGTGCTGGCTACAACCAGGTTCTCATCTCCACAAGCGTTCCTGCCGCTCAGGGTGAGCTGAACATCAAGACCACCTGTACCAATGGCGGCTCTGCTTCAGTTCTCATTGACTCCATCTTCATGTCCAACCAGGTCACTCCTGAGAACATTGACAACTACCGCCTTGACTTTGGTGATGGCCAGATTCGTGAGCCTGCCAACCATCCTGCTACCACTGTCGGCACCCAAGCCCCTGCTACTACTCAGGGTGGTGCTGCTACTGGCGGAAACGGCAACAACTCCGCTCAGCCCACCACTACTGCCCAAGATGGCGAAGAGACCTCTCAACCCACTCAGGGCAGTGGTTCCCAGACTACCCAGGGAAGCGGTTCTGGCTCCCAGTCTACCACTGTTGCAGGTGGAGATTCTTCGGCCACCACTAGCGCTGCTGGAAATGATAACGATGCCTCCACACAGACCCAGGGCTCTGGCTCGCAACCCACAAGTGCCACTCAGGGTTCTGATTCTGACGCCACGACCGAGACCCAGGGATCCGGCTCCCAGCCTTCCACTGCTACTCAGGGCCCTGACTCTGATGCCACCACTCAGACCCAAGGATCTGGCTCTCAGCCTACCACTGTTACCCAGGGTTCTGACGCTACTGCATCTAGCGGTGACTCTACTGAGACCAAGACTGACAGTGCCGAGACAAGAACTAGCGATGCCGCCTCTGAGCAGACTCAGAGCTCTGATGCTGAGACTCGCACCAACACTGCTGGTTCCGACCAGACACAGACCCAGACTGCTTCTTCTCAGGGTACTCAGTCTAGTGCACCAGCATCCGAGCAGACTGAAGCTACTTCTGTTCCTACCACCACTGCCCCTGCGGATTCCGAGTCTACTATTGTCCCCGCTGGCACTGAGTCTACCTCTGTCGCTGTTGTTGACGAGTCTGCTACCACTACCACCGCTCCTGCTGACACTGAGTCTACTACTGCCTCTGCGGATTCCGAGTCAACCTCCGCCCCTGCTGGCACTGAGTCTACCTCTGTCGCTGTTGTTGACGAGTCTGCTACTACAACCACTGCCCCTGCGGATTCTGAGTCTACCACTATCCCTACTGGTACTGAGTCTACTTCCGCCGCTGCTGATGAGTCTGTTACTACTACCACTGCCCCCGCTGACTCCGAGTCAACTTCTGCTTCCGATAGCGAGTCCATTACTACCACTACTGCCACCTCTGGTGCCGAGTCTGCCACCACAACCGATGCTTCTTCTGGTGCCGAGTCTGCTACTACTACTGCCACCTCTGATGCCGAGTCTGCCACCACAACCGATGCTTCTGGTGCTGAGTCTGCCACCACAACCGATGCTTCTTCTGGTGCTGAGTCTGCCACCACAACCGATGCTGCTTCTGGTGCTGAGTCTGCCACCACAACCGATGCTTCTTCTGGTGCTGAGTCTGCCACCACAACCGATGCTTCTTCTGGTGCTGAGTCTGCCACCACAACCGATGCTTCTTCTGGTGCTGAGTCTGCCACCACAACCGATGCTTCTTCTGGTGCTGAGTCTGCCACCACAACCGATGCTTCTTCTGGTGCTGAGTCTGCCACCACAACCGATGCTTCTTCTGGTGCTGAGTCTGCCACCACAACCGATGCTTCTTCTGGTGCTGAGTCTGCCACCACAACCGATGCTTCTTCTGGTGCTGAGTCTGCCACCACAACCGATGCTTCTTCTGGTGCTGAGTCTGCCACCACAACCGATGCTTCTTCTGGTGCTGAGTCTGCCACCACAACCGATGCTTCTTCTGGTGCTGAGTCTGCCACCACAACCGATGCTTCTTCTGGTGCTGAGTCTGCCACCACAACCGATGCTTCTTCTGGTGCTGAGTCTGCCACCACAACCGATGCTTCTTCTGGTGCTGAGTCTGCCACCACAACCGATGCCTCTGTTGCTGAGTCTGCCACCACAACCAATGCCTCTGTTGCTGAGTCTGCCACCACAACCGATGCCTCTGTTGCTGAGTCTGCCACCACAGCCGATGCTTCTTCTGGTGCTGCGTCTGCCACCACCACTGATGTCTCTTCTGGTGCCGAGTCTGCTACCACAACCGATGCCTCTGTTGCCGAGTCTGTTACTACTACTGCCACCTCTGGTGCCGAGTCTGCCACCACAACCGATGCCTCGACTGCAAGCGAGTCTCTCATTACCACCACTACAACTGCTGGTACCGAGTCTACTTCCGCTCCTGCAATCAGCGAGTCCTCAGCCACTAACTCCAGTACTCCCGATGAAACCACTACCTCCTCTTCCTCTGAGGCCACCCAAGCCTTCGTTGCTCGTGCTGAGCCTGCTCGCACCCAGTGTCTCGATGTCGGCAACTCCGTTGAGAACGGTAACTTCGAAAACGCCGCTGCTGAATGGACCTTCATTGGAAGTGCTGTTGCTGTTGATAATGAGGGACTTGGCCCCAAGGCCCACACCATCGGGTCCTACGGCGTTGGGTTCACCGGACCCACCAGCGGCTCCTTCAGCCAGACCATCAGTGGCCTCGAAGTTGGCGAGAGGTACTACCTCAGCTACGCCTACTACGTCGCTACCGATGACAGCCCCTCCGCGAACGATTGTTCAGTCAAGGTCACCCTCGGCTCCGACGAGGTTGAGACCTTTGATCCTGTCCAGGAAACCGAGGCCCGCGACGGATTCCGCAACCACATCTTCGAGGTCTCTCCCAGTTCCGCGGACAGCGAGCTATTGTTTGAGCTTAGCTGCAACAACAATCCTGACACCTTCGATCTTATGATGGACGACATTTACCTTGTCCGCTGCGACGAGTAAAAAACATCTTAGGGGATGAAATGAATTAGTATGGCATTCTTAAACTTCATTGTACTTAATTTATACTTTTAATGATCCTCAATCAAACGAATGAACTATTGACGTTGGACTTCCGGCAGTGTATGTCTGTATTTTAACCGTTGTATCTTTGTCTTGAAAACGAGACAACGTTGCTGTTAGCTCAGGGATCGAGCGATACGCTATGTGAAATAGTTCAACTCCTCTCCTCCGTGGATACCATGAATCCCATCTCAGCATACACCTTCGCAAGCCCAGCAAGATCATCTGTCTCTATGGTTACGATAACAACTGGCCCTTTCTGGATAAATGCGATTTTCCCTTGGCCGTGGATCTTTTCAAGGTCAGGAATAAGTGTTTCGAGGTTGAAGATTTTGGCATTGCCGATAATACGCAAGAGTCCATGGCCACCTGTCTCAAACATCTCGACGATTTGATATTTGTTTCCTGGATATGAGATCTAGAAACGCGAGGCTTAACAGCTTAATTGGCGTCAATATTACAACAGACGTATCGCTCCCTAATTTAGTAGAGTATAGTAGAGGTGCTTCGTTAAGGCTAGGAACTCCTCGGGGAAGCGGCTTATAAGAAATGCCACGATTGACTATTGTAAACATCAGTGTACTTGGAACCTTGTTTGAGAATCACACCGTGCATCAGCAATTCAACTACTCAGGAGAGCGAGTAAGACCTCACTTTGTAAATGCAGAAATCTGAACCACACCGATGTATATCTTCTCCTGTGTGCTACAACGGGCTTGCTCTCTCGTAACCCCATGTAACCTTGAAGAAGCCATTAATCACTCATTGGCTTCCTTGCCCAGACAGTCTTCAACTTGATCCATGGGTGATGGTTCTTTCTGTCCCGAATCTCCTTTCGGAACTTGGCGATGTAGACGTGCACTTCTTCATGGCTCCAACCCAAAGTGTTGGCCACAAAAAGAACAAGTCCTTCAGTGTCCTGTGTGCTAAAGAGCTCTCCAAATTGACCAATCTCTTTTAGATGAGGGTCTTTGGGGAAAGGGTTCAGGGGAAGCTGAGAGAAACAAAACGTTAGCTTGAAAGAGCAATGTTGTAGGTGAGGATGGAGGGGATTTACCTTGGAATTCCATTGCTGGATGTCAGTAAAACCAGCATTCTCGACACCCTTTCTCTGAAGGTCATCGGCAACAACGGTAAACGTGTTACCAATCACCTTTGACGCCTTGATGAAAGTAGGCCCCCACTGGCCCATAGCAGAATCGAGTTTCACGCTGTCATCGTCGCTTTCAATAGTAGGCGAGGCCTCATAAGTCTCGACCCAGCCGCCAGGCTTGAGGGCCTTGTAGGCTTGTTCGAGCAGCTTGTCCAAATCAACACCATGATGGGAAGTAGTACAAAGAATAAAGACCACTTACTTGGTTCCAGTCAGGGACGCACCCAACTAGATATCGCAGGTGAACGTAGTCGAAGCTCTCGGGAGCGAACGTCCAGTCTTGGTTGCAGTCTTCAATTTCGAACTTCAAGTTTGGTGGTACCCAGGAAGGCTGAATAGGCGAGATATCGGTTCCGATGACCTCGCAACCAGGGAACTTGTCGGCAAAGTCACTATTTAATTAGATCTGATCGTTGCAGATTTCTCAGTGTCGCTTACATGGCCCAAATTCCTGTTCCGCAGCCAATATCCAGAGCCTTCTGAATGTCCTTCTCTAGTGGAGCCAAATGCAGTTCGCCGTCTTGCGCAAGCGTAAACATGTGGTGCCTAGAGTAGTTGTCAGATGCTGAGTGCATATGGCGAGTTCAGAAGGGAAGGAGCGTACGCAATGTCCATGGCCTCGCTCTGGCGTTCATCGTTTGAACCCCTACCAATATGATTAGTTCAGGAATCTCTATTAGCTAAATAGATCTACCAGTAAGCCGCATTTCCCCTTTCGCTGTGGTAGGTTCTGCCATTGATAGTACGATAGTGCAGGATGCTGGAAGTGATAGAAGCCGTGGAGCTTTCGGCATCAGCTCCTAGTCCTGGGTCAATGTCATCCTCGTCTTCTTCAGGCACAGTATCGACTTCGATTGTTTGCGTAGCATTAGGAACACTCCTTTGACTAGTCGGCGATCGAGGCGCCGACCTCTGACTCTTGGGGCTGCTGGCGGGCATCTTGGTAGCAACGATATGCGGAAACTGATAAAGCACCACGCAAAGAGGAAAGAAAAAGCAAAAACGGGGTGATTGGCCAGGGCCTGAAAGGCTCTTTATTATGTGTCGTAAAACCCATCCCTGACATTAAAGGCTCACATGTTATGATGATATGACTCGGACATGGTACAGCAGCGTCACATTGCACAATGTTCAGTTGTCAACGCAACACAAAACGAGAGAAAATGTCGCGAACCACTCGGAAGAGGCAATTAAGCGACGAGACCAGCCCATTCGGAGCGGGATTAAACGGGGGCCAGCTTGTCAAAAGATGCCACGAAACATGGAACCCCACTGCTATAGTCAGGGATCTGCAATGCAGAGCGGCTTTGTGTGACGGGTTGAGCCTATTTCTGACAGGAAATCACTATAGCTTTATTAGAATGGGAATGGTTCGACTGTCAAAAGATGACGAGGTGCATTAGGATGAACAAGCTTTTTGACACATTAATTGAGTGAGGATCCTTGCCGTTGAAGAACATTGCATGTTGGTTCCGGCCAACAACTACTGTAAAATCCATGACCCTTGCAATGTGATGGCGCTCAACCAACTGCATATCACTTGGCATATCCGTGCATGGTTGTATATCCTCGCATTACACATTTAATGCACATTCCATTTCGAACGAGAATCCTTGGCAACAGCCCAGCACACTCGTGATCCCAGATATCACCGCGACAGTAGCCTGAGATGGCATCATTTTTTCCAAAGGAGGCACCAACGTAAACTAAGTCCCGCCATGGCCTACACCGCCCGTGAAAAAGCTAGTTAGTGAGAAAGTCTGAGATAGAAATTGTTGGACACAAATTTGGGACAACTGAAAAGTATATGCATATCAAAACAACTAGGAGCATACTTGAATAAGCTGAAATTATGATTAGACCAGGTTTGATACTATGTGGGTATTTGATACTAACCTTGCCTCTTGGGTATGTCCCATTGCTCTTGTGCGATGGTTATCGAGTGTCTTACTCAGTCTACATACTAGTCTAGCTGTCGACAGAATTGCTTCCATGTGGGAGTAGCTCCCTGTTGAAATATATAAGCCTCAATTGCCACTGGGATTATTTCTTCCAATACTCCTAGCATACGAAGAATTTTTCTCAGCACAGTCAGGTCTTCAGTCTCGCTCGCAATCCTTATCAGTCGGCCTCTAATATCCCATTCTACCTTGCCTTGACCATATATCATACCGAGTTATAGAGTAAGCTTCTGGCAGTTAGGAGTCTCGTATCTATCGAGATAGTATTCGCACCTAATACAAACAAACATTTAAGGGTAGAATATGGGGGGAAACTAGCAGTGGTCTTTCGTGTTTCTTGGGCTATCGATTTGCGCTGAAGTTTGGGGATGAGATTGTAAGCAAGGACAGGATGTCGAACGAAAATAAATGGACCACGAAGAGGACCTTTGACAGAGAATGTGGAGAAATACCATGTGTGGTAGCCATTTGCTGTACTTATTTCGTCTGTTTCACTGCTCGACTCTTGCTGTTGTGTAAGTGACGACTTTTCATCGTGAGTAAGTCCCAAACGATGTGACCTTGAATCAAGTCAATATTGGTCAGTGACATGGCTTCCACCTAACAACGACGTGACTCGTGAAAGGAAGGATCAGTAGATCCAAGTAGCTAACATCTGAAAGTGAGTTTTTCAGTCAATGCGAGGCGTGTGTGAAATGAACTGATGAATGAATTGTTCCTATCTATTACCGTCTATTGATCATGGCAGACGGGTGTCATAAAACTATTTTCCCATTAAACCTTTCGTGATAAGTACCTTACAAGCGCGACTTGGTGTCTTCCTCCCGACCCTTCAAGTTAGGGTGAGCGTCGCGAACAGGTCGAGTGACGACATAGAAAGCGAAACCCTGAGACTTGGTAGAGAACTGGACCTTGGAGCCGACGTGGAAGAAGGCAAAGTCACCAGCTGTGAGATGGTGAGTGATGCCAGTAGCCTCGTCCTGAATACTATTAGTATCTGTTGAAGTTGATCTGGATAGAGAAACAAGCATACCAGAACATCAACCTGACCGCTCAGGACGTACTTTGACTCTTCAAAGGTGTACTGTGCAGGGCGGGCAGGGCCGGCTTCGATCTTGTAGAAGCCAGAGGTGATGTGAGCGGGGGAATCGGTCTTTGTGCGGATGGTGTGGAAGTCAGCTGTAGTGGCGTTGACACCGTTGGGCAAAGGGATGTGCTCGAATCCAGCGCCCTTGATGACAGTGAGAGGTACAAGCTTTCCAGACATTTTGATCTTGTGGAATTGTATTTATGATGGGAGAATGTAGAAATTAGACCCAGAGATAAACAGACAAGGCTTTATATACGTTGAGATACAATAGGAGATAGTTCGGCAAGTGCCCCGATGTTGGAAGCACGGAAGTAGTCCCGGGCTCCACACAGGATCGGAACCATAACAGACATGTATATGTTTGATGTCACAATCTTGCCTTTCTTCGAAGCAGAAATTGATTCTTAATTATGTTTGCCATACCCGACATCTCTTACCAACTAACCGTGAGGTGTGATAATAGAGTCCGATAAATGTGTATAGGAGATTTGAACCATAATTGACATCCTCCGTGTCCGGGTTAGCGCGGCCTGGCGGACTAGACCTGGCTTCCGCCCTCCGGCATTTCACCCACGTGATCGGAGAAGTGTCACAACTCCGGAGGGGTTGGGACGCCATCAAAGCTACCTGTAGGTAATCAACAATTCTCAGCAGAATGAAATGACACCATTGGATGAACAATTAATATCCTGGACGGGTGATCTGTGCTTCTCAACCTATGTCAGTGTGGCGATAGCCAGGTAATTTGCATCTCTGTCCAGCATCGAAACATGCATAGTAAATTTTCATGGTAGCTTTAGTTCCAGACACATCACAAGTTGCCATACAAGTCTGGACCGAAAGTAGTCCAGTGGATGTCACGAATCTCAGTGACTGGTTCAGGTCATAAATGGTGGTAAGTATTAGAAGTCGATGGGAGCATATACTAATCTGCTAACAACCCTAAATATTGAGTCTGGCATGCGTAGTCACCGGCGTGGCGCGAATCATCAAAGGATTCTTAATCCACAGGGCAAAAGCCCTCTGATCTGCCCAATTCCTACTCTCCTCACCTAGTTCGAAATCAAAGTTGAATACAAGCATTGCAAGCATGAGTCTTATCTCATGCATCGCCATGTTCTGACCAAGGCAGTTGCGTGGACCGAACCCAAACGGCTGGTGCGCTTCAAGGGCATCCCCAGCATATTTGGCTTCCGTTTTGAGCCATCTCTCAGGAACAAATCGATCAGCATCTTTGAAGTTGGACTCAGAGCGATATGTCGACCAGTGGTGTACTGACACTCGTGTATCCGCTGGGATATATTTGCCGAGGATTTGCTGGCCACCCGGAGAAACAACACGAGGACTACCGATAGGGACTGGAGGGTAGATACGTAGAGCTTCTTTGATGCAAGCATTCATGTACTTGAGCTCTGCCAAGCGCTCGAACGTGATGTCGTCTGCTTTTGTGAATTTGCTCCGAATTTCCTTAAGGAGAATGTCCATCTTGTCGGGACAGCTGAGTAGATAATAAAGACAACCACTCAAAAGTGTAGCTATGCCATATCAGTGTCAACCCTGTTTGTCCTTCGCTATGTCAAACTCACCTGTAGTCTCAGAACCAGCGAGCATAAACAGCTCTGCATTAGAATGCATCTCCTTCACAGTGATTCCCTTGCCCTCCTTTGCCCCTAATACAAGGTTCCAAACGTCAGGCTGATCAGACCCATTTTCTAAACGGCGGTTGACACGCTCCTCCGCATGCTTGCAGTGCGTGACACGCTGTTGTGTAACAGACTTGGGCTCGAATCGGGTGAACAACGCGTTGAGAATAGGGTAGTAGTTGATCATGGATGCAATCGGCAACATCTTCAGTGAGTCAAAGATCGACCTGACCCAAGGGCTGTATTCGTTCTTGGCAAGAAGGTTGAGGTGGTCTCCAAAACAGAGCTCAGCCATAACATCGAATGTTGTGAAATTGAGCAACTGACACATCTCAACTGGCTTAGCTCCATTTTCACCAACCTCTGAGATCTTGTACATGAGAAGGTCCGAGTATTTCTGAAAGAGAGGCTCTTGTTGCTTCAATGCGCGCTCAGAAAATGCAGGAGAGAAGAGTCTACGCATACGTGTATGGTTCTCGACGTCAGTTGTAAGCATGCTGGGAACTCCTATCGAACTTTGTAAGTTACCAAAGCTCGAGGAACAATCGCGAGCGAGATTGGCTTACCGTTCACTGGCTGAACAGAAAACTCCTGTGCCTTCTCAGAATCCTTTGGGCCACCTATGTCATTCCATGCCTGAGCAGTAGCATAGCTTACGTCGGTCGGGCCAAATCGAACAACAGGTCCGTACTTATCATGTAAAGACTTCATCCACTGCACATCTTCACCTTTGAGAGCCACCAGCCAATAAGGAATCCTCGTGATACCGCAGATCTTGGGACCGGGTATACTAGCTAGCGGGTGAAATGTGATGTAGTAGATGCTTGTGCAAATGATGTAGAGGACAAGCAACCCTGCCGCGGCAGTCAGAGCGCTGAGCATCGTGACCCGAATAGAAAAAGCAAACAGATGAGGCGAACGGCGGATCTTGACAATGAGGGAACTTGGGTTGTTTTATGAGAGGGGCGGCACAGCGCACAAACATAGAGCGCTATCAACTGATTGTAACGCAGGATATGTAATGGACCTGATTGGTGCAGCCGTTTTCAAGGTTGAGCATGTATCTGCTCGGGACCTTGGAGTCTCGCCTCGAAGATCCATGTCAGTTAGCGCCAACAGTCGGTTGTGTTTGTCGAAATGAGATTCGTTAGTTCATTTAGCGACTATTCATTACCGGGACCTTTTATAATATTTCCACGTTCTTGTTGCTTGGAAAACCAGATTTTTATGTCTATTGCGATGTCT